CTTTTATCTTACATAATCAAAGACAAGAATACCTTCATTCCTGAAGACCATAATTTAGATGGCATCATTTATTCTCATGGACCTAACACAATGATTCCTGGTGACCATAATGCATCACTTTTAGATTGTTAAATATAAAATTCAACTACTACAAGCTAGAATATTAATAAGGCTGTATCTATGAAGTGTGTTGACATTACCAATGTAAATTTATAGTATAAATTACAATATTTAAATCAACTGTCGTTTTATACAATCTTTAAATTTCATAGGTTTCGACTGGAACATGAAATTTACACTTTATCATTTAAAACTAATTTCACACAATGACATAGATAGAAAATTATTTGCTCAGTTTATGATGAACATATCAACTAATCAAAATTCATTGTAGCCTCTATGAGACAAAGACATGATCAGCAACTTGATTCTTATTCTGTAACGCACGTTCTAATACTCAGAAATAATGTACCTTAACCAAGGATGTAAAAAACTTGAGTAAAAAACAATGTCAAATTTAGCGCGACTTTACTTTAATATTGATTGACATGTAGTTGTCATTCATGCAACATGCGAATAATCATATTAAATTGGTTTGCAATCAACTTCCTGCTCGACACGATACCCAAACTAGAAACAATTGGAAGAACTAAAATATAATCTTCAACACTACTTTGAGGATGTTTTCAATAAAGAGCGTACCAATCTTTCAAATTGCAATTTCTAATTTGGTTACTTGTATTACTCAAACAACACGACAAGTTGTGAGACATTATTATATACAAGTTATGCAACGATGATCATGTATGCCTGTATGGATCTTCGACATAATGCAATTACAGCATTCACATCCTCTTTATACGAGGGAATGATAAATCTATATCATGTAATCGATACCCTCGTATCGAACCCTACCATTTGCTTCTGATTGAATTTCAGATCAAATGAAATGATATGGAGTTTAATGTCCCGCTTTCTTCACCTGTTTCAGGTAATGGGTACATGCAGTGATGCAGGAACTTTTCTAGGCTGGCAAGTCGAGCAAGCGTCTAACTATTTGAACCAACTCGCTAACGAAATTTATATTAGAATAGATATCTGGGCCCATTGGTGTAGAGTACAGGTTAAACGTTTAATGATAGTTATTATTACAAGAATAAGAATAATCATCGATCTGTAGGTCTTTCTCACAGAAATCAATCAATTATTCAACGACAAATCGATCAGAAAAATATCACTATTACCTGTGTTAATTCTGGAATTCAATCTTGATTGTAAATAAATCACTATTTTCCACAAATAATCGTCAGTATCACCCCAAATATTCCAACATTTCAGGTTGATCTCGTTAACAACACTAAACTGATCACTGAGATTAGCTAATCCATAATCCCAATCAACTAGATTATCTCTTTCACTAATTAGCTGGACCTAAACTACTGTCTTGGTTTCCACTCTAGTCTCAAAACCTGTTCTGACAAGTCAATCCTGACGTAGCAGTGTATAGAATAGCAATACCATTAATCCGATAGCTTTTAATTGTCATAGGTAAATACTTTATACTTGTCACTCCCGATTTGTCTTCTGCTAAAACATAATGTTGTTTAACGAACAGGGTGCTGTGGGAGTTATGACTATACAAATCTTAATGTGAATATAATTTCAACACGGTAAACGATATTTCATGTAATAACGAGCAGGCTGGTACAAGATAAATATTACCTGAGACAGGTAAAAATGTAATAGAAAGGGCGGCCTGGGATAAACATTTGTCATTTGAAACAATATTCGCTTTACTGTCTAAGGGAAATAACCCCCTTCAAGCTTTCGTTCGAAACGTTTGTTCTATACTGGATATTATATCACCCACAGGTGAAGTCGGTATTCAAAATTATGGCACACAAACTGTTGTTCATAGTCGTGCAATTACCTCCATACCAAGGGAAATAACTTGTGCGGGCACTTAAATTTGGAATACCATATGTCTCAACGAGAAGTCTAAGTAAATAACTTAAATATCATAAAACTAAATATCTATTGCCGAGTAATATTGAAAGACACCGAAATATCGAATTTGTCGATAATCTTGTGATGCTGACCAAAGAACTGTACCAAACAAAATGTCCAACATAACATCCACGATTTAACTTAATACTTCAAATATTTTCAGGGGATTTACCACGTGAACAAAACGGCAATTTTCATTTGCGAAATATATGTGACGATTGGCGCAGACAGGACTATTTTTCATTTCGCCAAAGGAGTATTAAATGAAGTTCTGTAGATGAATTCGTGGACAATTCTCAACTTTCCGTTCAACAGGATGAGCAAGTGGGTTTAAAAAACTTTTACTCGATTAGACATGCCCAAGCGACGTCTCTGCTGAAACAAAACCACGGCACAGATAAATTCTCTGCGTCTTGAACATAGTGTCCTGTAGCTTGACCGACAATTACTTGTTGAAAATTGTTAAATATTTTCAAGACGGAAGGTGGTAATCCCAGATAACATGATCTTTACCTGTCGTTCCGATTGCTTGATCGGAAAGTTTATGTGTTTTGCCTTTCTGGTATAAGGTTTTATAAGAGAAACTCTCTTTTAGAAGCACTGGCCTAGGTCACAAGTAGGGACTGTGAATTTCAGTATTGGAATACATCAATTAAAAATTACCTACTTCTTGAGAGATTTACAAGGTAAATAAATCATTCAGAAATGCAAAGCGATTGTTTCAGGGTTTTAATGAAAGGGGATCTAATCTACCATGGACAAGAACATTACTCAGATTTTTATTCCTTTGTAAAAATGAAATGAAATGAATGGAGTTTTACTATTCCTTTTGTAAGCAGTCGCCAAACGTTTAGTATAGGCTAGACGTTAGGGAATTCATCCTGAAGTTCTTTATAAAAGCGTTTGACAATAACAGAGAGCTGTTGAAATGTAGGTGGCAACGAATGGTATAGATGCACTTGCTAATACGTTCAATAACTTCCCCTTGATCATTAAAACATTGTTTAAGATTTATTGACAAAGAACGAGGTAGATTGGGTTGACATTGATCGTTGGTCAAAATGAACTGACCCCGAACACAGTTCAAACTTTATCGACAATTGGTTGACCTTTATCATAGTTACAAATGTATTCACACGGAACATAGTTCAAAATTGATTTTAAAGGGACATAGGTAAAATGAGTTGAAATTGATCATATAGATGAAATGAACTTGCTCTGAAAGTAGTTCAAAATTTATTGACACATAAAATGATTTGCATGAAAACGTATTCACACGAAACACAGTTACAAATAAATTGATACATAATTCTCACCATCGTCTATGATTACTTGGTAATACCTACAGCATGTTTATAGAAATAATACATATATAATACATATCTTGAAGCATAGGGTAACTTTATCAGCACTGGATCTTCACTTGAGAAATATTGTACCGTGAATGGGGTATGGATGGTATGTAAAATTAGTTTGTCAAACCAAATAGAATAGAAAACAGAGAATGACCTAAGCCAACATCCACTAACTTTCGTCCACACCCCTAAGTTTCTAAGGACAATCAACGGTTGATGGTAACGAAAATAGAAGAAAAGTCCAAAGTGAATTAATTAATTATACAATGGGGTAAACCAGTCTCTATCAATGCTCATTAATGGTTATTCATTAATAATTAACAATAACCGGGTTAATTAGTATTGATTGAAATTTGTCCAAGCCCTCAATAACAATGTAACCAGTAACTTGACTACTTTCTCAATGACACGGATTAACTAGTCAAGCGCACTCGAACAATTAACTTACTGACAAGTATTCACTGCACACATTCACTTGGACCTTTTCATCTACATCTGCACATTCCAGTTGTATTCAAGTAAGAAGCCATATTGAATCCTTACAACCTATGCGAGAGTGATCAGAATCTTGGTGTGGCCACATTCTGGGATAATAGTTATAACTAGAAAGTAAGTTTATTTTTGTAATTTTTCTTGAAGCTTGGTGTATGTGCAATTCTACGGAAATATTCAGTAAATTTGATACCCAGTTAGTTTCCAAATTCATAAATAGTGTTCATTGATTTGAGCGAAATTTGACATTCAGGTGTAATATACTTAGATAGTAGAAAGTAGTAAACGATGGTGTAGAAATGAGAATGAGAAAAAGTGTAAAAAATAGAAATAGGTGACAGGTATAGGAAAGATTATTGGAAAGTTGTACGTCACTTCGTCTTGTACTTCGTGTGAATTATAATTAAGATATTTTGAGTTCTTATAAGATTTCAAATAGAATATCCCAATTGCCATTGAAAGTTTTGTTATTTATTTTCATATCTTTCAACTACAATATTATCAATGGTTAATTAGAGCTGGGAAAGTTGGTATTATTTTATAAAATCTTGATCTATAAATGAAAAATGTCGAATGCAGAAGAAGCCAATTTAGAGGTACAATTGAAGAATTTGAGCCAAACATAATAATTTCTAAAGAAATGAAAGTCTTGATTTAATATTGCTTCTCATAGTAACCATTTTACACAAACTTTTACTCCCATTTAGTTGTATGATTTTGGAAGCAAACCAGTGGCTATCCCATAAATGAGTCTGATCCAGCTTTGCTTTGCTTTCAAATTGCTAAAATAGAGTTTAGCGATAATCATGAATAAATAGACTTTATTTGAAACAGGTCTCTACATATAAATAATTATATATAAAAAGAATAAAACACGAGCATAACATATACGTAATGTTAACATATGTCCAAATCTAATAAAAAATTTCGTTTCTTTTTTGTTTTTTGTTTTCGTTCCCTTTCTTAATAAATTAAGGAATTGTGGGATAGCTTAATATGTAAATCAATATGACAGTCTCTTCGGGATTCACTATGACACAATTCGTTATGTTCATGATCATCAAACAGGTTCTATAGGACACGCCTTTGAATGGTTGAAATTAACGTTATTATAAAGCGACCTTGGTAGAATCTTGTTAGATCACAATGGAGAAAAAACAATATCACAGTTAGTCCAGACCATGATGAATAGTTCAACTTCGAATACGATTTTATACAATTTAATTTAAAATTTTTTTACAGAATTTCTAACCATGACGAAGACCAAATTATCTGATTTTTTTTCTTTGCGGATGGTGAAAATATTTGTGAGAAAAAATCAGTTAACAACTGTCATCATTGCTTGTTTTTTAACAACTTGTATTGGGTATCTTATTGTGAGGTAAGTTAATATGTTAAAATATTAATCAGGGCCCAGGTTTAAAAAACAATCTTATGATAAGAATTGAGGTTGAAATTTAGGTTGAGCTTTCATCAGAGGATTTGTTTGTGAAACGGGAAGCAGTTCTAGTTTGTAGTTATTGAAGTTTCTACAATCAATGGAATGAACAGTTTGTTTATTATCAGGAGAATTCTTTCTTTTGTGTCTTATAATACATCAATAATAATAGTCTATGACATTTTTTAATGAATTTGTACAAATACAATTGCTTTGTCGAAAGACTTAGAAACCTAGACCTGCTATGGTTAAACTACAATTCATTGTAATGCCAAGATAGCTTTACTTTCTGAAAGGCATGATAAAACAACAATTGTTCTCAGTCGACATTGAATTTGGAGAATCATGATCATGAATTGTAAAATCGAGGGACACAAAAAGAATTACAGAATTACAATTTTCTTTAAATCTTCAACAAATAATTTTCCAGACCGAGATATGTACACCAGTACAATCCACAAGATGACGACCTTGTCCATAAATTCACTATTGTGGATGATGATAGTGTTGACGAAAAAAGTTCGGTTGATCCTGTTCAAAATATCTCCACTTGGCAGAAAACTTCTGGTAATAGGGTCAAATCAAAGATTCATGCCGATAAACTCATTTTAACAACAGATACAAAATTTGTTTCTCACATACCTGGTTGGACAATTGTCACATTGGGACCCAAATTAAAGTGAGTATCATTTATTGTATTGTGGTCAATCTGTAATGATGTGATGTTTTGCTTGTTAGAATAGTTTGTATGACATCAGATAAATCATGAAATGAGTTCGTCATTGGAAGTAACAAAAAATGTAGTCTCAATTGTACCAGACAAATCATAAACTATTTCTGTTAGTGAAACAAATGCAGTCTCTATTATACCAGACTAATCATGAAATGTTTCTGGTATTGGTGCAACAAATATAGTGTCTATTATACCAGTCTAATCATGAAATGTTTCTTATATAGTAGTTGTTATTGATGTAACAAATCCAGGGAGATGTTTTGGCTTTTTAACTGGTTATTGTATAAACTAGAAGCTCTGTTTTAAAGCTATAAGGGCGAAATAGAAAAGTACGTGAAGGAACGTTTACACCCATTCTATAAATATAACACACATGGTTTGAGCAAATCAACATCAATTGTATTTGTAAATCATTCAATCAGATGAAGAACAAAGAATTTTTTAGGAGTTTTCGTGAAGACTATTTGTAAAGGTGTAACGGTTACATTATTCACCTGTAATGTGTTGTTTTTATATTGCTGTGTTATATTAACTGAATATTGGGGCGTATAACTCATTTCATTTTGAACTTACTATGTTTTGATCATTACAGATGTGGCATGGAAAGTTCAGAGAAGTTTAAAGAAACAGTTCATCAAGCAGTAAAAGATGGTGTTCAATTCATATATAAATCTACCGAGTATCAACCCAAGACCTTACATTATCTCGACCGGTTTAATTATGATAAAACAATGCCTGTAATGAAATATATGGGAAATTCTACCACTCCCGTTAAAAATCACTTCATTGTTATTAATGAGAATTATCAGAAACGAAACTTTGCTGAAATGCGGTATAACGTTAGTGTTTGGCGTACAGCTCCAATACAGAAAATACTTCTCCGAAACGAAATAAACAGAGGAGGAGATGTTGATGACCGAGCGCCACCTATTGCTATATCAATCAAAAATAGCCGCTATACATTCGTTAAAGACATGATATTATTCCGTTATGATGCTTTCTGGGCTATGGTACCTTTTAAAGACAATGAACTGTGGTCTATGTGGGTTCAGAAACTTTTACTGGAATTAAAAACGTGGGTCACCTTCACGACCGTATCTCCATTACAACACTTGTGCTCTAATAATGGAAAATTAAGCCATAACGACCTGAACCATATCGCCAGATGGAAATGTAAATCAAGATCGAACTTCTTCGAGTGTGTGAAAGATTTCAATAGGTTTTTAGTCAGCAATAAGTTTATGGATTCGACTCAGGAAAAGACGATAACTAAATGGCTTAAAATGCTGACAATTGCCGGATATACCCAACCATCTTTAAATCCCAACAATGACTCTACTGGCTTAGTCTATAGAGCCATATTCAGACCAAAATCTGTTGATTCATTGTATTCCATGAAACAGTCGTACCATAATATCTGTGGAAAAACACAGCCAGCCTGTCCGTTTAAAACTGTTAAAAAGTCAACCAAGAAGTTCTCAACTATTCTTCTGAATGTCGTGTTTAACCATGCTACGTTTTATAAAATTACAGAGTATTTAGCCAATATTTACCGTCCCCATTTCACCCATATTAACTTCTGTGGAACGAAAATGGACAATTTCTTACCTTATAATGCAAAGTTAGATATACCCGTGTCATTTATTGAAATGGATGATAAGGAGTTTCAGAAAGGCCAGTTTGATCACCGATGTATTGAAGGTGCCATGAAAATGAATTACGATATTGACGGAGTGTTCCACGTCAATGATGATATTCTGTTAAATCTGTGGAATTTGCCAGGAATACCTACTGATCGTGTTTGGTTTCAGAAAGACTTGCAGGTGGTTCCATTTTCTACAGCTCGATTACCATCAGTGTATTGGAAACGTGCTCAAATGAATATTACGTGGTGGCCGTGGCACAATAATAACATGGGCAGAATGAAATTAAAAGGATCCATTGATACTTTAAGAAATTTAAGTAAAACCGAGCCTCTGGCTGCAACTTATATAAATCAAGTTGATAAAAACACTGGGGGTAAACGGGATATTGGGTTTGCTGGTAATACAGATATCGCTTATTTCCCAAAGAAAACTTTTAAAACCTATTTATATGCTGCTCAAGTACAAAGTCCATTTACAATATTTCTTGAGTTAGCAGTACCCGGATTAATAGCAGGAGTGACTAATCTCTATGATGTGGTCACATTGCCGGGAAAATATATTTGGTTCGATGAAAGACCATTCTACGCACAACATTATAACGTTTCTCATGTGTTTTTACATTCGTTAAAAATTGGTGGTTGTTTACCTAAAAAACCATGTAAACAGTTTCTGTGTGAGAAATACTTATCGTGTTTATGAAATGGTCTAAAAGTATTTATTATGTGTGTTATTAATGACACAAACGGTGTTGTGGCGGTTGCAGCTCATTGCAGTGGTTGTTATAATGCTCTGAACAGATATCTTTTTCTTTTATCGGATTTCTTTCATAGCTGCTGACCCGTTTCATATCCATTATAGCCATCTATTAATGAAATAGTTTTAGTAAGGTGTTACAAAAGCAATCCTCTCAACCGGGAAAAAAGGACCTAAACCGGATTTTTTATTTTTACTATTCAAATTTCATAGATCACAGATTTTTATACAACAGACCGAAATTATTAAGTTTCGAAATAGTATGGCATCAAGTTTAAAGAAACTTTTTAACTTTTCTGCTTAAAATAATGATTTCGTGGAAACCTATTATTCGTGGATTTCCGGAAAGGATTAATAATTTGCATGAGCGACCTTGCGCGACCTTGCGCGACCTCCGCATTAGTTTGTTTTGATAAACATGGGTTTTCTGTACAATATCACCTAGTAGAATAAATCTAGTAGTTTCAAGCAAGGTAAAATGTATTAATGTATACTTTGACAAATACAAAATGGCGGATTTCAGTTATTACCAAACGTCACCATTTTTTATCGGCCGAATTTCCTTATAATCCGAAGCGGTAATCGGAATTCCAAGTGTCGTCTGCTAGAATGCCGTTCAACGAATGAAGTCACGTGATCAACTAGCGGATTCCGTATCAGCAGAAACTTTCTATGGAACACAAAGTGGACCATATTCTTATGTTGTTTCAGTGACTTTTATTATATACAGTGGTGTAACCTATTTTCGTGGATATAAGAATTCAACACCGAACTTCGTCAAAGTTTAAAAAACGAATTTTTTTTTATGTCTTAGATGTTTCCTCAGATATTCTACAAAATAATTAAAATTGGTTTATTTCTCTATGAATCCTTCACTTTGACCCATATTTCATGAGCAACAACTAGGCAACGGCGGCAGAATGCGTCACCTATTTTCGTGTACAATGTTTGATCTATAAATAAGTCTAGAAAAACACGTTGTATGGATACGGGTGGTATAATTAACTTCTCTTAGTATTTATCTTTAATATCAATTCATTATAACTAGTGACAATTCCTTCAAAGAACCACGATTTAAAAAAAAAATAGTGACTAACAAAATAAGATACGTAACGTGATTTATTTCTAAAAGTCACTGAAACAACATAGGAATATGATCCACTTTGTGTTCCATAGAAATCTTCTGCTGACACGGAATCCACTAGTTGATCACGTGACTTCATTCGTTGGACTACATTCTAGCAGACGACACTTGGAATTCCGATTACCGCTTCGGATTATAAGGAAATTCGGCCGATAAAAAATGGTGACGTTTGGTAATAACTGAAATCCGCCATTTTGTATTTGTCAAAGTATACATTAATACATTTTACCTTGCTTGAAACTACTAGATTCATTCTACTAGCTGATATTGTAGAGAAAACCCATGTTTATCAAAACAAACTAATGCGGAGGTCGCCCAAGGTCGCTCATGTAAATTATTAAACATTTCCGGAAATCCACGAAAAATAGGTTACTTGACTGTATTGACAAAATTTGATATTTCGGTCCCTTGTATGAAACTTATGACTATAACTTCTGATTCTGCCAGTTGTTGTGTTTCAAGAATTGTAAATACCGGACCTTTAAGAAGCACTATATTTTTATCCCAGGTGTATTGCCATGTATGTGTATGTATTTTTGTTTTGTATAAATATAAAGTAGGCCCTACTGTATTTAAATATAGCCTTGGAGCACTATATACTCTGGCGAAGAGATCATTACTAAAGGATAATAAAATAAATCGTACAAGCAGAACTATACCCTTAACTTAAAATCTCGTCTTAAATCATGAGATACAACCAGATTAATTCATGCTGGACATTACAAGAAGCAGATTTGTGGTACTTGAAATACACCACAATATTTTCTGCATGGTTTTGGTTTGTGTGCCAAGTAACCTTGTTTCAGCAATTTCAAGGTTAATACTCGAGCACTAGCCAGAAAAGGCTGATAGAACAAGCAATAGTATAGCTTATAAATTGGGAATCAAAGTGTGTCATATGAAATTCTAGTCTGTCTATATCTTGTAAATTCAGATCTATGAGAATTACAATTTATTTTGTACAAATGTTAAGTGTCGTCAAGGTGGAATTCTGCAAAAAAACAGCTCTGTGGTAGGCGCAAATCTCCCATAGAGCGTCAGCAAGGGTTCTCCTTAACAACAATTTTGAAAAACAGAATTGATTTTGTCCATGCTGACATATTTTAGGGCAAAAAACGTACAAAATTCTCTTGTTCTCTTTGAAATGAAGACGGGGTGCAAATGGGTATGCAAACGATTTTTCTAGGAGGGCAGATTTCAATCTGGGAAGAGATGAGACTCAGTTTCAGATTGTAAAACATCTTCAAATTGTTAACATTTATTTACAGAGTCAGATTCGCCCTTTTCCAGGGTTGATTTTGGTCTTGAATATATGTAAATTGTCTTCAGAAGTACTAGAAATGTATTAAAAATCGCATCATTCCTTCAAAAGTACTTCAAACTAAGATATTCACTTTCTATTTCTATAATTATGTTTTTTCTATTTATGGTAGAGTTTCAAGAAAAGAGAGTCGTCTTTCGAATAAATAATTAATAACAAATATTGATTAGTTTAACTAAAAAAAAAATCCTGCTTCTGAGACTGGTCATAATGGAGAAACTGTCCCTTTAATTTGTGAGAGGGGAAACATTATAAATAGAATAATTTGTCTTCATTATGACGTTATAATTGAAATACATAATACAATAGTATGACGTCACAAGCGACACATTTTTCATTGCTGAAAAGACGTGCTTACAAGTTTCTCGACGATTTTTTGAGGATTTTTCTGAATTTAAAGGTGAGATATTTTTATAAACTGAACATTTTTAAAAAGGAAAACATCGTCCTTTGTCTCCCGAATATATTATACAAACTTAATCTGTGAATATAAGGGTATGAAATATCTTGGGATTATACATTTTGGCGTTTCCAAAAAATATACATATTGTAACCGCAGGAAATGTATCTTGTATTGACAGAAATGGTTGGAGTAAATGTAAAAAAGCAAAAAGTCAAATCTAAAGTTCTATTTTTCTTTTTCCAGGATGTCCAAGAAATACATGCCCCGTCCGCCATATTGTTTTGGTGAGATTCCAGATTATTCTAATCCGCCAATGACAGTGGAGGAATACCAGTATTATGAACGAGAGTTCTTTGGATTTCTTGAAGAAAAAACAATTTGCAAACCAGTTGAAGAGGGAGCTGGTTTATTTCAAAGATTCCTGCAGTTTACAGGAATTTCAAAGGTCACCAAATATGAAGGTAAGACAAGCGATGTAACATGGATCAAATAAGTCTCATTTAGCTGAAAACAAGCAAAGGTGCAATTCTGATTTTAGGATCTGTTAAAAATTGACACAAAATTTTCAGATTTCTAGCAACCTGTCTAATGTAATTATCTTGTTTAATCTACTGTAGATAGAGTACCAAACATCAAGTTTGACATCCACTATGGAACCGGTGATAATTTGGACTGCTTTATAAAATCTGGCACAGCAACTCCTCCTCAACAATCTACCAAAAGAGTCAAAACAGAAAATAAAGCTACACAGACTGGCGGTGTTGCTACTTGTGATCAGGCAGGTAAGATATCAGTGTGTTTGATTATGGAAACAAGCTCGATGTCGATTTATTTCTTGATCACGGGGCATTGTCACCAATTTAAATGTGTACCAGTGACCTGATTTGGAGTTCTAATATTAAATTCACGCTAGATGAGGGGAACAACTATATTTTTTGGCTACCGTCTGATATTTCTTGCTTTAAGTTTCAATTGTTTCATTGGTCAATTATTTCATAATTTATATCAAATCTTTATTTTTTCAGTTCAAACGGTAAGACCGAAAAGACGAGTTCTAAAATCTGTGAGGCATTTCTTCCGACAATCCTTCAACTGCTTCAAAACAGAAGATTAATTAGTAGAACTCCAGATGTATGACCGGAGTGGGAAAATGTGTTGAATAGACGTTCACTTGTCATCTATAGTCAACTAAGACACTGGTCAGTGAGAATGGAGTAAAGTTTGGGCATGGATGTGTGATTGTCAAAAGCAATCGTCCGGAATAGACGACTAAAAATTGAAATGTGTGAATGTGTGAATGAGAGAGGTGTGATAGCCTTTATGTGAAAGTTGCGATAGTATGAGGGTGCGTGTGGTTGGGATGGGGTATAATTGGGAATGGAAGGCAAAATTCACGAAGAATTGTTATAAATTTACAATTGTTATATATATCTAAATATATCTGATATTTCCATATTAAAGATTTTTATATTTTGAAGTCTTGTTTGTTTTTCACCTAATGCTTCAGAATGATTCAATTTGACTTTCCCGTAGGAGATTGGTTTTAATTAAATCCTGTGGGACTAAAAATGTGAGCCTTAGTAACACCGGAGCCATATAAGAATTGATGTGGCCAGCAGTGGCGGCGACATTCTCCGCTGGGGTACAAATAAGGGGGAGATTGCCTGAATGGGTGGACAACTTTCGAGGCTGAATTAAAAATGTGGTTTTCTACAATTCTTTATATTTATTTTCATATCCGATTAAAATATTAAACTGTTATAATAATATTGGTTTATTACCTTTATTTTCTCTTCATAACCAGCTTCTCTATGGGTAAAAACAAAGTCAGCTCCGTTAGCTTTGATCAATTTCAATCCGATCTCGAACCAATTGGCAAGTGTACACTGCAAGCATTTAATTGGGCCTGCATTTTAAAGTTGAATTAAGGTTGGGGCAGGATATTTGCGCGGCTGTAATTACTGGAATAATTAGAGAACAACCGGAGAAGGTAAGTTTATTTTCATATTGCTTGAAGCTTGGTATACTGTGTATTTATACAGAAAAGTTCAATAGATTTAATATCCAGTTACTATTTCTAAATATATGAAAACTTTGCGATATTATTCAGCTGTTATACACCTAAAGGCCACGGTTAGCCATTCTCGGGGTCTTGAATATACGCTTGTATATGTAAATATTCTTCAGAACATTAAATAAAAAAGAACATGCCGATTTAACATGCACGGTTATCTTAGAGTGACGAATTTTGTGAAACATTTTTATAAGTTTGTATATTGTTGGTGACTATAGAAACCTTGTAACTTTATCTAAAATAACCTTAGTACTAAATTTTTGGAAATATAATTTTGAATTATGAATTTGAATTTGTGCTATCCCACAATTCGTTGTTTTCTCAAGAATCGAATTCTATATGACACACTTTGATATAGGTTAAAAAACTATATTAAAACGGAAATGTGGTAGAAAACCTGTAAATCCATGGTTTGTCAGGAAGATGAAAATAATTTCGTATGCAATTTTATACCCCACAATATAATAATAAAATAATTTGTTTTATTACCAATCAATTATATCTATAAGAAACGTGTTGTTTGTTATAGAATTTCTAACCATGACGAAGACCAAATTATCTGATATTTTTTCTTTGCGGATGGTGAAAATATTTGTGAGAAAAAATCAGTTAACAACTGTCATCATTGCTTGTATTTTAACAACTTGTATTGGGTATCTTATTGTGAGGTAAGTTAATATGTTAAAATATTAATCAGGGCCCCGTTTTACAAAACAATCTTATGATAAGAATATGTTTTAAGTGTTGAAGTTTACTTTCAGAAAGAACTCTAGATGGCCAAAGGTACAATCCATTGTAATGCCAATACACTTTTAAGTTCTGAAACGCATGGTAACAACAACGTTTCTCAGTAGACAATTCACAGTCTCTATGAATAATCATGAAAGGACAATAAAACAAATTAGGGAAAGGCCTTCTATCACACCTATCAGCAAAACAGTTTCTTTAAAGTGGCATTCCACTTTTTAAAAAACATTTTCATTATGAAACCGTCGTAAATTTTACCTGAAAATATCTGTAAAGTATGCTATTTATATCTTTGGATCTAATTGAATTGAATTTGTTTATTAAAAGCAGTTGGACCTAGTTTTGGTGATTGGCTTATAATGGCTCGGTATTATAAGTTAAAACCTTTAGAAAAAGTAGGAGACACATTTCTCTAATATTAGGCGTTTATTTTACTCAAATCCGCACATGGTACATTAGTTTGCAAAAAGCATAACGAACTTGACGTAAAGTTTTGGCGTTAAAATTTTACTGCTGGATTTTTTTAGTTAAAACTAAATGGGATACATTTCTATAGATTTTGGTTTATAGTTTTTACAAATTTGAGCAAAAAAATTTTCGTTCTACAAAAAAGCAGTATGTCCCTTTAAATCTTTTACAATTATATACTTTCAGATCGAGATATATACACGATCCACAAGATGACCCAGTCCATAGATTCACTATTGTAGATGATGGTAGTGATAATGACGAGAAATATGCTGGTAACAAGGCCACATCAAAGATTCATGCCGACAAACTCATTTTAACAACAGATACAAAATTTGTTTCTCACATACCTGGTTGGACAATTGTCACATTGGAACCCAAATTAAAGTGAGTATCATTTATTGCATGTGAATTAGAATATTATGTTGATAGGATTCAAAATTGAATGATGTTTTGACTATTAAATATAGTCTCTATTGAAGTAGACAAATCGTGAATTTTTTTCTGGTATTGAAGTAACAAGTGTGGTCTGTGCTGTACTAGAAAAAAAAATAAAACGTCTCTGTTACTGAAGAACTAAGTATAGTCTCCATTATACTAGACAAATCATGAAATGTTTCTGTTATCGAAGAAGTATAGTCTTCGTTATACCAGACAAATCATGAAATATATAGACATACAATCACTGGTTAAAGTGACTGGGGTAACATGTCGAAACGTTGAATAAAACTTTAACCAGTGATTGTTGTTCCATAAAGCTGTGTCTATATATCGTACTCACAATTGCTAAATGCCATTCAAAGACTTTAAATCATGAACTGCTTCTGTTATTGAAGAACTAACTATAGTCTCCATCATACCAGACAAACCTGAAATGTTTCTGGTATTGAAGAAGTAACTATAGTCTCCATTATACCAGATAAACCAAGAAATGTTTCTGTTATTGAAGACCTAAGTATAGTCTCCATTATACCAGACAAATCGTAATTTTTTTCTGTTATTGAAGAACTAAATATAGTCTCCATTATATTAGACAAACCCTGAAATATTTCTGTTATTGAGGAACTAACTATAGTCTCCATTATACCAGACAAACCCTGAAATATTTCTGTTATTGAAGAACTAAGTATAGTCTCCATTATCCAGACAAATCATGAAATGTTTCTGTTATTGAAGCAACAATTATTTAATATAGTCTCCATTATATCAGACAAGTTATGAAATGTTTCTGGGTAAAAGAAAAAATGGATTGACTCCTGTGATGTTTCTGTGGTACTTTGTAATATCACACCCCTTAAAAACTTGATTTAATGCTTTCAGAATATTTAAGCTTACTTTACGAGCTTATTTCTATCATTACAGATGTGGCATGGAAAATTCAGAAAAGTTTAAAGAAACAGTTCATCAGGCAGTAAAAGATGGTGTTCAATTCATATTTAAATCAATCGAGTATCAACCCAAGACCTTACATTATCTTGACCGGTTTAATTATGATAAAACAATGCCTGTAATGAAATATATGGGAAATTCTACCACTCCCGTTAAAAGTCACTTCATTGTTATAAATGAGAATTATCAGAAACGAAACTTTGCTGAAATGCGGTATAACGTTAGTGTTTGGCGTACAGCTCCAATACAGAAAATACTTCTCCGAAACGAAATAAACACAGGAGATATTGATGACCGAGCGCCACCTATTGCTATATCAATCAAAAATAGCCGCTATACATTCGTTAAAGACATGATATTATTCCGTTATGATGCTTTCTGGGCTATGGTGCCTTTTAAAGACAATGAACTGTGGTCTATGTGGGTTCAGAAACTTTTACTGGAATTAAAAACGTGGGTCACCTTCACGACCGTATCTCCATCACAACACTTGTGCTCTAATAATGGAAAATTAAGTCATAACGACCTGAACCATATCGCCAGCTGGAAATGTAAATCAAGATCGAACTTCTTCGAGTGTGTGAAAGATTTCAATAGGTTTTTAGTCAGCAATAAGTTTATGGATTCGACTCAGGAAAAGACGATAACTAAATGGCTTAAAATGCTGACAATTGCCGGATATACCCAACCATCTTTAAATCCCAACAATGACTCTACTGGCTTAGTCTATAGAGCCATATTCAGACCAAAATCTGTTGATTCATTGTATTCCATGAAACAATCGTACCATAATATCTGTGGAAAAACACAGCCAGCTTGTCCATTTAAAACTGTTAAAATGTCAACCAAGAAGTTCTCGACTATTCTTCTGAATGTCGTGTTTAACCATGCTACGTTTTATAAAAATACAGAGTATTTAGCCAATATTTACCGTCCCCATTTCACCCATATTAACTTCTGTGGAACGAAAATGGACAATTTCTTACCTTATAATGCAAAGTTAGATATACCCGTGTCATTTATTGAAATGGATGATAAGGAGTTTCAGAAAGGCCAGTTTGATCACCGATGTATTGAAGGTGCCATGAAAATGAATTACGATATTGACGGAGTGTTCCACGTCAATGATGATATTCTGTTAAATCTGTGGAATTTGCCAAGAATACCAACTGATCGTGTCTGGTTTCAGAAAGACTTTCTCGTGGTTCCATTTGCTAGAGCTCGAATACCATCAGTGTATTGGAAATGGGCTGAAAAGGATGTGGCGTGGTGGCCATGGCACAATGATAACCTGGGCAAAATAAAATTAAAAGGATCCATTGATACTTTAAGAAATTTAAGTAAATCCGAGCCTCTGGCTGCATTTTATATAAATCAAGTTGATAAAAACACTGGGGGTAAACGGGATATTGGGTTTGCTGGTAACACAGATATCGCTTATTTCCCAAAGAAAACTTTTAAAACCTATTTATATGCTGCTCAAGTACAAAGTCCATTTACAATATATCTTGAGTTAGCAGTACCCGGATTAATAGCAGGAGTGACTAATCTCCATGATGTGGTCACATTGCCGGGAAAATATATTTGGTTTGAAGAAAGACCATTCTACGCACAACATTATAACGTTTCTCATGTGTTTTTACATCCTTTAAAAATTGGTGGTTGTTTACCTAAAAAACCATGTAAACAGTTTCTGTGTGAGAAATACTTATCGTGTTTATGAAAAGGTTTATTTATTATGTGTGTTATTAATGACATGGGTTATGCAATGAAGTTGTGGATGGAGCTCAATGCAATTACTGTTATATTGCAGTGCACAGTAAACGTTTTTTCTATTTTCTTCGTAATTTCATTCCACATCTCCGGATTTGCTTTCATTGCTACTGACCAGAAGAAAGTGGGTCATTACAGTCAAAGGATGTCATGTTTAAGAAAGTAATACGGTTGTTCTATCACGTACAATACATTACGATTAATTTTGTTAGTTAGTCTCAAAGTGGTTGTTCTTTTTATATATAGGTTATTTATATAAATTTTTAATCATTTGACATTTTGTTCATAATAAATTCAAAAGAGGTTTTCCAACTTTTATGAGCGTCTTGGATACTGATATTTTAGCTCATATTAGATTTCAGATGATGACGTCACTCTTATCATAACACATTTACGCTAAATATCAACTATGCACCATGAAACACCCACTCAGTGATCCAAAAGCGAATCGTAAGATATGTTGAGAAAAGTGGGGTACAACCAACCTGGCCTGACTTTGAATTTAGATTTGCGACCAGGAGTTATTCGTTGTTTTCTTTCATTGATTTTTGCAAATTCCACATAGACGCCGACATTTTGGTTTTCACAGACCCTGACATTAGCAAAATCTAAATAAAGGTAGGGGAGGAGGAATGAATGAAACAAACTGAGATTTAGCGTAATGTCATACTGACACTTGTACGATATTTGACCCCGCAATGCCACACAAAGGTCGTGGTTAGGCGCGCCACATCTGTGCTTCGCAGCAGAGCACAGCCTTTGCGGTCTGTTCGAACAATGTATATCCCGAAAAAATGTCGCATTGGAACACATTAACAGTCAATGGCACTACTTAATTAGTCTTGTTTGCTTATTGCTCACGCGTCGGTAATATTTGTTCTTATTTTGAGCTGTTCACCTCGACTTCCAATAAGCTTTAAAACCAAATAAAATAGCATGTTAAAGTTATAAAGACGTCTATATATTTTAAGAGTAGCAGCAATTTTCCAAATAACCACGAGTTCAGCTCATCTGTAATAATTTATTGAATAAACGCCTTTATTTTCAGGGGTTCGTGACATACTTCCATGCTGATAAACATTATATCAAAACAAATTGTCGATAGTTTTATTGGTAAAGGACATACTATTACTTGCCTTAAAATGAATTTATGACCATTTGTGAAGTATATTTTTATCGTTCCCGGTTGTTCACAAATATCTTATATATAACTATACTTACACTAATTCTTCCTTTACGATTAATGATATCAATATCTTTAGCAAGGTTGACGTTGGCTAACATTTCTAGAATAACTGTAACACCGCCAGGTACACACGACTTGAAGAAAAAAATCATTATTGCAGGGTTATAATAATTGAATAGAGCTGGATAGAAAGTTGCTGAAACGTGTTTCCAGATCAGAGCAACTGGTTAAGGTTAACTTTCCAACATTAAGAATACGTATTGAAAAAGAAACAGGGGAATTTGACAATTTGAGGTACCAGTATCACTATTAAGATCCAAAAGTTATTACGAAAATCGACAAGTAGTTGCCTAGCAAGATACGCCCACTTCCCTGATAAATTTTCAGTGTATCAAGGGCAGACACCAATCTGTGTCAAATCATACCACAATATAACGTGTCAAAGATATAATTGTTAATTTAAATACAATTGAGGTTGGGGTTGATTTTAATCTTGAATATATGTAAATAGTCTTCAGAAGTACAAAAAATGAACGAAAATGGCACAAATCTTTAAAAATACTTCAAACTAGGAATTTTATAATCAATCAATATAAATCAATATAAATGATCACACAAAATTTCATTAAAATCAGTTGAAAACTCTAGTCTCTATAGTGTTCACATAAAATTTTGACGCTTTTTTACTAACTTGAGGGCAATAATTTAAAAAATGTTAATCGAAAAATCGTCAAATTCGAACTTGACCAAAATCTCATCAATATAAATGATCACATCAAATTTCATTAAAATCAGATAAGAACTGTAGTCTCTATCGTGTTCACAATACACTTGTGGACGGACGGACCAACGGGTGAACAGGGGTGACGACAATATACGACCATACAATAATGTGGGCGTATAAAAACCAAATTATTTTGATATATGTAATTGGTATTGGTCGGAGGTCATAGTACAATTGATCTGCCAGAAAATTGTTTTCTAAAACTTGTAATATCTATTTTCATATCCGATTAAAATATTAAACTGTTATAATAATATTGGTTTATTACCTTTATTTTCTTTTCGTAACCAGCTTCTCTATGGTTAAAAACAAAGTCAGCTCCGTTAGCTTTGACCAATTTTAATCCCTCCTCAGTCCCTGCTGTTCCTATCACTGTACATCCTAGAGATTTAGCTATCTGTACACTAGCTAAACCAACCTATAATATAGTCAAATAGTAGAATTGATGTAATTTACTTTAATCATTGAAAATATCCTTGTTATTGTAATGTGTTAGATTAATGTAGAGCACTGGAGTTTTAAGCCTCCGTTGTCTTTCTGGAAATGATGAAAAAGATGACTCCCTATTAAAACAGTACTACATAGTAGTAGTAGTAGAACAGAATTCCATATTACTATGGTTTGTAACATTCAAACCTCGTCAGATCTAAGTAAATAAGAAAGATAACTCACAGCACCACTGGCACCATGAACTAGAACAGTATCACCACCTTTACCTCCAACACTACAAAGGAAAGACGATGGTTTTAATGAATTTCTTCCATTATCAAAGAGTTTTCTATAGTTCCAAACACAAGGCTGTAAGGTTTTGGGACGATCTCTAGCGCTATCATCATGCAATCTATCTCCCAATACAGGAATAATCCTTGGTATCACAGACAAGACAATATCTGAGATGCTTCAGCGAAGTATTTTTGGTCATGTTTGAATATCACTGATTATAAATTTATTCTATCATGATAAGAAGATGCTCATTGTATTTTGATCTGTCACGTTTGAAAAGCTGTAATACTCTCATGGAAATGCATTGGAGTGTAATTGCTCAAGCCAATGATTAATTATAAAACACGAAATGAAACGTTATGAGCACAATGCGTGGGTCAATAGAGAGAAAGTTTGGTGTCGCTCGTTCCCAATACACCCATCGAAACCGATAAACTAGAAAGAAGTACACTAAAGTACAACCTGCCTATGTTCTACATCTAGAGGTAAGGCTAAATTGGCCAAGAACCGTTACCTCAAACAAAACTTCAAACAAAACTTACAGAATTCTAAATGCCTTATAGGCTGTATAATATGGTACACCAATACCAGCGCCCTCTTCAAAACTTAACTTATTTCCAAGATGGCCAACGTGTATCGGGTTAGCAACAACATATTCAGCGTAAGTACCAGAGCCTTGAAAATTACAGGTTGTAAAAACACGCTCTCCTTTCTACAATAAACATAACCAGATTGATTGTTGGCGATTGTTTTCAGTTTGCCTAATTGTAACAGTTTGCCTAATTGTAAAGTTCACTAACAAATACTTTATGGATGGACTGTTTTCGATTTCAAGAAAGAACCAAAATATAGTCTACAAGACGTAAAACTTCAGATCAAAATTTCATATCATTAATATATTATTTAATAATTTTATAAAAATTTAAGTAATTGTTTAAAAAGTTTCTGTAAATATTTTTACCTTAAAATTTTTGACATTTTTACCAACTTTCTCGACTACTCCAGCAGCATCGTAGCCTGGAGTGAAAGGTAGGGAAGGGGAGTTAGGGAACGACCCTGATCTTATATAAGTATCTACAGGATTCACTCCAGCAGCCGACACCTTTATTAATAACTGGAATTGAAAAATATATGTTTAATCTTTATTACTATCATACATATTTTTAGGTACATTTATGATAAGGTGTTCTGTTGGATAGCCCCCAAACAAATATATAAACACGCTTTATCTTTGTCTGCAGCTTCGTGGGCGGACGGAATTTTTGGGGATGACGACCCCTGTCTGGTGTGGACACCTATGCACTTTCGCAAGTTTTCATTCATATATTTAAATATACATAATTAATTGTTATCTATTATCAAATTTATTTATTCACGTATTTCATATTTTCTGTATTGTGTCTTTTCTTTGTATCAGGTGCCGGATTAGCATTAGCTGCGGCTTGTTTCCGAAACCTTACTTATTTTCTGTAAAAATTTTATTTAATATAGAAATAAAATATTGTTTAAATCAACACGCTTTACAGAGGACAATCTTCAGCCTAAATTTGGGACATTTTCGGTTGCATGTAACGAGGTATCTACCATTTTGTATAATAAAGAACAGATTTCTACCTGATCATCATTAGGCTGCGGAACTTTTAAGTTTTCGTTTATCTTGAGGACTTCTGGTCCACCAAACTCTTTGATGCTAATGCCTCTCATTGTACAAGTGTATTATCTGTAATTATTGTTGTAGTGTATCTTGTCTGAATCACAATTAAAACAGCACTGACAATTAGTTGACTAAAGGTTACAACACATATTGTGAGCAGATATTAGCAATGTACACTGAAACACTACTTAATATAGTTGAGAAAATATTCTACTTCCGAACAGAGTTCATCAATCCATAATCTCTAACCAGACGACATGAATCAAGATAACCAAAATTATATTAACACAAACTGTATTTTTTTCTACCTTTTGCAAAGTGATTTATAGAAAATACATAAATTTGGATATTAAGACGATTTCAGGTTCATAGAAATATAAGGTAGGTGATTTTACATTCGGAATAAACAAACTTCCCTCCTACTAGCATGTTTACTGCACTACTACATAGAAAACAAGGTCCCTTGACCTAACAGGAAGCACATAAATTTTGCATTAGTTTTCTTCTCTTGACACCCACTTAGTGCAGTCAACTGACATTGTTACTTCACACAAAATTTCCTGTCACTCTGATCTTAAGACTCGCAGTTTTATGATTGGCAAAATGTTACTTTGTTATCGGACAGTTGTAATCGACCTCTCTCAATGTAATGGCAATACCGATCGACTCGGACTAACTAACTAATTCAAGATACCAACTCCTGGTAAATGAGGCGTTTCTGCAGAAAATCAACACATTCCACTAATAGAGATTCTTTGACTTACGAAGATGTATATTGCAGGAAAATATATTTTCGTAAAAGTAAAAACTATCTGTTTACAGAGGTCATATAGAATTTACACCATACTTACAATGCTATATAGAATCCCTCACTATTATAGTGTAGCTATATACGTTTATATAACAATGTTGTGGACAAATTTAGGTCAATATAGCAGTATATAACTATAAGAAGATCTGCATCATAGAATTATATCATATAACACAATAAAGAATAAAAACTTACTGCACTTACTATTTCTGGTATCACACACAAAACTGGGCAATATTATGCGAAAAACTGACTTTTATATAAGCGTAATATGCTGATTCACGTATCGCTCTAATAACTTCATAAAAAATTTCTAACGACAATCCAAAGTAACGTGCTAGGCTAGGCTGTTGAACGGCGATATTGGAATTTTATGGCGTAATATTTAGTTTAAAGCGATAGTTCTACGTGTTTAGCCAAATCATCATATCTAATCTTTCTGTTTACATGCACCGTTTTGAATGACAAGACTCCCACCTATGGTGACTGTGCAAAATACTAATACAGTTGCATATACACAATGACTCTGCGAAATGGAGTATAATCTACCAGCATTAGTGCATACATTCTTCCTGTGTGCATGATCTGTTTGCAGCTAGAAGGGCTATATGTAGATCCATAGGCTTAAGATGGTGTTATAAAGACAGTTCTTGGTCGACATACAGCATGCAGATAGGCCTACGTTGGCTAGTCAAAGCATAATTTCATAAACATCCTTAGTAACCATTCTGAGATTTGCAAACCTCAAAACATATTCAGTGGGAAATAAGTTACCTATTTTATGTCACTTTGGATATGGCGTCGCCATTCCCATAATCGCAAGAATGAAACACCATGCTTTCTTCACAAGCAGAACGTATATCAGACCAATCAAACAAAGTTCTATGGGTGGAAATGGCTCTTGCAAATGGGGTAGGCCTACAGCATTTATATTATAGCAGATGATCGGTACTAACTAGGCCCTATAGACTCGACATTTAATACTTTTACCTGTCCCTCTTTAAGTTTTATCTAAAATCAAAGAGTAATAGCCCATAGCCTACATTGATAACACTTTGTTGAGTATGACAGTGTCATGTTGTAACCTTCATTGATAACAGCTATATCATAATGACATGGGATATTACCTGACATGACATGCTGCAACGAGTTTGTTTCTAGGGGCGAAATATATCGCTGATTCATACGCTGGTTCACATACTGTTTTAAGATACTTGCGTAGTAGAAAAATGTGAATTACAGAAATAATAGGTAGCGGCCTAGCCTACCCCTAACCCCTACCACCATGTCTGATTTGGCTAGATGTTAAGATAAGATGGACTTAAGGACCTACAAGTGGTCATAACTATGATATCCTTCACCTTCATGAGCAACAGTGCCCATTGCCCAGATGAGCTAGATATTTACTTAGCATACGGTATCGTATTGAAAATTGACAATAAAAGGAACTTACCTGCTCTAAGTTGACTCGGCTTTCGTTTCGCGCAAAACTTTTTGAAATTTTTTTTTTCATATTAAGGGAGGTAACTTACGATGATAATTATTATGATTTAAAATGTAGGTCAAGACTAAAACCAGTACTATATAGAACTGTCTATGATTACTTCAACTAGATATGTACTGTAGGACCTACACCAAACATAGGGCAGAAACGTATATTATATCTTTTCTATGTAAACACAAAAATTAATAAAGGATTTGATAGATATGTCACATTGATCAGCAATTTATCACACCAAATCACAGTTTTGGCTATTATATAATTAAGTTCATTTTTGATTCGCATTTTAAAAAAAATGTAGCCTGGACTTAAAATCAATCTTACCATTGACGTTAGTTTTTTAAGGTTCTTGAAACCACCGAGAATTACCGTTATTTCGAGGTATGACAGAGAATTCTATCGAAAAACATACAATTTGATTTGATTCCCAAATTGTAATATATTTTTTCTTTTGGCTTAAGAAAAATTGAATCGCAAAATCGGTCATTTTGATACTCCCATCTACAATTGTACTCTTTTCTGAGTCAGTGAAATCAAAACAACGTTTCTATTCTTAATATTCACATAAAATAATGTTTAACATTTATGAGAAATGGAATGAGCTTTACCGCCTTCAAACACAGTTTTACCATTATCACAGAATCGTATTCTGAAATTAGAAACAGGAACATAGTGTTACCATTGATAGTAAAAGTCTCACAGTATGTTTTTGTAGCCAATTTCAAGGAGTTGAGAATGACTTACATAGCTTAAAATGAATATGGTTTGTAACAGGCCAGGCTTAGTCTTTATCTAAACGAACGCATAATTCCATTGTTATATCATGATTTTAAAATCCGTCACTAACATTCGAGGCTAATGGTACCATTGTTCTTTGATATGTCACTTCAGTATGGACCCATTTCTATTAGAACAAGCAATTATATTCAACAAGAGGATGTCGACTATACAACTTTTACTAATTTACTGTACATTACTTACTGATGACTGTCTACAAGTTTCCTAACAGAAACACTGTTGACTTTAATGGCATCTGGTGTACCGAGCGCAGCTAGTCCAGAACCTTTCTGATATTTAACTTTCACACCGGAGACAGTACCAACATCCTTATTGACAGCTACAATATGTTTCTCTCTATGGGCACTCTTAGTAAAGTAATGATCTTTTCTGAAACAATACAAGTATAAATCAACTGAATTGAGATAAACCTATAGAATAATATTGTATAAACATCCTAATTTTTTGAATCTTGATGAAACGATGACAGCGAACATGGGGCCGGAATCAAATCCATTTGCATCATTCACTAGTGCTGGCACGATATATCGGTGACGTCGTGCATTGATAATAATTGGCGATACCTTTAATCCCATTACCACATATCACGATATATATCGTATCGTGACCATTATATCGCGATACGAATCGTATCGTGACATGATTGACGATACCAAGCACTTTCATTCACACGCTTTTATACTAACAATTTGTCCAATTGTCTGCAGAATAAACAACAATTTCAGTTGTTATCGGGAACAATAATGTTCTATCATTGTTTGTGTTACTGTCAAAGTTTACTAAACTATTTTAGACGCTACCTTGAAAACTCAACCTCTTTTGTACTACCATGTTGTCCAACCAGGGTGACATAGAATCTTCCAAAGGAGTCAGGGATAGAAGTAGGAACATCAATTTCAACAAAATATTCAATACCTGAAAGTGATAAATAATTTCTTGTTGAAAAGTAAACCCACCTTTAGTTCAGGATAGAGACTGACATCAAAATGAAAACAATTTGATCTGTTGTAACTGACAGTTTCAAAAAGACAATCCTATGTAGATTCAGCAGTGTGGGTCAAAATAATTCAATCTTACCACAAAATGGTGTGTGTTGAGTAGTACTGAGATAGTAAGATCCACGTAGATTCTTTGTTTTATCAGCATTGAGACCCATCTGAGGACATCCACCAGAACAGCCATGGCAATCACCATTTTCAAAATCCTTCCAAGACTTACATTTATGAGCTAGAAATTTACAGCTGGATTTAATGGATTCTAGGAAATAATCGTGTGATCGTCCATGACTACAAGATACAGCTCCAGTTATATCTACAATAAATTATAAACAATTCTAACCTTTTTCATTTGGTTTAGACTGAAACCACGCTATGAAGTATGACAATAACGTTAATTTTGTAATGTACTAATAGTAGGTGATGACGTTCATAATGATGAAGGCGATTTTTATAGAGCTGATGTTGATGCCACCAGATCATAATGACAAAGGGTGTGTATCGATTGAGTTAGGTAATGAAAATGTCAATTATTGTAAAGGCCATGCTCTGTTTGATGATAATGTTAATGAATGATGAATATGAGGTTTTCGATGATGTTGATGAAGATTGTGAAGGTTAATATACTCGATGATGATGATGATAATGGTGATAAAACTTACGAGAGAAATCTCCGTGAAGTATATTGTGTAGAACACTGCCAACTGGATTATCACTACATCCAGGTTGGTCCATACCACCATTGGGATAGAAATCTATATGTCCTAGCGGCTTAATCCATCCATAACCTTAGGAAATATATATTTAGATAAGTAAGATTACTACAGAGTTACCAGTTTGATTTCTGAGCCCAATTGCGGTGGAGGGTGTGATTGTTTTTGAGGGTTGTTTTTATTTGTTTTGATCAACAGTTCATATTCTGATGAATTTTCAAATGAGCTGGTTTAGAGGAGTATCAGTTTACTCGGGATGCAGTGTAAATAGGTTTCACTATATTTAAGTCTGAAAATTTTATTCTAAGTCACAATATAGATAAAGGCGATAAGCGACTAGTATAGATTAGTACACTAGTGTACTATAGATAAAATAAAATCTTCGGTCCAATTATATGGTGTCCTGAAAGATAATGCCCCCAGAACCACATATACAGATATACATGTTTACACATAAAAATAACATTATATATTATATCATAAAGAGAATATTCATAAGGAAAAATAAACAGTCACAATTTACCTGCTACCCCAGTAAAATCTGCCCCATCAGAATGGATCACATCAACAAAGTGAGCATCAGAAGCATCAAGATGACGAGAATTGTCAAATTGATCAAACATTGGTTGGGCTGGGTCCATACCTACAACAAAAAGGATGGCAATTACTAGCAGTGTATCACTGGTGTCGTATCACTATCAGTTTATCACTTTTGTCGTTTCAATATCACTAGTTCCTCACTAGCAGCGCATCACTAGTGCCTTTTACAGTTTACTACTTTTGTCGTTTCAATATCAGTGAATCTCTAGAACCGTTTTACTATCAGTGAATCACTAGAACCGTTTTACTATCAGTGTATCTCTAGAACCGTTTTACTATCAGTGAATCACTAGAACCGTTTTACTATCAGTGAATCTCTAGAACCGTTTTACTATCAGTGAATCTCTAGAACCGTTTTACTATCAGTGAATCACTAGTGCCGTTTTACTATCAGTGTATCACTAGTGCCGGTTTAAATCAATGAATCACTAGTGCCGTTTTACTATCAGTGAATCTCTAGAACCGTTTTACTATCAGTGAATCTCTAGAACCGTTTTACTATCAGTGAATCACTAGTGCCGTTTTACTATCAGTGTATCACTAGTGCCGGTTTAAATCAATGAATCACTAGTGCCGTTTTACTATCAGTGTATCACTAGTGCCGTTTTACTATCAGTGTGTAACTAGTAAAGTGTCACTGTCAGTGTTTCACTATCAGTAACAAGTACATCCTCGTGTGTAAGTGTGAAAAGTTCATTAGTTGCCACCAATATTTTGCCAATATGTTGTTTTGGATTTCGGGTTTCTCTCTCTTGTTTTGGATCGTTAGTACTTGTTTTTCATTATCACACTACTCTAACATTACTGAGTAAATGAATGAAACTTACCAGTAATTCTACCAATACCTCTAGCATGGCTTCCGATATTACCACAGATCTGAGCTCCCAGACTGTGTCCAATAAGATGGACATTATTCAGATCAACGTGAGCGGTTGAATGAAGCTTCTGGATGAATAAAGCAGTCTGTTTGGCCACCAAGAAGACATTGGCAGTAGCTTGTTCATACGGAAGCTGAGCACCGTGACCCCAATCAACAATAAATACATTGTAATCTCCCTGTAATGCAAATACCAAAAACATTAAAAAATTACCATCAAGACCTGCAAAGGTGGGAATACCGGCAAAATACGATAGCTCTGTGTTAGCATATGGGCGTAAACCTCTCGCCTGCAGCGTCTGAGAGGGTTCATCCCTAGTGTTTGAAAAAGAGAATCCCCCTTCCCATGGTAGCCCCACTGGTGCCGCAACTGAATGCTGGGACACCATTTAAACAGTGTAGTTTCACAAAGACGTACCATGTATGTTCATTTAGTATAAAATGTAACTTAATACCAAATAGTAGAAAATCACGACGTACTTACTTGGGCTATTAGAGCTGCTTTAGTCACTGGCATCCATCCTGAATTTTTACTATTCATAAATCCATGAATAAGAAATTTGGTTGGTTTACTAGCGGAGAAATGAGAATGACTGATGGATTTAGACCAACTAGAGTGGGAAGCGTTGGCTGCAATAACCACTGGGGATTTACTTTGTCTCGTGTACAGATTAAACGACGTCTGAACATGCGCAGGATCTTGTGGCAATGTTTTTAATTCACTCCACGTTTGAAAACATCCCAAATCACCATAACAATGTTGTTCCCGCTTCTCGTTGGCAGATACTGAAACCAATATGGCGGACACGAGCAGAAGAACGATCATGGTGAAGACCTGTTCTGTTCTCGGTGAATTTTTCATAAAACTATCTTTTTATGAGAATTGTCCAGATTTGTGAAGGTGTGGATAGGTTCCGATAGGGTGCCAGATAAAATAGACTATGATAAGAACGTGTTCTAGTATGATGACGCGATAGGTCTCTCGTGATAATTGGTCTCCTTTTTAAAAAGAGATACTACCTCTTAGGCACATGAAATTTAACTTCTCAAACTTGGTCAATAATAGTATATATTCATCAGTCAGACTCATGGAAGCGTTTTAATAATTACATAGTATTAAGGATAATGACACTTAATACTTTGTTAAATGAATTTATCAGATTATAGAGGGATTCAGCCATGGCACTGAGTAGTTCCACTGAGGAATACAGTGTACTTTTGTTTAAGGCTAAATTTTATGTTCATTCTAAGGGGTAGTATACCTTTAAAGAGACCAGATGGTTTAAACACTTTCCACGTAATTCTACATATTACATTATAAAATTTAGAGAAAGAGGTTACAATCTCATACAGCCTTGCAGACTAAGCTGAAGACTCCAGTACAGCACACATGACTTCAAAGAAGGTCTTTACAACATAGGGACACCATACTTGTGTTGTTACTAGAAAACACCGTTCTTTAATTGTCCACATTGGTGGACATTGTTGTAATTATTTACAGTGATACATTGACGCTAAAAGAAGATCGTTCCTGTTAATCCTGACTTTGCGTTGAAACAAAGAAATGGAACAGATGAAGGTTTTGATAGGGTTGTCTATAATTATTTATTTTATAGGATGTAATGGGGTATGATATAAACTATTGATTAATACAATTTGATGGTCATTGACAAAATCTAAAAGTAAATATAAACGTAAAAGATGGCTTGCAAAAGGCAATAAGCGATGTACATAAATGATATCATAAGAGGAAATTTGTATATAAAGTGTTTATGAGTTATTGATAAAAAATGTATTGATTAAGTAAACGGTGTTCTATTCTATTATGTGTTTCTAAAAATCGTTTTATAAATAGTCAGAATTCAAAAGTGATATTTATTTAGCGGTGAAACCGCCATCCACTAACAAAGAGGTGCCCGTAATATTATCAGCTCCTGGTGAACATAGATATATCACCATTTCAGCAATCTACAACACAAAAAGTAAACAAGATCTTGGATACATCTGATTTGATACAATCTGGTCACAAGAAACTATCACTATAACGTTTTCACAGACTATTTCATTGTGTGTATAAAATCTTCTGCTAATAATATCCAAAAAGAGATTCTATCAGCAAATTTAATTGGGGTGGCTTTATCTTAAATATTAAAAGGTGTTTTACAAGTTTTGTCATGAGAGCAATCATCCTATATGGATATAAACTTCCTGGTACAATTGAATTTACCTGATCAATTGTAATTAGTCTTTGAGTTGGATTCTGTGTTTTAACAAATTCTGCCTGAAATAAGTTTTCAATAAAATACACCATAAAAGAACATAAAGCTTGATTTGGGAAGGAAAAACAGAAAGTCATAAGACTATTCAATCAGTAGCTAATACATGAATTAATTGTAACAAGATGTTTTAGTGTCATGAAATGATCATCAGCGTCATTTTTTAAAAATTCTTGAAATGTGGGGTCTGAAATTGCGATATTACAGAAAAAAGCATGTGATTAACTGCAATGATTCGTAGTTGTCTTGTTTGAATTCATCATACTGATCGTATTGAAAACTGTAGTTATATCTTCCTGTACTATTCAAGCAGTAAAAGTATATCCGCTTTAATAAAGCAGACTTCTGTCATCGCAGAAAATTAGGACGTAAAACTCCATTGTAGTATAATAAACCAGAACGCCATTACAAGCTTAATAAAAAGGATTTTATTTTGTTATTGACACTTCATGAAAAAAGATTGATATATTGTACCTTGGCGTCTTTGTAGGACATCTTCTTTTCCGCAGCATACTCCTCAATTCTGGCCAATCCCACTAAACAAATTAAAACAAGTCAATATCATTACCATTACTTCTGTTGTGACATGGTAAAGTTGGTTAGGTGTAGAAATATGGACAAGTAAAATAAAAACGAGTAAGTAAGCAAGTGATACGCTATCTCCCCATTCGAGCGGGATATTATTAACTGCTTATTAATCTAGTTGTAGCATTTAGAAGTAGATAGAACTTTAAATAAATGAAAACAATGATATGAATATACTACTCCTTTCTTTTGCAACGCTTCAACTCACATACAGGAATTATAAAGCACAAAATAATAACCATGCTTATCGTTTAGCATATTTCTGCGTGCACGTGCACTTATTTTTGACGGTTTATCTGTAAGTTTTGGAGTTTTCGGTCTGTTAAGAACTAGAAAGGGACACCCATCATATCCATACAGTGAACCATAGGTCGTTGAAGTCGTGAAGCCAATAACATCAATAATGTAATAACCGACCAGATTTATATGGATTTGGCACGTTCTGATCATTCAACACAAAAGAACGACAAAGTCGGGTGTCCACAGAAAGGGAAACCTATATGCAATTGCAGATAGCAAGTGTATTGTCTCAGAGGACTGACTCACACAAGGTTCTAGTTTAACAGTACTAATCGTTAAGATACACCAAAGACATGTCAGAATAATATTTCCCCTGGTGACAAATAGTCACAAGAACAAGGTTCTTTTATAACGTAACTTCCACCATCTTCAAGGAACCCTCGGGCAAGGTAGTTCACAAAGAACCCTCTTTGACCATTATCTGGACTCGGCTGTTTGGAAATTCGTTATAAGCATAATATCACTTGCCACTATTCTTGAACCCTGGTTCTTTTACTATGGTTTTCCCATGATTAATCATAGAATCCATTGTCTATGAAACATTAACGTTTTTCGATTTCTCTTCCATTTTGAATTATTATCTCCTGTATGAGAAAGACGAAATTATTTTGCTATAACAAATCTTAGGACAAACCAACCTTGATATAAGTAATTATTACTTACTCGGTGCATCAACAAATCCAGGACATATACAGTTACATGTTATGGAATATGGAGCTGCTTCTAAAGCTACACCCTGAAATATGTAACCTTACAGTGTCAAAATCTTGACAATATGGAGCTCAATATGTGATTGAGGTTATGACGTATGTTAGAATGATAGCATGCATGATTTGACCTAAAATTCAATGGATAAATATAATCCTTGGGTTTGTAGACTTCCCGTTCAATAGGTACAAGCCTAAAATAATGTGTGAGTACATCAACCTACTCCTGGTAATATTTCTGACGAATTCCAGACAGTGGCGGCCCTATTGTGCCCCCAAATGGTTTGCACCCCAATTTATTTTGAACAAATTGACAAATATGATTTTCACACATTTTAGAACCAAATTATCTGTCTGAATGTATCAAATCAATCCAATTTTAAAAGATTTTCGCGGGAGAACCTTATGACTGAAGATTCCATAGAGTTGACGCATTTTGAATTCGGCATCTGTCTCCCCATTGAGTCAGTCTGCCCCCCTTTTGTACCCCTTTTTGGCACCGCCACTACTCCGGACTTACCTTGCTAAACCCAATAATACCAGTTTTTACCGCAGAGTAGGGGGCTCGTCCTACTGAACTAACGTGGCCCATCTGTGATGATAAACTGATTATACGACCCCAATCTGTAAATGAAATTATTACATAATATCAGTGTACATGATAAATAAGAAAAGCCGTATATTTCATTCTAATACCTTTTCTAAGAGAAGATAAAATGAGAACTCTGGAGCATTATCATTTGGTAACAGCCTTAGTGTTACCATTCAAACTTAAACGCTATGAGCAAAAACCTCAAAATAGCTGCTTTTCTGAACGAAACTGCCCAATGAAATGACAGATAAAGATTCTACTTATGTAAAATATTCTTACTTTTCTCCTTCATTTTTGGTATAAAATGTTTGGTGAGTAGAAAGGGAGCAGTAAGAGATATAGCTATCATATTATTCCATACTGAGTTAGGATATTCATCTATATTACAGATATACTGAATCCCTGAAATTACAATAGAGAGTAGTCACCATCTATGTCGTTATTAAGATTAGACTACAAATTGCAATTTAAGAATGTATGAAAATAACGTCAAAATATCGGGTATGTGGTTCATCCTCTGGTCGTGCTTATTCTTTACTTAACTAAGCGCTTTATAACTCTAGTCAATTAGATATGTGTCAGAAGTCTTCGTATGATAGCATATTCTCGATTTCGACTCCTCGCTCCTGTTCTGTGAGTTATTTTCCATTATGCCCAAAGTTCAATACTTGAAGATTGTAAAAATTCGTGTCTTCAGTGTGAGATGAACAGCACAGAAGGAATCACTTGATTTCCTAAGGCCCCGTAAGGTACATGCAAGGATTAGTCGTGAACTTCATTAAAGGCACGAACCTGCATTGTTTATAAGAATATCTATACCATCAGGAAAACGCTTTAAAACAGTCTCACAGAATTTTAGAGTCGATTCTTCCTTGATTAAATCTCCTTCTATAAACTCGAACCTTCCTTTAGGATATTTTCTAACAAAAAATAATCAAGAAACATGAAAACAAATTTCAAGGACGTTTCAATACAGAGATCAACAAACACATGAAACCATAAGTGATAAAAAAAAAAATGTTCATGTAATATGTCTCTGTCTCAGTTTCGGTACAAATTGAGGGTGACTCAAAATGTTACACATGTACAGTATATAATTCTGTTTTTTTAGGTTACACAAAATTTCCATTATATAGCGTAGTGTTAACTTTAAGAATGTAAAATAAACCCATTACATTCTTGTAACGATGAGAAAACCGACATTTACAACAATATATTGTGGCTTAATTGCACATCCACAAAGAGGACCTTGTTTGTAATAACATGCTGATGCTGGTTAAAAGATAGATTAGATTAGTGATGACAGTACTACTTCAATACAATGCTTTTATGCAATCATAAATTGTCATCTGAAGAATACAAATCTATCTATATACATATATTATGCTCCTCAAAATCCAAGAATACATGCCCTCATATCCCAATTTTAAGAGATTATTTTCAGTTTGATTTTCAAGCAAAAAATTGCAACCAATTCTCAATCGACTTGCACTAATGCAATGACATGGATGCAAACTTGCGGATTCTTGTCTTTTAAATATCAGAGCCTTTACTATTTCAATCGCATACATGTATTTGATAATTATCATTTCACTGGTCATAACCTCTATTTGTTCTTGTGAACATCATATTTAAGATAACGAGGTGCGGCGAAAATAGGGAAAACTAATTTTTATCCTTTGATAATATCTGACAGACCCCATCATGATATATAATGTTCTCAAACAGTTATAACTACCTTACATAGTCAACAGATTGAAATTAAATCGTGTTTTATCAAAGAAGGAGTGTGAAGAAGGAATAGCATTAAAATCATTATGTTTATTAAATATTAGATGTACTTACTCTGCAAAATCTTTCAAAATATCATGGATCAAATCAGGTTCCCCTAAACCGGTTATAACAACCGAACATCCTTTAGCTGCTAAATGATGAGCTATTCCTAAACCAATTCCGGTAGTAGATCCAGTAACTACTGCAAGTTTCCCAGTTAAATCAACCATTGTTCTTGTGGGAATTTGTCGGTCTGTAGGTAAGAATAGATCTATTGTGTGAAAATAGGTTTTCGAAATGAGAAGTATTAAACCCCTGTAGAAAACTTACACCTAAACCAATTGCAAAAAAATGATTCTGATATTACTGTTGTCATAAACCGCACACTTAGACAGTTCCCACCCCAGAGGTCGCGTGACAAAATTTACAGATATCACGCAAAAAGTTCACAGTTCCAAGACTGGTTTCTTCTTCAGTTTAGAGGCATTTTACAGCTATCGAAAAGAACAGCAAAATAATTCCATACTTAAATAGAATACTGGAGCTGCCAACAATGTTATAATGATCCTATTGCATTATAGAGTATGTAATAATAGGCTCAGGACACATTTTAGAATATTGTTTTATGGAACTTAAGTCGGTACAATATCTGTAAAACGGACTAATAACTTGATTATGTGCAAAGTAAAGATAGAATTTTTTTTCATATAATAAAGACATCTACGTACATAGGTTAAAGGTCATGCACTCAAATTAATTCATGATGTCAATTATCATGTTAAATTTAGGAATGAGTGGTGATGGTGGCCCCATTTGTCTGAAGGCGTACATAGGTCTAGCTTTCAGTTGTCCATAAGTGAACACATACGAAGTTCCTTTCTGCATCTTGTAAATGTTCAGATTTGCATGTTTATGAATCATAACATAGCTATAGTTTCACTATCGTATTATACAAAAAAATTCAATCAACGCCTCTAAAAATCAGGCTTTGACCTGCAGAAACAAAAAAAACTGTAATCTTACCCGATTATAATGTGCTGCTCTATGGGTTGGTGTGTTGGGAGATAAAAGTGTGTGACATATACAGTCTAGCTAGATATACACTGTTATCTTCATACCTATATCATAACCTATCCTTGTCTATATTCAACTGGTGATTGTAATGTAATATTTGTATATGCACTCGAGTTTTAGAGATAAATATGACTTGCTGGTTGTCTTTTCTGAGGCAGGGTGTGCTAACACTATCGAAAATCATATGCAATAAGCTATCGCAATCTGTATACAGCTTCTTGTAGTAAATACACTTTCAGTGTGAGGTATTAGACCCGTCCCTTGTGGTGTTGTGACCTTGTGGCCTGACCCTATACCCTGTATCCATAAGACGTTCCCTTGTGACGTTTGCAATGTACACATACGAGCGTTGATGGGGATGCATATAAACACAAGACACAACTACAAAACTACTGATTATTATCTCGGCTATGAACCCGTCTACTAAATACCAGAAAGAATAGGAGGATACCTTTATTGCATTTATTTTCCTCGATAATGCTTATCTCAGAAGCCAACATCTCTTCAGACAACGCCCACGGTGCTGGCATTATTGCGGTCTTGCAATGAACTGTGGATGAATTCCACACAAACTTCATAGTAATCTTATGAAATATATTTCTTTTCTGTAAATTCAACAAAACAATGCTGTGGACGTAAGTTAGTTTGTTTGTGAAACACACGTAAGAGTTTGCGTAAGATAATCTTAAGTCTAATATTTTAGTGAAACATATTAATTTTATACACAGACTATTCATATCAGTTCTTCCAGTCCTCTCTTCAGATTTCTTATAACTAGTAACTCTCAAATAACTATTAAATCTGATTCTTTGTTGGATTGAGCTATGTGGTCTTGGGCTCATTGGATTAATGACATCAGTGAACATCTATTAACTCTATGTAAGTGAGGAATGGAGCAGTTAGATATATTTATCTATAATCCAATAGGGTATTAACACATGCACAGGTAACTAGTGTAGGCTTAAAAATATTTGTGCAATTTTCTGATGACTACAAAACACTTGATCAAAAACAATTTACATTCCTTATTGCACACATTAAAGACAGCTAAAGCTTATTACTGTCTACATAATAAATACTTTCAATAAATTTTCAGTGCAATTCAAATGTTTTAAATAAAACCAATCAAACTTAAAAATCTGTCATAAACATTCAACCCTTTCAAAAAAGACACACTTTAAGATCTAGATTTGCATTGTTTATTTTTTAAATATCTAGACCATTATTTTTTCCCCTTTTTCTTTTTTCCCTGTGATGGTTTCAATGAGGTAGAAGCAAGAAGAGATTGTGAGGAACGTTTCAAGTCTTCAATAGCAGTAGACACTTCTTCTCCTAAACATTCTAACTCTTTATACTCTTCCTCTATGTTCGAGGGAGCTTCCCGTAATATTTCACACAATTTCACCATATGAACAGCTTTTTGATAGGCTTCTGTGATATTTTCATTTAATTGATGGAGATTGATAGAATTTGAGTCTGATTTTTCTTCTTGATCCTCTTCTAAATCAACTGAAATAAATGAGAACATTATGCTCAAAACTGATTGAAATATAACACTGGATATTTGTTTCATTTTCTTTGAAGTAGGTTTCTTCATAAGCAAATTAAATTTGAATATCTCCACCTCGCCGGGCAATGCCATTCTTTCTACCTATTAGTTCTGTCAACTATGAAAAAATAATCCGCCTTCATTATTGCTTTTCACATCAATTGAAATTTTAAGAGAAAATATTATCTTTACCGGTGCTATTTCCATTCAAAATATCAGCTGAATTGAATTTGGTAAAAACCACGTCATCATTTGGCGCCTCCTCTATATCCTTGGAAATATCGGATAGAGTTGGCATCTTTGGGCGTTCAACAAAACTCTTGGCCATTATTAATCAATAAACCACTAAATGCCTGCATCTAAATTAATCAATCGGTAAAAATACATCGGATTTTCCCTCCAGGTGTGCAATGTTTACATCCTTACAGGTGCTTTATTGTTTTCCTGACATAGAAGATTTCAATGGAAGGGGAATAACTCTTATATAACTCAGACAACAGTGATGTATAGTACCATCACAAGTATGGAAATTTGTAACCTTTAGAGCTATACCCCTAAAATCATTCAATAAAAATTTATCAATTCTAAGAAATTCCATTGTTATTATCATTCCTTCTATTTAAGAAAAAATTGGCAGTACCGGTAAGTAAGTTTTTATGATCAAGATCCAATAATGAACCGACAGCCCCCCGGCATTGCCGGTTAGTTTTTCATGGGAAAGATACAAGTTTTCACCATAGAGTTATAAATAATATATATCTCTATGGTTTTCACAAATCTAACAACAATTTCAAAGGTCATATTCAAGTTTGCATCTATTTGGCAAATTTATTCAAGAGAAAAATTCCTCCAACGACCTGCATTTAACACCATCATAAACAGAGTTCTTTCCCTTGCAACTTTGGACCATTTTTGCTTTGATGATATAAATTCTTCTTTCATGGAAACAATTTTCATTAATCATCGATTTATGTAAAAGGATCAGTTCAGAACTTTCCGAGACATCTCAAAGGCTAGGCTGAAAAATATATTAGATTTAAATTAAACCCTTTGGAGTACATAAAATAACATTAAAACCATTTTATGATGCTGTTTCATCAGATTTTACCTTTACTCTAAGTGAAAGTAAATAAGATATAAATCGATACGAAGTGAGCCCACAAAAACTTTTGATGGGAGAACAATCTAATGCATACCCAGTAATGATATTATTCAAACATATTATAATGGCACAAATCAATTAACATAGGTTCTCCATATGGAGACTGGGTTTTTTGATACCTAAGAGAACATAATTCATTGAATTTAATCAACAAGATTTAGTGTTACCTTTTGACCCCAGTATAATTAGCATATATAGTCCCCACCCCGCGGGCCATTCAATTTCTAATTAGAAAGCAGCAGGCACTTGTTATGTTGTTGCCAGCGTACAAAACTGACTGACAAATGTGACCGTTGACCGATATAATATTTACTTTCAAAATAATTTAATACGGTAAGGAAGAGGCTGTAAAGGGCTTTAACTTTATATTTGTATAGGCCTACACGCATGGAATCTGCTTTTACTTTTGGTTAAACTTTTAATAAAAAGTTAAGATTAGAAGAAGTTATTTGTTTTCGAAAGTCATGCTTGAACAATAAAGTGCTATGAAAAAAAATAACGTGCAAATTTAGTTTATCTGTGTCAAAATTTCATATGAGAAATGAATGTTTGCTTGATTTAGGAAAACTTAAACAGGGTTTTTTTGTCTTTTCAAGACTTCCGGCCATTCATTGCTTTGTTTTGTGATGTGAGGGAATTTAACCTTTAACCTCTCTACGCAGGCGCACTTCTACCCACATGATTAAATTAACCAATCACAGCAGACAGATGGCCGACGCCGCCAAGCTCGTTTTGTAAAGGAATTGATGGAAAATAGGCCAAATTTAATGACAGATATCTCTAATAATACGACAGATCAGAAATATTGATGTCGGAATTTCAAAACATGGATATTTGAACTCTCAATTTAAGAAGTAGTGAAGTCCACGATTCCTTGGGAAATAACTAAAAATTGCTGTCAAAGTCGAATGGAGTAGTAATTTGTGTCGCCATTTTGGTAGTAGAAGTTTAAACCTTGGAAAACCCTTGCCATTCCATCGCATTTCAAGATGCAAACGTGATTTGGTATTGGCATTATTATAGTTCATCAAGTCAAGATTTGTAGGAAAGGCTGAAAATCACCATGGCGAATTCAAATACTACTCTAGCGGGCTTGTGGATGGACGATGGTAAGAGGTTATTTTGGCGTTGAAAATGAAACGAATAGACTGGGTGAAAATGGGGAAGTACTGTACTCAAGTCAAGTTGACAGCATGGTTTTGAGTTTAGTACGGTAATGAACTGATGCAGATCTTAAAGGCCTTGTCAGGTGGATTTTAAGTACCGGTATTATGCTATTTGTTATCCAGGGCTTGTAGGTACCACATAGATCTCTCAAATTTTATGCACAGCAGAGGTTATGGATGGTAGATCTATTATGTCATTGATTTATGCAATTTACACTAGGAATTTATAGATCTAAATCTATTCTAAAAAAATGTTGAGCAATCTGTTGGTGTTGTTTTACAAATGTCATCAAAATCAAATTAATGTCAATGTCATGTGACAAGACATAATTGATAGGTAAATCTAGAAGTAGATTGTAGACTATGCCATGGATTATGCCATGGGTATCAGAAATTAAAATTCACAATGTCGATAGCCTAATAAGACTCAACTCATGATATTATATTTAAAGCTCTTGGTCAGTTATTCAAACAATTACGATTTTAGTAGCATGTCCTTTTGGTCACTTATTGGTTGCAAGCTTTTCTTCTGTCACAGAGATTCAATTATTTATAGCTTTAAGTGATTAAGCGTTTACGCAAGCTAATTGATTGGTAATTTACAAGCTTCCACCAATGATTGTCTGGCAGCATCTATTATTAAGTCTTAAAGGATGTTTACACCTCTTGTACAAACTTCACTACTCTTTTCTTTGATCTCTTCAAACAACTGTAGGTAACTGTACTGGAACCATATAAAGTAAATGTTTGCAATTTGGCTAGTCAGTTTGGCTGGTGTTTAAAAGGTTATTTGCCCAGCTTTTTACATACTATAAGGTGTTTATTGCACTGATGATGGAGAAATTATCTGAACATCAGTTAAGCTCTGTCTTATTTGAATCAAATTGTATATTTCAGGTCAGTCGAGCCCAGTAAAAACAGTACAGATAACTCCCTCAAAATCAACAGAGTTACAGGAAAATATTGTCAAATTTTATAAAGATAGTGGACTAGATGGTGTAGCTAAAGAGGTGAGGAGAATATTGGCTGAGTTCACAGACCAGTGACTGTCAAAGCCCCAAATTGCTTTAAAAGGGACAGATGTGCCATTTTGGGGGGTTGATTTAAGTCTAGAATATATGTATAAATAGTCTTCAGAGTTTCTAGACATGTACAAAAATCACATAATTCCTTTAAAAATACTTCAAACTAGGAATTTTACTCACTAATTCTGTGTATATCTTTTCTATATATGACACATCTTAAAATGATGAGTCGTCATTCAAACACAGATAATTCTGGACACATTTGAAGGCTCACATTTCGACGGTGAGCGGTGAAATTTATTACTGATTGGCTAAGCTGAAAAAAAAATTCTGTTTGAGACTTAAGTATGATTAGTCAAAAAGAATGGCACATCTGTCCCTTTAAATGGAGTTTTGATCAGATTTTTATGATTATTTGTGGACTATCCAAGCAGCTAATCAAGTCAAATTATGTCACTCAATTTAAAAAAAAAAGTGAGAAAGTCTCATTTCATCAACTGCGTGCCAAAGGGGGTATAATTGGACATTGTTGAACAATCTTTTGCAAATTATAGATCCAGATCAATGAAAAACCTATCCACCAGTAGCTTGGTTTAATTGCCTCCAAATTGGTATCTTTAATTGTTCCAGTTGCTTATTCTTTTGGACTAATGGCCAAACCACATGAAAACTTGTGACTTGGGTCTGATCTGAAGAGACAAAAGTGACATTATGGAAAGAAGATTTGCTTGAACTGACAAGTGTTTCAGGTTACTTCAGAATCAGAATACTAGATATATTTTTTTTTATTATATTGAAATTTCTAGACTATTATTTCTCTAGTCTCAAGTGAATTTCCAATATAAAATGTTGTGTATAAGAATGTGTTAATGATGTTATAGAATGAATGTGATGGTATTTCATGTTCTGCCTCACTGACTTTTCTATTGTCATCAATTCTATAGAAAAAAACATTGATCATAGTTGAGAGAAAGGTCATAGGTCAACTGTCGCCTTCCACCTGGCCTATATTTAAATATGAATGAAGTGAATTGTTACTAGTAATACAGTCTAGGTTCTTTTCTATTTGAGTCTTGGTTAATTGACACATTTCAAATTGAGTTTGAAAATACAAATTCTGAACTATCTAATACAAATTCTGAACTATCTAATACAAATTCTGAACTATCTAATACAAATTCTGAACTATCTAATTATGCAAATTTTGACATCAATAAAACTGAAACTCTTACAATATTCATAAAACTCAAAGAGACAGGCCTTACATTCCAAGATTCAGTCTGCTAACAGTGACTAATGATAAAAAGTTAGCTCAATTCTAAGAGCTCTTTTTCTTTTATTTACACAAATAATACAATAACTTATTGATATGGTTCATGAACAAATTTTATGTGGACAAATACTCTGTGAACGCTTCAAACTAATAACTTCTTTTATCTTGGGGACAAGAATTATAGCATTCGAATGTTATGTAGAGAGACTGTAGAGATGCTGAATTGATAAACCCAGTTACTGAATGTTGTCAGCTTTAAAATGATGTGGGACAGGCTTGAGAAATAACAAGTGGAACTGAATTGTTTTGATGCAGAGTTGATTATTTTGTATTGCAAGCCGGGTTCTAAATAGTTTTATTTCAAAACATTTTAGGTTGGTATAATGGATTCTAGTGGTGGATTGAGAGGTTTTCGAGAACAAACTCCCCAAAAACAACAAGGTATGGTACAGATTTGATATGTACTGTATGTAACAATGTCACCTAATGCCACTTTGAATATATATATTTAATGTTTTGACCATTATCAAGTCTAGAACAGATACTACACTTCGATCTTAAGATGCAGGCAGGCGAACGGTCTTAGATCGCCGACTCAAATTTTGAGTAAAATCTCACTAGTGCCCGTGCTTCAATGACAAGATTATCGCGTTTTCGACAAGATATTTTTCTTGGAGTGAACCCTAACCCTCACAATCTCACACAGTCACATGTATAAGGTATGTATGTATTTCTGTGAATTTATTTCAGCCTACCATCTTGTAGCCATCCAGTCTCCTGTCAAAATGTCTCCTCAACCTCAAATATTACCTAAAATCATGCAGCAACAGGTAACTTGAAATTTCTTTTATTACTGCTCAGGCTCTTCTCACAAAAACTGACCTTTAATGAATTAAGCAATCTCTTCATTTTATTAGTCACACACTAAATGGATTGATGATTAAAATAATTTATGTATCTCCTAAAATCTAGAATGTACTATATTTAATTTAATGTAATCTTATTGGCCATATCAAACTATTTATATGCCTGAGGTAGTTGTTTCTGGGGTCTAACAGCAATTTATGATGCCCAGTAAAACAGACCAGTACTGTTACTTGTTCTTATTCAGAGTAATGTTACAATTGTTTTATATTAAGGAATTATTCTATTGAATTCCACTTAAAATCAACATTCAATTTAAATTATATTGTTTCAGATAATTCAAGCTAGTCCAACCACCCAAACAGTTCAGATGGATCCCACCTCTCCATGGGGAAGTGCGAGGAAACGACCAGGAGATCTGATTATTTATGATAATGATTATGGCGATGGGTGAGTAAATAATTAAAACTATCTTATATAAGAAAAAAAGTATTTGATACCTTGTTCTAAGTAGTCAATTCTCAGTGAAATGCAATATTATGATGGAATTCAGTCGAGTGTATATGCGCCAGCCAGAATAGTTTATGAAATTTTGTCACGTGTTGGTTCAGTCAGAAATTGTTTGTTCATGTTTTCAGTAAAAGGGGAAAGAAAGGTGATAAAGGAGGGAAAGGTTTACGCCATTTTTCTATGAAAGTTTGTGAGAAAGTCCAAAGAAAAGGAGTAACGTCATATAATGAAGTTGCTGATGAACTGGTAGCAGAATTTACTGATCCTAGAAACATGCAGTCTCCTGTTGAACAAGTTGTAAGTAGGCAATGATATTGTCGCAAGTTACCAGAACTTTTGAAACCCTTAGTATTTTAATATTGTCAAAAGTAGACATGTGAATATTTTAAGATAGACAAGTCTGAAAATTTCTCCATTTGCGATTTAGTTGAAAAAATAGAACTTTTACTCAACCATATCTCTCTGTGTGCATGTGCATCTTTGTCTCTGTTTTTTGCACTGCCCCTCCATATTTGATTCAAGCTCTATATCGAACTTTGCCACTTTGATGTATGTTTTGCCATAATAGTATGTGCCAGAACAAATGCCCTGAATTTCATATTTAAAATATTTCTATCTACAGGGTTATGATCAGAAGAATATCAGAAGGCGTGTCTATGATGCGTTAAATGTATTAATGGCAATGAATATTATATCTAAAGAGAAAAAAGAAATCCGATGGATTGGACTTCCCACTAATTCAGCTCAGGAATATCAGACTTTAGAGGTTCGTACTGTCATAATGTGTGATGCAGGTAGAGCAAGCAGACTTGGAAAATTGTGTCCTATTTGTTGTGCATAAGGGTTTGAAGCAGTGGATTTGTCAAACATTCACAATGAATGGTGGCCTCAAATCATAATTTATGCCTAAAGAATGTTTCTGAGTTTTAAAAACTAAACTCATGGGTTTCAGTATAAGGCAGTAGGATATTAAATCTCATTTTTTCTCCTGACTCTGTTTGAATCTGATATATATTGAAGAACATTTGAATATATATGTATTGTGTATTATAGGCCGAGAAACAACGTAGAATGGAGAGAATAAAACATAAAACACAACAATTACAGGAACTTATATTACAGGTAAATATCATTTAACTTATCTTAATATTGTTATACCTCATCTTCCTATTATATACTTTAAGACATTTAAATAAATAAGAACACATAATAATTATTATCTTGTGCTTGATAAAGATTCCTGTATGTGAATTGAAACGTTGCAAAAGAAAGGAGTAGTATATCCATATCATTGTTTTCATTTATTTAAAGTTCTATCTACTTCTAAATGTCATTTAGAGATTTTACTTCAAGACATTTATAAAACTATAACAAATTTTCACATACTATTGATTTATAATATTAATACTATAAACATAGAAGTCAAACACAACATTTTTTTTATACAGAAGACAACCTTTTTGCCACCTTTTCTGTCTTAGACTAAAAATGTTTTGGAATGACCTTTTTACAAAAAATTGATTACAACCTTTAGAGAATAGAGTGCCGTTTATTCATTGTTTCTATAGGATTTCCTGTCCTTAATTAAAATATTTCTTTTATTTTGTAGCAAATAGCATTCAAGAATTTAGTCCAGAGAAATAAAGATAATGAAATGAAACATGGTGCCCCAGCTAATAATTCTGCTATACAATTACCGTTTATTATAGTCAATACCAGTAAAAAAACAGTTATAGACTGTAGTATATCTAATGATAAGTATGTATTCTTCTGTTTATTTGCAGTCTTGTCAATTTTCTTAGCTTATAGGAACTTTAGTCTAATCTCCAAGATGATTACTTACTGTTGTGATGTTATAAACACATTGTTTAAGATAGAAAAGTTAAAGAGATTTGTTCAAATTTGAGAAATAAAATCACATGAAGTTATCTGTAGTTTTCTGTAGATTTGAACAATTTTAGAATTCTATTCATCTGATAGTCAATTTCCTTGATATGATATTTATTTCTATTATTATTTCCTTTAATTAAGAATTTGATAGACCTTATAGAATGAGGGTTTCAGAGTTCTGAAGAATTCTTCCACTGATTTATGATGTTAATCTTTAATCTACTTTAATCTTATTGTTTTTTTTGTTTTTTTTTTAGAGATGAGTATTTATTTACGTTTGATAATACGTTTGAGATACATGATGATATAGAAGTGTTAAAAAGAATGGGTATGGCGTTTGGTATGGAGAAAGGACAGTGTACAGAAGAAGATTTACAAAAAGTAGTTAGAATGGTACCTAAAGCTCTGGAACCGTATGTAACAGGTTAGTTTATGAGTTAACGGTCCAATAAAAACATCACCTTATTAGTGCAAAGCAGGCGACACTCATGATTCTCTGAGTTACAGATGTTTTTGGAATAATTCTTGTAACTAAATGCAAATGAAATCGTTCAACCTGTGTAGTTCTAAACAATGACTACTGATTTGTATGATCTATGCAAGCAACTAATATTATGTGATAACTCTTTAAACACTTCCTTTGATAAAAGTGTAAATTTATGTTGTGTAAAAGTATTCAGCGCAAAAGTAAGATGTAAAAATATTTTATGAAAGTATGATTATTTTTGTAGATATGGCATGTGGTAGTAATGTTATAACTACAGTTTCGTCAGGGATACGACCTATTGACCCTACAGATATAGGTTACCAACAAAAACAGTAGGTTACATCCACATTACAACTAGTCAGACAAGACATTATAGCAGACTCGGCTTCCATGTAAATTATCAAAAACAAAAGAAGAAATTTTCAGACCTGAACCCTGTTGAGACAATTTGGTGAAAGAAGACTTTTTAAACATCCAATTGACATCTATTTCTATCACCAGTGGATAATTAACTGAAATATTTTGTTAAGTTTAATACAAGGGATTTGAATTTGTTAATCTCTCTTTCAGATATCAACAACAAAGTCAACAACAGGCAGCAATCATGCAGAAACCATCATATACAACATTAACTTCTGATCCCGAGGTTATTAATGCTACCGAAATACTCTCACGTCAATCTAGCTTAGCTTCACACACAGCCACCGAAACACCTTCCGAAAACTTCTCAGATGAGGAAACAGACTCTGAATCGGAAGAGATGGCATAGTACAGTCAGTGTCCTATTGAAATATAGCAATAATTGTTTCTACAGCTCCAAGTTGAAGGGTCAAGGTTGTTACGCTACAGTGTCTTGTTATATGAACCTATCATGTGACACATTGTTTTAATAAGTGCCGATATTTGTTTCCAATGTTTGCTGGTAATTTTTAAGATTGTTATATGTAGATATTGTTTATTAGCTTCCAATCATGGAGATTTTCTTATTTATAGTTACTACCATTATAATTACAGAATAAGTAGTTTTCTTTAATTCAAAGGCAATAACGCGTAAAGTATTGTTTTCAAGATATTAGCTCCTTATTTTGTAATGATTCAAGGCAACTGCCTTGACTATTAAATTGCAAAACCAACTACTGTTTAAACATTCTGTTTAAATGTAATGAATGTCTATTAGCAAACAAGATTAGTATTTAGTAATCATGTAAAAAGTCAATTTCAGTTATCAACAATTATATTTTCTTCAAAATACATCCTACCTCAAATTGTCCGAGATGAGAATCTTTGAAATACTGTATTATAAAAGGATATAGCCTTCTAAATGACTTTTAAGAGCATTATGACCTTAATCTGGGTCGGTTTGGTAAGAATAATAATGTTATCCGTGGGCAATTACAGATGATCTTAATTTGTAGGACAAATAATAGTATGTCAGATGTCAGAGATATATAATATTTAGATGACTATATCCTTTTCACTAGAACCAGTGTGTAGTCTGCCTTATAAAGTAGAGTTTCTTGCTTGTTACTGAGGCTGTTAGTGGCTGAATTCCCTTGATGTTCAAATACCATGTTATCTCATTGGCTGATATATGTTGACATCAATTTTTATATGGAATATCTTTACAAATAATTAATTTTAAATCAATTAAGTTGATGATTTATGATTTGGTTATTTTATTAGTAAGTTATTATGATCATGCTTCAATTAATAGTTTCTATATACAATTTAGGGTATATTTGTTGGATTGATTTACAAGATTATTGCTACTTAAATTAATTTAATATTGATGTGTGTTATATAAATACAGAGCTGAGTACATTGGGTAACAATTGTATTTAATTATATTTTCAAGTATTTTTGACTGATCCATATTAAAGAAGATAATTATGAAGATATTGGAATTGTCAAAAGAACACATTTATTAAACTAGGTTACATGTAGTTTAAAAATCTACTGTTAGGGTATAATAATCTAGGACTGTCTAATATTTCTTCCTTGTACTTTCGTTTAGTTTGAAATTTCTGTACAAACAAATAATTGTATATTTACTATTTTGTTTTAATTATTTAAAACCAAGCAATATATAATCTGTCAGATTTTTAATTCAATTGAAATCCATTCATTTACCAAGATATGATGAAAAGTGCTAGAAAATTTTATAATTTTTTGTTTTTTAGCCAATCTGTAGAACCTAGTTACATGTATATCAATGTTAACTTCTTGGGTTAAAAATTGACTGCATTTGCCAGTACTAGTTATATCTGATATCTTAATTTCTGGCTGTGAATTCAATTTATTCTGTAAAGAAGTTATTTATTTTTTCACAGATTCATGCTGTTAAATGTGCTATTATGTCTGTTTATTTTTACAGAAACGATCTTGCAGTTTATGTCAAATTTTGAATTGATAAAGGGACAGTATGAACTAGTATACTAGAAACAGGAGGGTGGTTAAAAGAGAGTTATATATATTATTACTGCCAGTATGTCAGGCTGCCATCATGTATTATATTATCATCATTATCATGTCTTATATTACTCTGAATATCATTTCAACACAACATTGAGATAATCTCTTCCCCAGCTACTTCTATAGATATATATTCTAATGACCAATGACTTTGTGATTCTTGTAAAAGTATTTTTTTTTATTTTTATCAAAGACAGCAGTAACAGTGAATCTGAAATATAAGAAATATCAAAACAGAGCCTGAAACATGTTACTTTTGAGTTTCCGGCTGTGCGATCTTCAGACAAACTATTTTTTGATAAACTTCAATTGGTACGCAAGCTGAAACATGTTTCAGGTTCTGTTTTGATATGTCTATATTGCTCTACAATTGATGTATTGAGCACTATTTTAACAGTGAAAATATTTGTTATTGTAATTGAAAAAGTGACTTATAGTAAATATTATTAGAGACTGGACACTGGACATTGCAGTATAAAGTCAGGGTATCAGGGTATAATCTATAAATAGATGGCATGACCAGGGAAATGAGATAACACCACCATGCTCAACTATCATTCATAATGTAACATCATAATATCATGGAGATAGAAATTATAACATCAGAAAAAACAATTCTAGATTTACTGTATATTGAATAAAATACGTAGAATAAATTTACATCATATTTATATATGTATTGATTTATTAACCTATATAATACTACTGTTACTGGTAGAGCTTTAAAATCAACATATGACCCTATTGTTACATCGTGGCCCAGTAAGTAGTTATCCACCCAGGAATGTAGCTGTAATTTATTCTTTTGATACCAAGCAATATTGTCACATCCTTTGTTTTTGCACAAAAGAAATCAGCACCTACATGAGCATGTTGTAATTTGTACCCTCTGTTAAGGAAGCTTTCAAGTAGTTGTAGCACAATCTGACATAACACAAGGTCTTGGTAGTTGAATGAAAACATTTATTTTCAGTTGCCCTAGTGTCCACTTGCACTCCAGGCTCCTTAACATGCCACCTATTAAGAGAACATTTATCATGGGTTGCCTCAGTGTTCAGTATATAAATCTTCTAGTACTGGCAGCAAGAATGATGCCTCTGATTTAGACACTGACTAGATGTCATTACCGATACTTATCTAGTAAGTTGCATTCCCAGGGATGTTGCCTAAATGTTGCAACATGTTCAATAGTAGCAACCTTGCTAGCATTGTAATCTGACCCATATATACTTCAATAGTAAATTACGACTTTATTATTTAAAAAAAAAAAAATACATGTATGTAGGAATGTGGCCACCACTATATACATATAGTTGCACCTCTTACTAACCTTATCTATTATAAATTATGAAATATCAATTTATCTACTGGTATCTCTATATGTCAGTTATAACCAATAATAAACTCTACTGTTTATATAAATAGTCATATCACAACCCTTATCATAACTCTTATACATTTATTTCAAGGGCAAAGTTAAAATATTACTTATCAATAACTTTAGTGCTAGACTTACTTTTTATCCAACTTTTGCAACGATTGGCAACAAAATATAAATAAGTCTGCGAATTTGTAAGGCAATGCAAATGAACTTTGCCATATAATAACAGGACATTTGCACTTGTCATCTTTATTTGATCTGAAGTGGTTCACTTGGAGACTAAAGGGAGATAAGCTGTAAACTTTGACCTTGAGAAAGGAAGAAGTCAATGTTGTTATACGATTGAAGTGAACTCTACTCAGAAATTAGTAAGTAATATTTTTCCACATGCTTGTTAATAGAAATTGATTTTGCATAGAAGTAAATTAATGATGTTTTTGCGTTTAATGCTGAAATGATAGAAGTGCACTTGTTAGATGCAGTTGAGCTTTTTAAGAGCTTGTTTTCTTGATTCATCAGACAATAATAAAAGATTAACATTGGCATAGGACTGACAATTTAAATATAGCCTTGAAAACTGGAAGCAGGGTTAATCATTTGAATTGATTGATATACTGCCTGCCATGTCTGACTAAAAATTCTAATTGCCACCCACTGTTTATAAGCAGGTAAATCGTTCAAAATATTCTTATAGAATTGTTTGAGTAGATGATGAATGATATTAAACCAATTTTATGATTTCAGAAAAATGAAGTTGTTAGGATTTGAGTTTGCTCCCCTGTTGATACCAATAGAACGTCGACTACAGACCATATCAGTGTTCTATTTTACCAGTACTTTCTTATTTATGGGATTTAGTTGTTTACTACTTATGATATATCTGTTATTGTTTACTAAATATTATTGGATACCTGTTATATACTTTACTTATTATTTCTTTGATCGTAAAACATCTGCCCAAGGTGGTAGGAGGATTAATTTTATGAGATATTCACCAGTCTGGAAACATTATGCCAACTTCTTCCCGCTGAAACTGATCAAAACTGCAGAATTAGATCCAAAGAAGAATTATATTCTTGGTTGTCATCCTCATGGCATTATGTGTTACAGTCATTTTGGAAATTTTGCCACGGAAGGAAGCGGTTTCAGTAAAATATTCCCAGGAATTACTTCATATCTAACAGTTCTCAACGGACAATTCATGTTTCCCATTTTCCGCGATATCTTCATGACATCAGGTGAGAGTATACCAGATCTCTTTAAGCACCAACTATTTAATCTGATATAGTATACAAGAAAATCATCTCTAAAACTTTGATTTAAAAAGCTAAGCTTTACTAATTAAATTTCAATTCCAATCTGGATGAAATTAGTTAGTGTTTTTTACTATTTAGGTAAAGGAATGTCATTATTTTGGTTTCACCCTCACATCAAGGCTTTGTTGCCTGATTTAGTCTTTGACTCTATAACAGATGAAATGAAATTTCAGGAGCTGTAGAAGTTTCTAGAGAAAGTATCAGTTATTTATTAAACCAACCAGAAAAAGGAAATGCTGTAGCTCTTATTATTGGTGGTGCCAGTGAAGCTCTGGATGCTAGTCCTGGAAATTATACTGTCAGAAAAACAGGAAGGAAGGGTTTCTGTAAGCTGGCTTTGAAATATGGGTAGGTCTAATTATATTGCAGTTGTTTTAACACCGTTTTGTCCTTGAGAATGAGTGCTGATTGATTATGGCATAAGACATATTAATTTTTTAAGTTGAGAAGTAGATTCAGCACATTATTCAGCCTTGGTCCAGGATAATCCACTCAGAGACATTAGAATCAAACTGGCTAAGTCACCTTTCTTCAAAGGAATAACAATGATCATATCATATATTGTCTACATGTATTTCAGATATAAAATTATTTATGATTTACATGTATTCACAGAGCAAGTTTAGTACCAGTTTATGCGTTTGGTGAAAATGATCTTTATGTTCAACTTCGTAATCCAGATGGTTCCAAACTTCGCCAATTCCAGGAATTCTGCACCCATAAATTAGGTTTTTCACCACCATTATTTCATGGTCGGGGAATATTTAATTATACTTTTGGACTAGTTCCTTACAGAAGACCTTTAAATACAGTTGGTAAGTATGCCTATATTTCGTTAACACCATGCAATCAAATTTTCCTTGGCTGCTTAATAAATAATCAACTATCTAGGATTTATAATTAACCTAAAAAAACATGGCTTATCCATTGAGTAAAGCTGTTAAATTGTTTTTTTTTAATATGAATTTGTTATTATATTTTTACGAGAGCATGATAGCTTTAAAAAAGTGATCAAAACTATAAAAGTCTGTAGTCTGTTGTAGGCATAAAAAGAGTCCAAACACCACTTTTCATCATCCTAAAAAAAATGAATGACAAAGCCATATATTATCTTCTATTACAGTTGGTAGTCCTATAGATGTTGAGAAGAATGAAAACCCTACAGCTGAAGATATAGACAAACTACATAAACAATATTTACAAGCTTTAGAAGATTTATTTGAGACTCACAAAGTTAATTATGGTGTAGATAAAGATGATCATTTAATTTTCAAAAAGTAAAGATTAATTTTCTTAAGGCTTAAGCTGTTCTGACAAATGTAAAATTTGTATAGTTGGTGATATGTTTTACCAAAAGTTGCGTACAATAATATCAAGATTAATGGGTTTTTTCTATTTTTTGTTGAAAAATTGACTTATTATGTTGAGTTGAAACTTATTTTTATGTGCACTAGATTTATCCTGAGCTTTAGACTTCCTATTATGACTACTGATCACCAATTCTGATCCTGAGCTCTGGATTACTAAATAGTGCACTAGACTTATCCTGAACTCTGGACATACTATCTTTTGTACTAGACTTATCCTGAGCTCTGGACATATTATATTGTGTATTAGACTTATCCTGAGCTCTGGACATATTATATCGTGTATTAGACCTATCCTGAGCTCTGGACATACTATCTTTTGTACTAGACTTATCCTGAGCTCTGGACATATTATCTTGTGTATTAGACTTATCCTGAGCTCTGGACATATTATCTTGTGTATTAGACTTATCCTGAGCTCTGGACACATTATCTTGTGTATTAGACCTATCCTGAGCTCTGGACATACTATCTTTTGTACTAGACTTATCCTGAGCTCTGGACATATTATCTTGTGCATTAGACTTATCCTGAGCTCTGGACACATTATATTGTGTATTAGACTTATCCTGAGCTCTGGACATATTATCTTGTGTATTAGACTTATCCTGAGCTCTGGACACATTATCGTGTGTATTAGACTTATCCTGAGCTCTGGACATATTATCTTGTGTATTAGACCTATCCTGAGCTCTGACATATTATATTGTGTACTAGACTTATCCTGAGCTCTGGACATATTATATTGTGTATTAGACTTATCCTAAGCTCTGGACTAACTGTCTTGTGAACTAGACTTATCCTGAGCTCTGGACTAACTGTCTTGTGAACTAGACTTATCCTGAGCTCTGGACTATCTTGTGTACTAGACTTATCCTGAGCTCTGACATATTATATTGTGTATTAGACTTATCCTGAGCTGTGGACATATTATATTTTGTACTAGACTTATCCTGAGCTCTGGACTAACTATCTTGTGAACTAGACTTATCCTGAGCTCTGGACTAACTGCCTTGTGCACATGACTTATTTTAAGCTTTAGACTTAGTATTTTGCCAGACAGTCTTAAAACATATTGGTCCAAACTTTCTGTGGATAAATACAAAATAAAACTTTTGTAGTAAATGGATCATGAAGAATTAAAATCACAAGATAGGAGATTTATCAGTTATATTTAAATGACATTATTTACAAAATTACAAAATATCATTACAAAAATATTTCACTACCTTCAACAGGTAAATTTAGATAAGACATGAAAGAAAATTTCTATAATAACTTCAATCAATCAAATTCAATTTTAAATCTACAAAATATTTCATTTCTGTTTTAGTATGAAAAAATCAAGCTTACTTCTTATTCTTAACAATTTCTATGAAAGCAAAAGACAAAAATTGGCATTTTAAACAAGTACAAAGCTTCCATATAATGTTTTTATTCAAACTTTGATTTTAATTTTGAATACATACAGATAGTTCAGCTTTATCACCTCAATTGCAACATCTATATTGAAAAAAAAAGAAGCCATTCACTACAGAATCAGAATTCGACTAGAACAGAAGAATCTTTAACAAACTAAACAATTAAATCTTAAACAAACAGCACTTTTCTTGAAAACAAAATATACAACTTAATAAATAAATACTAGAAAAACGATATCATATATTAGGATAGGCCTAAACTAATCAGGATTTGTTAGCAAACTGAAGTTATTTCTAGAAACTAATCATATTTCTGCATATCCACGTATAGCCAAATGGGTTTCATTTCCTCATGTTTTGAACTGACCATGGACATGTACAATTATGCTTGTTTATACATTTAAATAATCTCTTTAAATTATACTACTAAGGAAAAATATATATACATTTAAAATATTGTAATTCACAGATCAAAGAATAGGAAGACCGACCATGCTAAGGAAAACTTCACAGGAGTTTATTCATAGAGTTGATTCAACCAAGACTATGATTAAAGGGAATGTATGTGCTGGTTTGAAAAGAATGAACAAGAATTGTATTAAAATTCTATCTATTTTGAACACTGAACATTGTAAAATCATTCCTGATCAATAGAGGGGGAACTTCATTAGCTTGTAACTTTATTGAAAACAGATGATATTAATAAATTTTTCGCCATAACATTCAGTTTTTGCTAGCCTAGTTATGTTAATTTATGTTAATGTAATAAGAAATTTTGACCTCTTCAACTCATCTGCTTAACAGTCATTGGTACTATTTATTTCTAAAAGCCATTTTGGTCACAAATACCATTCTTAGATAACTGACATCTATTGAAAATAACTATCACAATTACTAAAGATAGTCAACTAAGTCATTAAAGCTTCTCAACATCTATATCAAATAACTAGAGAAATTCGTACCAAAACATGCAGGGTCTAACTGGGCCTGGAGACCGGTTTGATGTTACACAATCTATATATAAATACAATATTTACACAATAAAAACATATACTATATATTATATCTCGTGGAATATGTGCAGTATATCACTAGATAGGAAGGAAGAATTCATATTCATCACAGACAGACATATACTGAAAGGCATGTGATATTTATACCTATATTTTATGTATTAAGTAAAGCCATTGGGGAAAAGTCAGTGTTCAATGGATTATAAAGCTACAAAAAGAAGCACAGACAGTCAAATGATTTATTGCCCACAGAACATCTAACTGCCACTGTCTAAGTTTTATCAAAAGTGACATTTGTTTTTTTGCCTTTCAGTATAGTTGAACTCCATTCCCAAGCCAAATTGTCTATTTTAGACCAGGTTAAACTTATTTTTTAGCTTTCTTAGATTTAAAACCATATTTTTGTGGAATAATAGAATTGTGCTTCATCTGACAGGATTACAACCTCATCAAACCATTATTGTAGAAATCATTCACATTGACATCATTAATTTGCTTCTATGAACCACAAAAAAGATATTTTAAGGGATCACACTTAAATTAGTAACAAGTGTTACTAAAACCAAATCATTATTTACAGGACCATAGAAAATTACATCAAGTCTTAAATTGTGAATCTTATTGCTAGAAATTTTTAAAAACAAGAATCATTATGAATGAACTTCCTGAGAGCAAAGCTACAGAATAGGAGTAAAATCACTGGTTTACATTTAGATGGTACAATCTGAAAACAGTCATCAATAAAATAAAAAAATGGAAGTTAGTAAAAGCACTTCTATGAAATTCTCATGTTTTTTTTCCTTTCCCTGAATCTAAACTACAGGTAAAAAGAATCTTATACATTGATCAGTACACCATAATGCAATATGTATCTAAGGCCCCTATCACACTATCTGATTATGTTTTGGTCTTCTGGTTTCTGTATTAAAATTGACATCATCTTGAGTATGATTACTGGCTCCACCTGGTGAGGAATTTCTAGAGTTGTCTGTCCTAACCTGTGTAGTATCTGGAATAGAAGAAAATAAAGATTTTATATAATAAACCAAGTACAATGGCCAAGTTATAAAGTTTAAAGGAATATAGAGTATCACAAATTGTAACTAAAGATCCTGTTTTCAGGTTTCTTCAAAGCCATTACAGAATTAATAAGAATACCATTTCATAAAATATGGATATCCATATTTTTCAAGTTAACTTTGCAGTCTTATCTGATATTATATTAAACATATCATTCAACAGTCCCTTACATAAGGCTGATGATTAGGTAAAAGGTATGGAATGGAATGTCATTGGGAATTTCATTATAATGTGCCATAGACTATGGAATACTTGGTTGGTTTTAGTGTGTTTTACAGGTATATCAGTACATAAATGATATATATATTCTTATAATTATTTATTAAGGTTTTCCAATTTCTAATCACCACAGGCTTTGTTCAACTACTTTATAATCTTTTCTTAATATCAAATAGTCCATATAAGTGTGTATAAATATTAAAGTTTTGTCAAATTAACATAGAGAGGTAATTATATATGGTATATAAAGAGGATTGATAAGAGATTTGAAGGATGGAGGGTTAATTATAAATTCCAATTTACCATTTAATTTATTTTGGATCTGAAATTTGAAATATTTAAAATCAGATGGATTCAGATAGAAAATATTTCAAATTATAAAAAATACAAAAAAATTGTGGGATATTTACTAGTCACTTGCCTTAGGAAATGACATAAAATACATACTAAACCATACCTTGGGTTTCTGGAGATGTATCTTCTGGTAAAACAGGGTTATCTTCCCCAGTTAAAGTGGAGTTAACTTCTCTTGGTAATAGAGTTTCATTGTCATCTTCAGTTGCTTTCACGGATGCAGATGAACTTGCTTTGGTTTTTTGTTTCTTAAGTTTAGTTTTAGAAGAACTGGACTTTGTTTTTGACTTCTTCACTTTTTTCTGTTTTTCAGTTTTGGATTCATCAACTAGTGTGGCTTCTGCTCTACCAACTGCACCAACCTCGTCCTTGGTTTTTCGCTCCTTTCTTGGCTTTCTTCGTGATTCTTTCGGTTTGACATCTTCATCTTTGGAATGCGCCCCAACTGCCCCAGAAATATCCTCTTGCTCTCCCCCTAATACTGAATTATCAGAAGAAGTTACTGCAATTTGTTTCCTGTCTTCAACTTGTATCAACGTCTGTCCTACAGCTCCATGGAGAGAATTGACAGAATCTGAATCCTCCTCATGTAAAGAGGACACATCATTTCGGACTGCTTCTGGTAAACCTAAAATTAAATAGGATATTTCATACCAAATAAACTTTATAAGCTGTCTGTCTCCTAAATTAAAAACAAGCGGAATCAAATTTACATATCTGAGACTATGATCTGGATCTGAATCACGGGCTTATTTACAGTAAAGTAAAAACCCTACATACCTGATCTATCGAAAGTAGAAGTTCGACTGGAAGTTGCTGATTGGTTAGCTAGTAATGGTGTACGTTCTGTACTAGTGGCTCCACCCTCAGCGTCTGTGTCGCTATCTGTCTCGTTTTCTTCACCTGGTATCACTCTACGTTTACAGATTGGACAGGTTTTTTTATTCTTAGTTAACCAGGGATCAATGCACTTACGATGGTAGGCTGAAACAAAGAAATTTGTTATTTTCCAATTAATATATTATCACTTCTAGATGTTGTATATATAGTATGATAAATGCTTATTTGCATATTAAATTGAGGTAGAGAGGTTCACTGACTGATATTTTAGACAAAGAAATATCATTCAGAGATAGTACTGACTAATATTTTCTTTAATTCAACAAAATAAAATGTAAATGTTTTGATTATAAAATATTATTATAACAATGAACTTACAATGATTACAAGGTAATATCCTGAGTTTTTCACCTTCTTCATAATCATCTAGACAGATAGCACATACATCATAATTATCTCCTACAATATATTATTCATATTATTATATAATATCTATATCATTTCAGTTCCTTTAATATATATGTTCATTATCAATCAATAAGCAGCAAGTAACAAGATTGGGAATAAAGGGGATACTCACAATTTTTCATATCTATATTCCGATTAAATGATTTTCTATGCTATCATCCAGTTCTAAGAGAGATTCTATCTACATACAAACAACTAACTAAATAAATAAATATAAAGATATCAAACCTTTTTTGAATTTTTTAATGGGTATTTTTTTAAGATGTTTAGTTGATAACCTAGAGCGATTTCTTCTACGTCTATCTATACACCATTTTATTAACTGAAGTAGAATAAAAACAGAATAGACAGGTTCGGTATTTCATGGTTAGAGTATTGGAAACATTACATAAATTACTGGATTATGTCAAGTAAATGGTGGTAGTGGGTTCTGATATTGGTCTATATGTGAAAGTCTGAGCTGAATAAGTCATCTTTCCTCAATTATCCAGGCGACCCAGCTTTTTATGGATAATTTGAGAAAAATCACTACAAAGAGGTTTGTTAAAGGGCCAGCTTGTGAAAAGGATAATACTCATGAACCTAAGTTGTAAATATGGTTAATATTTTGCCTTGCAAGTATTAAGAATTGATATATATATATTCTACCTATGTAGTATAGCCACTAGAAAGTGAAAAAAAATAATTTTTGAATGAAATTAAATTTAAACAAAGAACTCTCTTATCATATCAAACAAAGCAAGGAATCTCATACGCTGAAACAAATTGACTCAAAGACCTTTAAAATTGATAAAATAATCATATACTTACCATGAACACTAACATTAGAATAAAACAAATACCAACAACAATGGCAAAAGGCCAGAGATATATCTTATAATTAGGAAGTGGTATTTCACCATCAACATTGACAACGATGTTCCTGTAATATATATAATATATGAGGATGAGGGGGAGGAAGTGTGGAATTCTAATCCTAAAAGTACATAGACAATCTAATTATATTGCAGATGCATATTTTATATCATGTTCTGCCAAATTTCTAACAAATAGCATCAAAAGTTAAAAATTTAGCTAACAAATTAATATCCAAAATCAATCATGAGAAAAGGATGGTTCAGTCCAAGGGAGATCTTTTACATTTACACACCTTTTCTTATAGTCAAAATTATCTGCCATATCCATACCAGTACTGTAAGCTACAAATACTGAGGGTATGTTGACTTTACTACCATCTATAATATAAAATATATTTATACATATTACAGCACCATTTATAGTTCAAATTGTAAGTTAAAAAGTCAATACATGTATTGTGATGCCAGATTTTAGACAACAAAACTAAGATAATATTGTAGATTGGCTGATACAAATCCATTTTAGTGATTGACCAATCATATTGGTTGGAACACTAAAATTATCGAAAGTTGAGTTTTCAAGATATGAGCCTCTCAGCTGAATTATAAGTATGTAATGTCACATGCAAAGCCTGAATAATAACATATTTTATTCAACATTTTAATACTTAATGACAAATGACAAAATGAAAATTTTGCAAAGGAAGAAGTGCATCATGGAAGATAATGTGAAAAGCATAAATTGCGAAGGAAATAGCACAGTATTTTAATTTAATATAGTAACCAACACAAATAAACACATAGGAAATACTTACGCTGACCAGGACTCATAGGCACCAGCCCATCATCACCATATTTATTATGTACTATACCTACAGAATATCCTGCTTTCTGAGCATTTAATATCTGAAATAGTGGTCAATATCTCAACCTGTCAATCATTATAAATGCATGTGCATGACATCATTAATTAGTCGTAAGCTTCCTGACTTGTTTTGTAATTAAATTTTTAGCTTTGATAGAAGATAGTCTGATACTTATTTTCCATCAAAGATTCCATTCAGAGGAGATCAGAAAATTGTTCTTGTTCTTTTTTTTGGAGATTGTCTACAATTTCATCAATTGTCTGCAAAATAATTTGATCGAATCTTCAAAATTGTTTATTTAAATTCATACCTACACATTATATTTATGGCAAATTCCATATGGTCCCTTCAAGAGTATACAAATCATTGTAAAGTTAGGAAGCTTGTTCAAATGAAAGCCTTTTAGCATGAAGTCAAATTGTGGTATTATAGCACAGTGAGTTGAAAAAGTGTAATATGGTAAAAGGAAGGATAAAGTGAAGCTTGTAGCAGGCCGTTTCTGAACTTAATCTCACCTCTACCCATACGAACTAGATCATCTGAACCCTTTATATTATACACCATGGCTAGATCATAGCCTGAATTCTGGGCATGTAATACCTACAGATAATTTGAACTACATGTATAAAAGTAAAACATCTGGAAATCTCTCTAGAGAAATCAACATGGTCAATTCATTATTTTTCTATTTCCCATGATTGTTCTATTGATCTAGTGAACAATCGATCTTGCCAAATTAGTCGAAAAATGTACATTGTATTGAATCAGGAATCAATTGTGTTTAAGACCTTGAGGATAGTAAGGATGAATTAAAAAGTATAATACCTTCTGAGCAAAATCACACCCCTCTCTAGCTATTAAAGCAATCCAGGCTCTAGGATTGGGAACATCCCTTGGTGGTCTTTCTACAGCTGAACAGGCATTGTGAGGGTTCACATATACCAACATACCCTGTAATATCATTATATCATTCAATCATATCTCAAATAAAACTACAAAATAATGTGCAGGTGGAATACATTTTCACTGTGCCATTGAGTGATTAACTCAGCTTCTCCAAGATTAAGGGAAGTCCATAGTTAACTATATGTTTTTTTCTATCTAATATTTGAAATTTCTGGTCCAAGCAGGAAATTAAAAGAATATTGGAAGAAATTCTAAAACTTACACTTATTCCATCTACAGGTAAACTAGTACCAAATAAAGCAGGCATATCATCATAGGTTGCTATAGTGATGTTCTTTACATTATCCATCTGGAAATACATGTGATTGCTTTGTTAAAATTGGGTGAAACAAAAAACTTTTTTTTAGATCAAATACATACCAAAATAGGTTGAAAACTATTGCATTTTCATTATTCCACAGTGGTTGACAACAAAAGTTAGTCATTAGAAGTTTGTTTTGGCACATATTCACAATTGAATTTATAGTAATGCCTGAGTAGTTTTAGAAAAAGAAATATCAATAGCACAGCATTACAAGATCTACAGAAATTCAAATAAAAGCTACATACCACTGTTATTTCTCCATGTACCATTGTAACATGAAATAAGGCCAACAGATTGACTACAGTAAATAGATATAAACCAGTTATATGACTTGGTATTGTTCTATCCATTTTGTTTCTTTATTTCTTCCTACAAATAGACAGGATGAATAAATGAAAATGAACACACAAAATTGTTTTTTTTTACGAAACGGGTACCTGGTATCGCTTACATTTACAAATTAATTTTTCAAATAAATCATATCAAAGAAAAATATCAGGGTGTTGTTATAAAAAGTTTTTGATTCTAAAGAATAGCCAAAAATGAACTCCACTAAAATAACTACCTTTGCCTGTGTCATTAGTATGGCACAGGATCTAGAACACTGATGCCAATCTCTGACTGGGAGCCACATAGATAATATTGTTAATATGATATATCTATTACTCATATGCTTTCAGTCAATTTGGAAAATCCTATTTTGAAGATGTCCTGATGATGACTGTATCTCGCACAAGAGTGGGCAGCATGAGATGAGCTCTAGTCAATAAGACAAATGTTTCTCTTTAAATTTAGAAACAAAAATCAATATCAAACCATAACATAAATATTTAAATTATTCCAATTATTTTTAATGCATCACAAATAGAAATATTAAATTCTTAGAAACATCAAGCAATTAGTCAGCAAACCTATTTTTAGTTGTCAAGGGTGGTAGTATAATACAAAATAGACTGTTCTCTGTGGTCCATGTAGGGAAGAAGAACCCCTTCTTATTTATATTCTACAATTTTAATCTGATGAAATTTATCTGGAGCTCGAATACTGGTGATGTTACAGGCTATTCATGGCAGCCAATCATACACCACTCTACTGCCAATCAGACAGAATCACTTTAACAAACAAGTTTTGAAAGTAATATCCTTCTACTTATAGTTTCATTATCCCACTCTCCATAGTTGATATTTAGATATGCATAAGGCACTGTGATTGGTTGAAAGATAAACAGTACGCAACCTCGGTATAATTCTTTTAGATAACAATGGAGACCAAAAGAAAATGAGACGAAATTGTGATCAAAGTATAATTAGATTATGTCTAACTCAGTCTATACTCCAGCCACTACCACCCAATAACTTCAATACTGTATATACAATACAATATCTGCACAAATCATATAAATTAGTACAAACATAATAAATGGTTCCTCATTCTCTGACCATTTACCTTAAATTGAATGTCAGCATAGAACAAGTTTTTAGACTTTTCTTTATAAAAGATATACATTTGTTGAGTTGCTCATTAAAATCTACATAGGATAAGCTTATATTATACAAATACCTGTTGTATAAATATATATATAAAGAGTATAGTTTGGTTTAAGTGTATCACTTGTTATTCATAACAACATGACATTCAACATACAGTACATGTCAATTGACAATACGAAAGAGAAGAGAAGCTAGTCATTTGGAATCACTCCATGCTAGTCAGACTATAATACACATCACCAGTAGCACAAGACCAAGTGTGGATACTGATAGTTAATAAAAAAAACTGTGAGAGAGAACAACAAAATAATTAAAAATATCCTCTCCATACCCAAATCATTGAATAAAAACAATGTCACGATATTCCTCTATTAATTATTGTGATATGACACGGTTAGACTGTTATGACAAATTGTCACTCTTCTAACAAAACTGGTGACCTCAATTATTTACTTAGATTATCCTATTTACCTTTTTTCAATTGTCAATAGAATTCTCATATTCACAGTAAATTCACTTATTTTAGATCATGGAATCTAAAAGTTTTGTTTGTTAGTCATAAAAAGTTCGAAATACTAGACAATGATTGTAATGTTGTTTGACTGTTTTGGTAAATCAAACCCACCATATTAATGAGATCTATGTCATGTGAGATGTAAGTATCACCTATTTAAACTCAGCAGACCTATCCTGGCTGACTCTGACTACATTCTTCATTTTAGTCCATAACCTCCTCATCTACTGACCCATTCTTATACAATATAACTTCTTACTTTCAATTTAATTTTAAAACCCAAATGTCTTTTACCAACTGATTTTGAGAATGATTGAACCAAAAAATGTTCTAAATACACAAGCACAAGTTCATAAAAATGACAGATTCTTTTAGTGAGATAAATTCAGATGGACAGACAAGCTATTAATAATTTCTGGGAAAAAAAATACGTATTTAATTTGATAAATATGACTAATTATTAATAGGTCTACTTGAACTAGATAGGCTGATAATTATGAGAACATGAGTACAAAATTATTACATCCCATTAATTACCAAATGTAGTTCTATGTTTTAAATTACACAAAATAAATGTTTCTTCTATTATTAATTTTCTTACTCAATCCATACCAATATAGGGCAAAAACACATATTAATAGTTCTGTACCCAACCACAGTACCTGGATAAATTTGTACTTATTGGGGTAAATTGAATGTCTAATTAGGGTCCTACATAATATTGAGCCCTTAAAAGGTTTTTAATAAATTTTTACATCTAAAACAATTCACTTCAAAGTTTAATAAGATAAGCTTATGCCACCTGAGTATGTAAAATATATCTATCTATCTTTCTTCACCTTAGTAAGCTATGTACATGCAAAAATACCTCAGGCTAATCCGATTATGAGATAGTTTTAGTTTGTTTATTCTTGTTTTACATCAAAACATAACAATATATTTACTGACCTATTCATAGTTCAACTCTGTTATATTTCCTTGTACTAGTCTTCAAATCCTTATTAACACTATTATTCATTAAGTACTTTCACAAAACACAAGTGGTCTATAACCACACTCTCAATATTGCTAGCCTAAGCCATAATTTTAATCATTTAAACCTGATATAAATTTTTTCCATAGAATTTGACAATTGTCCTAAACAGGATTTGATAATTAACAGTCCCGTTACAATATACATGATCATAAATTTAAATGTAATAATCAGAGCCTACCTAACGACATCAACACAACAATACAACATTTTATTGAAAAATTATCATCTATTGACCTACATAATATAACAAATCTCTATCAATCAAATATCATTTATCATCATGATACAAAAATGGATTTTACTGGAAAACTTTTTCAAATATAACCTTATATAAGCTTCTATACTGGCCATATTAAATTTTGAGGTCTGCTTCCATATTTTTCAGGACTTGACTCTACCATAGTACATCGATTATAAAATAGATCTATAAGCTTTTGACCCCTAACTGTAAGCAAGTGGGCTAGTTATTGTTATTAAGGTCATGTAGACGAAGGCTATCTATTTGTGCCAGGTTCCGAATGGCTCAGCTGATATTTGTTGAAAACAAAACAAACAGCCAAATATGGTCAGGTTACCATTGAATTAGTGCTTCTGCTTACTAGATCTGGCCTTACCTAATAACTAAATAATTGTTAAAATTTGATGTCAAACATGTCAAGAATAAAGAAGAAAAATTCCTCCTTCAGACGATCTCATAGTAAAACGACTGCCAGATACTGCTCAAATCAGAAAAGTATGCTGACCTTGATAAAGACCCAGGCCTACTAACATACCTTGCTTAATCAGAATGCATGTGTCACAGTATAATTTAGAATAATCAAGCAGTGAATGACATCATTTTAACCGTATATAATTGGCATGACCTACATCAGAGATAAAGCAGATCCAATTCCACATGACCATCCTCATTTAAATCCTAATTATTATGATTTCTCCTGACTGTTCATGATAGCAATAATAGCATTTGAATGAATGAGCAATGATTATTCTGAATCATACACAATAATAAAATGCAGGCTTTAGCACAATAAAATATGCTTCAACGTACTTCCTATACTTAATCTATAATGTGATGAAAGTGTAAAATCCAGACTTATCTAATAATGTAGATCTAGTCTAGATTTACCATTGTGATTGCCACAATGCCACCATCGATTTCATTATTTTATGAATGTGAACACGTAGTTCTTGTAAAAATCGAAAGTGTTTCATTAAAAAAATATAACATGAACATACCTGAGAATACAAATAACTATAATAAAACAAGAAAAACAAAAAAAATGTAACAATAAAATCACATTTTGGTCGATTATCAAAGTTCAACCTCAAATAGTAAACAAACACAATCAGTAATGGCCGCCGTGGATTATTCGGTCATGTGATAAATGGAGTTATGTCCCTTTAGTTCAGATCTACTGACCTTGAGACGAGTTCTGTCTGATGCTTGAAGATTTCTTTCTGATTCTTTTTGGCTGAAAGTTGGTCCGCAACCTAGAGGGAGGGGGGGGGGGGGGGGGGGCATGCCCCCTGGAACTATATTCGACCCCCCCCCCCCCTCCTCTGCAAAGTTCGAACAAATTCTCAATTTAACTTAGGCCTATGCGCCTCAAAGTCATGACTTCCAGCTGACCCTGGAATGAAATCAAAGATGCAAGAACATCCAACTGTTAGGTCTACTCAAATGTCTCTTTTTCGGCTTATTTTTCTCCCTAAGACATAACCACGGAATGTTAATACATCTTAAGCGGGTTAGTGCCTACTTGGGGCACCCTTACCCCCATCCCGAAAAGTGTATTGCCCCCTGGAAAAAAATAGCCAACTTATATCGTCACTTGCCCACCTGAACAATTAATTAAGGTTACGGGCCTGATCTTGAGTTATTGAACATAAGTGAATATTAGCAGCATCAAGCCTGCCCTTAACTTAGGCCTTTGTGTCTTGCCTTTGATTGATTTTCATCTGACTTTGAAGTGAATATAGGCTGGCCTAAACGTTTTGTGTCACGAATGTTTACTTGGAAAGCAAAGTATTTAAGTATTCGCTAACCATCATATCATGAAAGTCACGACTTTATTAGCTAGCCTACATCTTTAGAAATTGGAAACATTTGATTTGCCTATTATACATCAAAGGTCCACTTATTACAGCCCACGGTAGATTTTACTATAGGTTATAGATTAGACTCTTGCTTAAGGAACATGCCTATGTCTCTGATTGTGTCAGTTATGAATGACCCTATAATATACGGGTAGGCCTACGTATTGGGTAGGTATGCAGATAGATACAATGAAGATTTACTTTAAATGTGTATGTTTCCCGACTAAAATGACCTGTTCACCGTCGATGGTATACCTATATTGTAATGATTAGCTAATAAACCAGATAACGAGAAAAGATGACACTATAATCTAAAGGTTAGATCTAGGCCTACATTTTTCCGAGGGTCTATGCCCCAACCCCCCCCCCCCCCTCCCCCGGCCCACCACCACCCCACCCTCATTAAATACGCCACTGATTGAATTGGTTGGATTGGAATTATGCAGAAGGGATAGATTTATTCTATTGATATGCAATATATAGCAATTGTTTCTGAAAGAAAATTAGTTTTTTTCGCTCTGTAATATAGATTTAATTTCAAATCAAAGCGAAAATGCAGTCAAAAGTTGACACCGCTTGATGTCGCTACACACCTGTTGATCTCGTTTATCAAGTCTTTTTATTGCTACAGTAATTTTATTAACCAGACCTTATTCTCGAGACTACATTTACCTGACGAATACCTGTGACTCAAACTTTTAATATTTCAAGATGGCGTCGTCTTACAGGACCCCGTCTTTATCTGCTTCGTCTTATTTTCCTGATTATACCAGCACCGTTGGAACCGTGGTGGAGAGACCAAGCCTCCATGATCGTATGAAAGATGTCCGAGAATTCTTTTACCATGTCGATAATAATGGTAGAAGCCGTATTTTTGGAAAAAGGGCAGACGATTTTTGTAAGTTTTTGGCTCTTGTTTTGAACTCTAATAGTAGTGGAATGTGTCGTAAATATGATGATTAAAATGAATGAATGTGTTGATTTGTGACAAGGGTTGAAGTTGGTAGTGATAGGTAGGATTAAAAATACCAAAATGATATCTTTCTGTTATTGAAGACCAATGTATATGATTGGATATGACTAAAAATATGGTCTCCAAAATAGATCATACTCATCTAGCCTTTATAGATTGGGATTGATATTGTTTTTTCTGTAGATTTAGTATTTTTTTGAAGATTTCTAAAGAATGGCCAATTTTTGTTTTATTTTATACCCCAATGAACTATTCTCTACTATCAGAATTTGAAATGATGCTGCATATGTTCTTAAACTTGTCAAGCCTCTAGATAGACAGGTTGCTTCTCCTTAAGTTTCAAAGTGAAGCTTATTTGTAACTTCTTTTTTAATAACATGTTAAATTTTTGTATATTTCAGTTCTTTCGTTTATCTTCCATGTAGTTATAATCCTTGTTTGTTTAGCATTACTAACTGCTAAAATGGCTATATTTTATGTAGTATTGGACTGGAATTATCCGACTTATAATGGTACAGAGAGTATTCTACAAACACCAGGTATGATCATTAGAAGGTTAAAGTCACCTATTTGGGTGATTTCCAATCCAATGAAGGTTTGTTAATAGACAAGGCTGTAATATTGCTTTAAAGTAGGCTTATTAGCATTTGTAGCATCATGAGACATCCACAAACTTTAAATTTGTTTCCTTTTACATTATTTATGTATGAGAAAATGTGATGTATTTTTTATATAATTTTCAAAGTATAAACCATTGGAACTGGAAAGATAAACTTATTGGACATATTGTTTTGTAATTGTAGGTCTTACATTCCGTCCCCAACCTAACTCTATGTCTACTGTTATAAGATTTGTAAAAGGTGACACTACAACCTATGCCCATTATTTAGATCATATGGAGGCATATCTTAGATGTAAGTGTATTTATTAACATGAATCCGATTTTAACAGGAAGTTATATAGGTAGATAGATGTTCTCCCAGTTTTCGTCCGTTTTTATTTATTAGCACTTAATTTTAATATAGCCACTTCAGTTAGTGAGCCCTTTTAAATGTTCATAATATTATCCTTTTGACCTAACTGGATGACTTCTGCTTTAACCTATCAACTGGTTGATGTATGATCTATCAGATTATATTGTTTGTGATCCCATCATAATTATTTAACCAACTTTTCTTTTTTTGTTTTAGGAGGGTTTTGGTTATGAGAGCGTTGAAAGTCAGATCCAATGTGCATATTTGAAAGAGATTTGAATGAAGATCTCAAACTTTGAAATAACATTTGATTTAGATTATTCATTGATAAAATCTCCATTTGATCTGCCTTGTTACACAACCCACACATTTCCCTTTGACATTTTCTTTTAATAACTATGTTTTATTTTCTTGATAGATTATGAAAATGAAAAGCAGCAAGGAGAAAACTATATGGATTGTAGTGAAATCAGAGAGAGACGTCGCGAAAATTTAAATAAAGTTTGTCGATTTAACGTAGAATGGTTAGGAGCAGATTGTGTTAAACAGCAAAATTTTGGTTTTGATGATGGTCAGCCTTGTGTTTTGTTAAAATTGAATAAGGTATGTTTTGTTGAGAGTTGTTGAGATTTAGGTAATACCCGGTAACAAAATATAACAACTAAAAAAAACCCCCATTTACATTTGGACGCTACGAAGTGTTCCGTTCTTGGTAAAGACCTAGATTCAATGTCAAAACTTTGTCCATTTACACTATTACAAATACAAATGTTCTAAAATAGTAGTGTTTACGATCCGCTGTACTCGGCAACTAATTGAACTCCTATAGACGTATAAGTAACATGAATGGAGAAAAAATAATTGCTCTGACAGTCATTTCATCTGCTCCTAGAGACCTGTTTTGAGACCCTTTCGCAGGCCCAAAAGCAAGTTTTTTCGGGCAAGAATCTCATAACTAGGTTAGAGATTCGGGCAATTCAGATATCTCGCCCCCTCTCGGATGTAAACCTGGCTACCCACTTCGGTAGTCTTATACCAGAACAGTACACTAGACCGTTTACAATTCATCCATTTCATTCTCAGGACTGTTCTGAGAACAGAAAAATTTTATGTGAATGGAGCTTTAGAATAGAAAGGCATCAAAGAACTGTTAACTGATAATGCCAATGTATGAAATATTTTGTAGATCTATGGTTGGGAACCAGAAGAATATCCTGATGACCTTACAATACCTGATTCTATCAGAGATCACTGGAATACCTGGTCTATTACTGTAACCTGTGAAGGAGAGGTATGTGTTGGTTATTAACATGAAGAATTGAAACCTCAGGAATATTGATATTAAATTTAAACAGCTAGTTGTTGAGATTGTGATCAGCCATTCATCTTTCCTGAAATTTGTACACAATTGTACACTGTTTCTAGCCATTGGTTAAGGATATGACATAATTTATGGCAATTTACCTTGTCAATAATACAAAGTACATTCATTTGATGGCAACAAGAAATATGGCAACAAGAAATTGTTGACTGGCTGACATACATGATCAACAGCTTTATTCTTTAACCTTCTTGGAGATTATACTATATTTATGCCCAACATTGTCTGAAATGGTTCTCACAACCTCCTAGAAATATATAACATAAGATGATTTGTTTAATTTTCAGAATGCTGCAGATAAAGAGAATATTGGAACGCTGTATTATTTCCCTCCCAATGGATTCCATTTTAAGTATTACCCATATTTAAATCAGCAGGGTTATAGGTCACCCTTAGTTTTTGTAAGATTTGATCATCCTAGACCAGGAACATTAATCATGGTCACATGTAAAGCTTATGCTAGAAATATTAATCATGATGCTATCTCTATGATTGGTCAAACGCATTTCGAATTATTGGTAGATTAATATTTAGTGCTTCTTGATATTTATCAACATACATTTATCTTGAGTCCTCATGGGTAACGAGTCAGTTTCAAAATTTATCCCTTGATCCAGCAGATGTCTTTAAATTACTGAACTACTAAGGCTGTTTGGTAATGAAGGCAAATGCCTCACTTTGAAATGATAACCAGTCTTTTGAAGTATCTTTTTTCAATAATGTATTTTTAAATCCACCCAGACAACTCTTTGCAGGACTTCAAAAGGTAGTTGCTGAATCAAGGGAAACAATCTTTGAGGGCTCTAGATTAAAACAGTTGTGTTTTTTAAGTATGCATATCTCACAGGTTAGAGTGAATTGACAGTTTGGATCACCAGTAATCTATATTTAATTCAATAGATTCTATATTTCTATATAGGTTGAAAAAGAGAAAACTGAATAGAAATTCACTTTGATCATTTTAGGCACAATTTTAAAGATTAAGTTAACTGTTATTTCAGTTTTTGAATGGCTTTCAGGAATTATTTTTAACTAATAATTTTGTCAGCATTATGTTGCAAAAGTGTAAAATATTTATTTTAGTAATCCTTAGTATGGTTAAGTTAACACTGAAGTTTCTTTCTGACTTACATACTTAATCTAAATTTCTCAATGATTTCTCAATTTCTCTCTGAGTAAATTTAAATATCCTTCCATTAATTTTAAATTTCTTGAAATAGTTAAAAGCAATCATGTTTTAGGTAGATTGTGTCAACAGTATGAAATACTGACTAAGAGTAAGAAAGGTTGTAGTTTAAGTTTTCTGTACTGAGAGCACCAGTTAATGCAGGCCTGTCACCTAGTTAGTTATTGAATGTTATTTAGTTTTATCATATAGATACAAGTTTAACCATTCCTTTGTCTGCTAAGTATTGCCTTCTCTGTGTAATGAATAGATCTTTCCACTATTAACTGATTAGCTATAGAATTATATGGAATATAACACACTTTGAGCAAACACTAGCCTCACACTATGTAAATGCAGTGACATCCAATAACCTATTAAATTTAATCATGCCATTAACTTGAAATAACTTATGTGCAGCAATACTGACAGTATCATCAATATAATTTTATTAAAGGATAAACATTTAATATTGTTATTATTCAGTTTAAACTATTTTTTTTATGTATTGGTGCTTGTAATTTTTTCTATTTGGGTTAAGTTGTTAACTCTTGAGGTCCAGTGATGAGATCTAATACATGTCAATGGAAGCTTGCATGTCATATTTTCTACACAAAAGTGCTATAAATGATATCATTTGATTCAGTTTTTGTCTGACACTTTGGTCAATGAATTTCTGAGCAAACATTTGATGAATATTGTTTGTCTTGAAAGCAATAATTTTCTAATCATTGTGTCATCTTAGTGGTTGCATTTCCCTCCAACATTGTTTTACATTGCTTTCACATTCTAAATCTAGATTGCTCTTGCCATTTATATGATTAGATATTTATAGAATCTGTCTTACTTCTTGTACCAAATTATCAATTATACTGATGCCTTCAAATCATTAATTCGGAGCATTGTATAACTAAAAACCATTGCTCTCGATATTTCAATATCTACGATATCTATAACTATCAAAATTTTATTTCATATAAAGTGAAATGAATAAATTTACTTGTCTTACATAGAATTTTCTAATGGATGCTTGTGAAGTGTCCCCTTACTTATATTTTAGTTTTGTTATTAATTCTAATTTCATCATCCAATGTTTTTAAATCTGACTATTATTATGAGTTAGTCAAAATATTCCAATATCATAATCAAACTAGTGGTTGTAGGACCACTATATAGTCCTCATTATCATTATTTGTAAATTTCTCTTCTATTTTTATCATAATGAAATAATTTTTATACTATTTTAATAATGTTTTGTACATACATGCCTTGTTAATACCATTCCATTTTATAATCAAATATATCTTCTTTCTTAAACATGATATTTTTTATACACCCACATAGATATAGATATATTGCTAGTGCACTTGTCTATCTCTCCAGTTTACAATGATAATCATGAGTGTAGGCCTTAATTACACTTTAGATTCAACAAACTTAGTTTTAAGATCAGGTAGCCTATGAAGTTCAACATATTGCACTGATAAGAAACAGGGTTAATTTTACTTGGCATCTTGAAATGCTACTGTTTCTTAAAGAAGCCTAGGCTATTAACATTTTAGTTTAATCTTAGCTGGCTGAAGAAGTCAATCTTTAATTCAATGTGTTTCAGAATGATATCAGGCCCCTGCAGAACGAAAAATTGTTGTCATTTCTCAGCTTCAGTAGGCCTAGGCCCTATTTCAAAAACTTCCTAGTAAGTACTACTAGTCAAATTTAATACAATCGCACGCAGAAATTATAGGATAGGCCTAATTACGTAGCCAACATATCAGACACAGACAAACTTGACACATTATACGTCTTAGAGCAATCGTGTAACAAAAACAGACATTATTGATAGTAGAAACGCCTCTAGAAGACATCAAAATCAACCAAATCTTTGCAGAAGTGGCAGAGCCATAATATATTGAAGTGGCTCCTCTGGGCAGCTCTGTGGCGCCAATTAATGACGTCTTTTGCGCCTAACCAACATGATTTGTCAAGGGGGGCATAGGCGTAATATTTTACAAAAATATAATTTTTCAGTGAAGGCGGAGTAGGCCTATCCAAAAAATGATAGTCTCTATTAAAGAATGGATTCAGCTAGGTCCAACTGCATAAATTTATTGACTCATTGCGATATTTATCAATGCTTGTGATTGAATCAAGATAACTCTAGAAAAAAAACGAAATAAAATGTTCAAAGTTCAAGGGAGGTAAATACTGGACTAAATTATACTATTTTCTATCAAAGACTAAACTTTGGTCACAGTAAAAAGGTCACATGGTAATTTGGTCACAGAAATAAGGTCACATGGTAATTTGGTCACAGTAATAAGGTCACACGGTAATTTGGCCACAGTAATAAGGTCACATGGTAATTTGGCCACAGTAATAAGGTTACATGGTAATTTGGTCACAGTAATAAGGCCACATGGTAATTTGGTCACAGTAAAAAAGTCACACGGTAATTTGGTCACAGTAAAAAGGTCACACGGTAATTTGGTCACAGTAAAAGGGTCACATGGTAATTTGGTCACAGTAATACGGTCACATGGTGATTTTGGTCACAGTAATACGGTCACACGGTAATTTGGTCACAGTAATAAGGTCACACGGTAATTTGGTCACAGTAATATGGTCACACAGTGATCTGGTCAAGGCAAAACTAGTAAAATGAAATTACTGGTAACTGGTGTAGCGATATTCATTTCATAATACATAATATAGTGTTCTGCTTGCCCTCTGCCAGAGATGGATGGACCTTGTGGGGCCCTGAACGGTCGAACAGTATTTGTTATTGCTGATACAACCCGCCACCGGTCTGCCTTTTAAGCTTGCAAGCCATACCACCGTTTAACTTTTGCCGACTCTCGCCATTCCAAATTACAGAATTCTCACTCACTGAATGCAGCCTGTGAAATCATCCAGTATTGACTTCAGCAATGAAGTTGATTTAATATGTATTTTATATATAATCTCCACTACTCATAAATGTCCGTGCCTGTACCAATAACGTGAGCGTTTCAAAGCAGATTCTTTTCGATTTTCGGGTGGGGGTAGGGTGAGATGCTTCGCACGTATCTCACGTATCTGAAGGGCGCCCATCTCACCCTACCCGAAAATTGAAAAACGCTCAGGTCATTGGGACAGGCTTGGAAATTTACGAGCAACGGTGCTAAAATATACGAGCGGACGCCCACAAGGCTATACGCCCACCAGCAGCAAATCTCTTCACGGCTTTCGCCTTTTAAATAGCATCACTACTTCCATGTAGCCAATATACACAGGTAAACTAGGTTTTAATCGATTCAGAAAAAAAAATTTGAATTAAAAGTCAATTTCAATAAATGTTTTGCTAAGTCGGGGGCCATAACTCGGAAGAGGTCAACGAAATCGAACAAACATCAGTGGGTATTGAGATGCTACCAATATACACAACCATACCAAGTTTCAGTCAAATCCGATAAGAATTGTAGTTTCTATCTTCTTAAAAAGCCAATTTTAACGCATTTTGCGCAAAGTCAAGGGCAATAACTCGGAACCCGTTCGATTTAGTCGGACAGACATTAGCGGGTATCAAGATGATACCAAGCATACCAAGTTTCAATCAATTCCGATAAAAATTGTAATCTCTGTACTCTATATGAGTCAATTTTAATGAATTTTACACAAGGGCAATAACTCCGGAAGCCTTCACGGGAACTGAAAATCGAAAGGAACCGAGACCTCATCAATACAGCCATACATATCAAGTTTCATTCAAATCGGATAAAAATTATAGTCCCCACCGTGTTCACAAGCCAAATTAAACACGTTTTGAGCGCGTCAAGGGCAATAACTCAGAAAGCGTCGGCCGCAAAATGCTGAATATCGAAAGGAACCGAGATCTCATGGATATACATACACATACCAAGTTTCATCAAAATCCGATAAAAACTCTAGCCTCTAACGTGTTCACAAGCAAATTGTGGGGGGGTAAGAGATACGAGTGGTTCCCGGAGGCGGAGCGGGTAATTTTAAAGTAGGGAATCTGTATGGGTTTAGTTTGAGGGTCTCCCCCATGAAAATTTTTGAAATTTAGGAAGGATTTGGTGCAATCAGACAGTCCCTGGTTTACCCACTGGTCGGAAAGACTGAATGTTTTTCCGATATCGTCTCCCGGCCTGTGGAGTCTCAAATATCAGGGAGGCCCCCCGCCCCTCCTCTGGCTACGCCACTGTGCACAATTGTTGTATGGGGGCTACAGAGCTTATTTATTGTCCGATTCTCTGGGTTTTCTATATTATTATATGTCATTTGTCCACTTTTATTACAATTTAAAGGAGCAATGTCTATAAGAAAACCAGGCCATAAATGGGCTAAAACTAACAATAGGCCTAAATGAATAGGGTGTGAAACACGGTTTCATTAAATATGGTCAGAGTAACTCTATGGAGCTGATGGAGAAGACTGTATCATTGCAAGGTCTTTCAAGATTGAAACGGCTTGGTAGCACCTTTCAAGATTGAAATGGCTTGGTAGGCAAATTGATCTAAAGACTAGTTCATTAAACAATCGAGACAATGCCACTATAAATTTAGGTCACATAGGCCTAATCGTTTATTATTTCAGTCTCAAACGCCACTTGATCGATATGAGGACCAGAAATACAATTCTGCGGAAATATGAATTCCACATTCAGTGGTAAATTCGAAAACGTCAAGATTGCAGCCTGTGTGATGAAAACCTGCTTTTCAATTTGCGAATATCAAGTCTCAAATGTCTTGTCGGACTGTGTCGGAGTGTCGGAGGATTCATGACACCGCATCTGGACAGAGCAATTAGTCCAAAGAACTCCCATGGGACGAAGAGACGAACACAATGACTTTTAAGGTCATTGCAGGTCAAGGTGAAAGTCACGAACCTACTTAAGTTGTGACATTGCCCGTCCTCCACCATTTATTGAATCTATTAACTACAAGCGGTTGATATGAATAAGATGACCAACACCACTGAAAATGGGTAATTTTACTGTGACCAAATTACTATGTGACAGTATTACTGTGACCAAATTACCGTGTGACTTTTTTTACTGTGACCAAATTACCGTGTGACCTTATTACTGTGACCAAATTACCATGTGACCTTTTTTACTGTGACCAAAATACCATGTGACCTTTTTACTGTGACCAAATTACCGTGTGACCCTTTAACTGTGACCGAATTACCGTGTGACCTTATTACTGTGACCAAATTACCATGTGACCGTATTACTGTGACCAAATTACCGTGTGACTTTTTTACTTTGACCAAATTACCGTGTGACCTTTTTACTGTGACCAAATTACCGTGTGACCTTATTACGATGACCAAATTACCGTGTGACCTTTTTACTGTGACCATACTTCCGGTGACCGATTTACCTGTGACCTAATTACCTACATTCGATTCAAACGGGGTCTCGATGATTGATTGGACAAAGGGAGGTTACTATTGGTAGTAATTTTGCCCTCCTTTTGAAGATTAGGGTGGTAAGAAAAAAAACAGTTACTATTGACAAGTAACAAGTCACTATTCAACAGAAGGCACCTCCGAGTAATTTTGCCCTCCTTTTATTGTGTTTTTCGTAGATCCCCCTACATACACGCCGCGAACGTCAACCAGCCAAGACTTTCTCTATTAGTAGACGACATCAACTGTAGCAGGCCTACTGCAGCTCCTGTCGTTCCCCTAATATTGTCCTTTTAATAATGACTTCGAAACATGCATGTCTTGTTTGATAGGCTACTAAACTGAACCTAGACATGTTGAATATTATGAACTTAAGTAAGTTTCTTTCTACTTTAGATTGTAGACCCTATCTTGGATGGATTTATTCATAGCTTACATGTTAATTGATGATACAATAGTCTTTAATTAAATATGTTACAACCATTAGTTAATAAGATAGTTACAATACATTAGTGACTAATATCTCCTAGTTATTGTACCATTATATTAACATTGCTGTTTTACAATCAGGCTATAATAGGTCTGTGTCAATTCAAATAATTGTAGGCTACATTTAATTAAGTATTTTATTTCTGTCGTATCGGATGTTATAATGTTTTAACATACACATAGGCCTATATCTCTATGACCAGTCACGTAAAATTTATACCTTGAATTATCTTATAATACAATCTGACAATACTAGCCTACCTTAGTGTTATTGGGTGCTTTTATTTGAGAAGCCATTTTTTTACACGAAGACAATCTGAAATATTATAGGCCTACAACACTTTTTTAGCGCTTTGGTGTCAATTCTGCAAGCAACAATACATTAATATCAGCATAGCAGCAATTTAAGTTCGATGGAATTATTATGAGTCATGTAATGAAAAATGGCCGAACCTCTCCACAATTGTCCATATACCATAATCCACAACTCAAAGTCCGACAAACGGACGTCAAAGAGCTAGTCACTAATATGAGTCCATCAGCTTTATCAAAATGGAAAAGAATGACATGAAAACCAATGCCCTCTTCTTTTCTATCCTGTGGCTTCTATGGTATGGAATCAGTTTGGATCATTTATCGGCTTAGACATAGACATAGTCTATTAAATTGTGAATTGGTTGGTTGGTAGATGACAAGTTACCCCACTTACCAACCAACCTGTAAATTAAATGGTCAAGAATATATAGCTACAACCCCCACCCCACAATAACCAAACCGTGTAATAATATAGAGTTCTTCCAATCAATAAATAAGTCAATGTCCCATGTCAATCACTAGTGATAAGAATGTATTGTAATGATCTTGCCCGAGGGTAAGGGTATGTGAAGAAGGGTATAATGTTATGTAATAAGAACAATGTATATAGGTATACAATGATAAGTATATATGAAGTGTTAGGTATATTTGATAGATATATTGTGATTGATAAGCTATCTATATCTTATTGTTCAGTCTTACATCTACCTCATTTTATCTTTATTAATCTCTAGTCCGAAATATTCTTACAACCTCTCTAATGACCCACTATTATAGCTCTACTTCACGTTGTGCTTATCAAAAAGGTGGTTTTAATGACCATTGATTGGGCTATACCTAGTTTTTGATGGTAGGTCCTGGGAATAGACCCATCTTTTATTTCAAAACCACCATTCTAAATTTGCAGACTATCAAAATTGTTGTCCAATCGATTTATCTTCGAGTATCGAAAGAAAGATATTGTCTGGATCAGAAAGACGCATAGAATTATTAATGAATTTCTGGCTGTGAACTTTTGTTAAAATAAATAGTCACCCATTACTAATCAATCCCTGGATCCATGGATTCTAGTCGGAACAGACCGGACTAAATTGTAATATGAAAACATAAAGATGTCCAATATGTCAAGATATAGAAGGTTGTATTGATGTCTACAGGCAGATAATCTACATGTCATCTCTTTCTTTTTAATCATTGATTATTATCACTGTCAACACAATAACATATTTTGTTTTAATTTGTAAACTCCACATATCGTCTACGAATTAAGGTCATGGTAAACAATTTCAAACCAAAAGGTTGATTGGCAAGAAATTTTAATGTAAAAAAATTGAAGATATATTGTATACCACAGAACAATTTAGAACACTAAATCTCATATTTTTCTTTTTATTCTGTTTTATAACTAAACTAAACTAAATTAAAAAACACTACGAAATATATTTACTCTTCTGACTAAGGCCCGTGCTGTTTATGATGGTAATATTCTAATTTCAAGCTAATCAATGAAAATATCAGTGGTAACCTATTCCTAAAACCTTTCTGGGGTGAAAATTGTGTGAAATTAACTTTTTTTCACCAAAACGCACTTAAATTTTTTAGGCTCAGGACGTTGTAAACTTAACCCGTTTTTAAGCTATATGTCTCCATAAGTCAAAATAACAAAGAGATGAACAACTGGAAAAGAATAGTAGCTAAAATATTCGCGCGAAGAGATAACTATTTCAGATTTCTTTTCTGCTACTTGTTGACGTGAGGACTGGTCATCACAAGCAGTGTACAATAAAATCTAAATACCAGGTCAGTGACATATTAGCACACTGCAAAATTCCTCTCGATGTTACATAAAAAAAAAACATTAAACGACCCCCCCCCCCCCTCTCCTATCCCCTCTCCACTCACGTTCAATCCACGCTCTAGTGACGGATCTAATTCTCATGCTCCAACAGTAGCCTACAAAAATTAGAAAAGTATTTCCAAGATGTGTCAAATATGAGCGGTGTCTTTAATCTATGACCTAATTAACAGTAATTGTTCGAGGATAAGTTAGATTATCTAAAGCCGTATTTTTAGCGATTTGTGGGTGTTAAATGATCTATTGTTGTTTTTGGCACCCCGTCAATCTGTCAGAAATAAATTCTAATTTTACACCACTTGCGAAATATTGCGAAATTTTCTTAAAGTTTCATCTATTTCGAAATTATTTTTTCTGCAAAGTCAGGTTTTCTTCCATGACGTTTATCAGAAATGTTAATTTCACAAAATTGAACATTATGTCATATTATTTGCGATTGTCCTTACATATGATTCGGCAATGTAACAAAGGAATACAGTTACAGTTGAGTAAATATTGTAGTAATACTCTGTAATCTTGTCACGTGACCTGTCTATCTTTATCGGTTTGTTACGCCTGGTCACGTGGTTTGAGATTATTTTATCGACTGTTTCAGCCTTCTACCGGCAGTACAATCCGGGTTCTCTTCAAGGTTGCATCGCATTAGTCTTGTACTCTGCAAAAATGGACGGGAGGGACAAAACGTTCAAGCAGAAAGTCGATGATTTTATGAAATTCTTATGGAATTCAGAAGAGAAGAAAGTAATGGGCCGCTCTGGCAGGAGCTGGGGTAAGTATTTGATTGAGATTTACATTTGCAAACAGAGATTTTAAAGTCAGAACTGGCAAGAATTTTTAGAGGACAAACTGAGATTTTGCAGAGATCGAGTCCGTACATGTTATTTGGATTATATCGTACAATAACGAATTTATTGACTGTGAAATGAATAACTGTTCATTGGAAATGTTTATTTTGCAATTGTGTGTTTGATAGTAAAAGCAAATCACAATTTGACAGCCGAAAACCAGTTGTAACTTTCCATTTGGAAACAGCGTTGTCTGTGTAAATTATGGAGTAAGTGACATGCGCAGTGTGTATCGTAGTAAAAGGTATTATACTGGTAATTCGAGGCTATATGTTACCTGGATAGCTTTCACTAACGATTCATAGATGACAATCTGGACTACTCATATACACTTATAACTTTAGATGAGATGTCATAAAAGTCGCGTCTTCTCAAATTGTCATTCAGATTGAAGCTAGGTCACCGACTTGAAATTTAGAGGACATTTCTAGGGCAAATGATATTTGACATTGGTGATAGTTCACTCCCTGCCCTTCTCAATTCGATGAAAAAAATTATATATATGATCTTGTCATAAACATTTTATGCACTACTTTACTTGCACTAAAAGATAAAGACAAATTATGTAGCATAGTCATTTAGAAAAGCTTTTGGCATAGGCCTAATGTAGTCAAATATCCACTGAATAAATTAGTTGAGAAAGGTTGCTAGCAGACTAGTTTAATATTTTAAGATGTCAACTAATGACTTTAATTTCAGTTCCATTCCCATTATTGACCCAAATGATTCACTGTAACATCCATTTCTAAGAGACCACATAGCTCATGTTATATTAATAGAACTAGTAGGCCTAAGCTTATATTTATTAGAACCTAAATGAATTTATTTTTGACAGACATTAAAATAAGTAATTGAAGGAATAAGATGCTGTTGATCTGATTTGTCAAGTAGTTGTAGGAGTGAATACATTAACCTTCATGGATGAGAGAGTAGGTGACAGATAATACCTACAGGCTGATCTAGACCTCAAGAGACATGTTAGAAAGGTTATTAAGTAGAGGAATTGTTTTGACTTTCAATGTTCATTCAACCATAACAATTCACTATACATCACAATGTGACTATTGTCTTTGCTCTTCAAATGTAGTGGTTAGAGTTACCTCATATGTAGACAACAATGGCTATAGGCGATGCACAATATTATACACTAGCTTACCAAATCAAGCAGATGTACTTAGGGGCCAATAAATCCTGCCTTGTCTTTCTCTTTGTTAGCTTTTATTGTGAAATGCTAAATAAATCTAATTAAATAAGAAATAAATGCCATAAATGATTAAAACAATGAAACAGTTGTTGCAAGACAGTATGAGGAAATATATTCCTAAAACTGCATTCTAGTTTAGTCATACACTCCTTTATAATTTATATGAAATGTCATTATATATTAAGAGTATATTGGCTGTGTTGGACCATAAAGCCTTCAGATTAAGTATTATGAGGAGATTGTCATGTTAATATATACTATACCATTGTCGTAAACAATATTACACTACCAACTCGCTTACTCATTAAATAATTGTATGTCACAGTCGAGTTTGACCTTCTAAAACATATGACATTAACTGAACTCTAAATATTAATGAATTAAACTGTTCTTTTTAATGAATTAGACCCAATTTTTTCAAATTGACATAAAAAATCCTTTCAGAGCCTTTAAAAGATGGGTTCAAATTGAAACATACCTTACAACAGAATTGTTCTGTTCTTGTCAGTGATTTTGTAACATTGCCATGTACTTCCCCCTGTCTCCCATAATTTCAAACCTAATCAACATTCTATATTTATTTCAGCTGAGATTGGTTTCTTCTATCTGATATTCTATGCCTGTTTAGCTGGATTCTTTGCTGCTTTAATAGCTGTATTTTATCAGACCATAGATGAGAAATACCCTAAATTAATGGGAACTGACAGTTTATTGAAGGCCAACCCAGGTAATTATCATCCTTTTGATTTCAAGTAATAAAGTTTAAACATGGAATAATTGTTCTTGTCAAGATTCAAACATCTCGGAACTCTTTATCAACTCTTTATTAATTGCAGTATTTAGTCTTTTGTAACTGGATGTAATTGATGTATTTTTAAACATTTTATTGGTCTATGTGTTTCTGTAGTATGTGTTTGATATGTATTGTAGGGATGGGATACAAACCTAAGCCGGACATTGATTCAACCTTGATTAGATATGCCAAGAATGAACCAGATACATATTCTGTATTTACCACAGAGTTAAATGGATTTTTAGACAGTAAGTATCTAGTTGATATCTGTAGGCACCTGTCAAAAATTTGCCTTGTGTTTTTTACAAATTTGTGTTCAAGCATAGATTATCTGACTGAGTTTGTTTCTCTATATACTGTGCCATATTTAATTTGGCTTTTTGAGTGTTTATGCCACTGTCTTAGCAAAGTTACCTTTGTTTCACACTGCATGATGTAGACTGTCTTCATAAACCTTATTAAGGACTACCTCCATGACATTTGTTTTCATATACAGTGTTACCACCTTAATTTATGTTTAAATCATTTATGGGTTAACTTTTGTAATTATATTTGTAGTGTATGCCAACCAGAGTAGTCATGTAGAATGTAATACAACTGAGCTAAGACCTAATGCTGATTTACCTTGTAAAGTTGATATTGCTGCTCTAACCCAGAACTGTTCCAGTGCCAATAAATTTGGTTTCCCTGATGGTGAACCCTGTATTTTATTGAAACTCAACAAAGTAAGTAATGTGGATTTTATGGACTTTGTTAGTTGAAACTCTAAAATATTACAATTTCATTATCAATACCATTTTCTTTTAGCAGTTCTAGGATTTCGGACAATAACTGTATGAAATAAGGACTTAAACTATCTGTCTATTCCTGATTGTTATATTTATTATTATGTATATTTCTTTCAGATCTTTGATTGGACCCCAGAGTTATATGATCCTGCAGCTTTGCCGGACAGTATGCCTCAAGATGTGAAAGATATCTACTCTTCTGAAAATCAGATCTGGATCTCTTGTGAAGGCGAGGTAAGCCAATATGCATTTTTATGCCTAAAATATTTTCAGGGAATATAAAGCATTGATATTTGAGTTGAAATGAAACACTTGGTTAATAAGTAGGATGTAAAACTCTATTCATTTCATTTGGATAATTCTTACACTGAAGAACATTAAAAAATTTTCTTTTTGGCACATAAATTTATCAAAATCAAAACCTGAAAATGTTGTTCAGTTTGTGTAATGAACAAACATTAGAGTAGAACCTCTTTATTTCCAGTAATTCTATAGCTAACAAATTCCATTTTCTTTTTTCAGAACCCAGGAGACAGTCAGAACATGGGCACACCTCACTTCTTCCCTTCCCAGGGTTTTAGTTTGAAATTCTTCCCCTACATGAACCAGAAGGGATACCTAGCTCCTATCGTATTTGTCAAATTTGTTGGAGTCCAGAGAAATATTGGTCTTATGATTGAATGCAAAGCCTGGGCTAAAAATATTCAACATAACCGTTTGAAGAAAGAAGGCAGTGTCCATTTCGAACTTCTTGTAGACTAATATACAGCATAATTTAGCTTTAATTTTACTATCTGAACAAGTCTATACTTCACCTCAAAATTGATATTTGGTTTTCAAAATTAAAAAGTTAAAACAATATATAGATTATATTTATATGTCCATAGTATAAATTTGTTAAATTGATAAAATTATTTGTAAAATTAGAAATTTGAGGATCGAATCTACTTTTGTCACAATTCTCTTGTGTTTTTCCTTTTTTTTTTTAAATTTCCACCTTCACTCAAGACCAGCAATTTTCATTTTCAAATAATTCATATATTATATGTTTAGATGATATATGTGCAAATGTTAGTTTTGTTTTTAAATTCTGTGTCCAGTATTCCTATGCCTAATTGAGTTGTGGGTTTAGCCAGCAAATAATACTGTAAATTCTGTTCTAAGACAAATATGTCTTAGTACTCTTTGAAGGGAATCCAGGTCAATTCCAGTATTATTTTCTGACTATTCCCAGTGTAAGAATGGAGAGATGAAAGCTGTGTGAGTGAGAATGAGAAGGGGTGGGTTTGAATATGAGTGTGTTTATATAACCTAATGCTGGTTAAATGCTCTCACATGCATACCCACCCTTATTTAGAAATTATTGTAAAGAAATTGTTTTTAATATGGAGATTTTATTTCATGTATAAATGTAGACTCAATAAAACTCATTATTTTGGGAGATTTTTTTATGTTCATGATTTGATGCAGGCATTTGTCCAGTTATTGTGTAGTAGTCTATAGACATAGCAATTCTTTCTTGTCTAAAGTTTCTGAGTTAATTGCAAATCAAATTTTCATAAAACTGAATGATAGAACAGCAATGAGTCGAATTGCATTTTACACAAATCATTTCATGCTGATTTGTTTTGCATTTAATAGCTTCTTTGCTCTATTTTGTAACCAACTATTCTGCATATAACTGATGTAAATTTAGACAAAATGTAAAAATAAATTGTAAAATTTAAATGTTTTGTCGGGGGGAGTTGATCACTGAGAGATTGTTGTGCAATTGTAAATCTTAATGCATTCCCGATGATGTATTGAGTTCAATGACCTTTCCTTCTGGTGCTGATTATTTGAGAGAATGAATTCATGTAGTTGTATGGACAAGTAATAATTATTGGTTCATAGTTTGAAATACTCTGTTAACTCTCCCAACTTTGAAAGTCACCTCAATTTGTGTAAATTTATTATCCTTTCACATTCAGTTAATAAAAAATTTGATTTTAAACATCAGTGTTTTGTCCCTAAGGACATATGACAAAAAGATCATGTTCTACCTAAAGGTGTGTTTGTATAGGCTTGAGACTTGAAGCTTACTGTGCCATGATCTACTATTGAAAAGAATGGGCATGATGTAGTTGTTTTCAATCTTATTACCATCTTTGCTCTACAGACTGTGTGATTGGTCATATTGAAATATGTGGACCTCGTGATTTAAACATTCACCATACTTGATTTCAACCCTTTTTTTTACTATATTGTTGACAAAGGCCTAGGACGACACTTGATTTGTGTAGATCAACTTGATCAAAGGGAAGAAACTCGTTTTAAGTAAGTACAGACCGATTTAATAAATACATATTGAAATACTTCGTTGCTCAGAGTGAAATAAACTAGTTGTTCTGCATATATTAGCAATAAGTAACACCTGTAGTTAATACAATACGGACACAGTGTCGTAGATACTAACTGATACACTGGCAAGTAATGAATAAGAAATTAACATGATAGGCACCGATTATAGCAACCAAGCATGTGGAGGATGCATGTGTGTTCAAAATATCTAGTGATAATATTCATAATAAATAATAGTGCAACACCATTATTGTGTGGGCTTCTACAAAGCTGGGCCAGTCTCCTTTCTGTGATTCATCTAAGAGCGGACAAATAGGATATAGGTAGTTACAAGGTAGCAGAAGTTTTATCGGCTGTTAAATTCAATGATTAACCAACTATGTTTAATGTTATGTATATCCCATTATACATGCGCATTTGTAGATGTCAATCACCATAAGGTTTACAATGAAAGTTTAGCCCCTTAAATGACACTAGACTGTAAGTATAATAGACGTAGCGGAGTGTGACAGTACACCACCATTAAATATACTGGTTATTTTGTGACACTATAAACAATATCGTGTCCTAGTTTTCAACTCTAAGCCTTCCTATTCCCATAACAGGTAAGTGAAGTCTTATTTTAGTGACATTTTCACCTGTTGTATTTTTCAAGACAGCAATTAAACAGTTGCAATACAAAGCACCGACGTTTTCGAAGTGTTTTTTTAATTAGTTCTCTAGCAAACCTACAGATATATATGAATCTACGTCTTTGGAATTCTATTGGTCAAGTGCTGTAGCAAACAGTCTAGTAGATGGTGATCGGTTTTCCTCAGGTGTATAGTATAGACAAGTATAACTTAAGTTTATACGGAGCTACAAGTGTATAATACTGTTTCCAATTTGCATAGTGCAAAGTATTAACCTTTAAGAATTTTCATTTATCTCTAATCCATTAATCGGTAATAGAGTTGTTGCAAGATAATTTTCAGCCAAGATAACATAAAATGCTTGTTGCACGTGATAGTTGTTTGTGTCATTTATATAATGATAATTTAATATTATTCAGGGGGATTTCTCTATCTGGTGATGCGAAGCAAAATCATTACAATACTCTTTATGTCTGGAACGTCTTAACGTCTTGAATAGGAGACTTTTAGACTAAGATTTGTCCATATTGTATCAGTATCAGGAAGTGGCAATGAGTTCTAGATCTATTACCAGTGCATTACAGCACGATTATCTAACTTGTAGAGGACTGAACAGGTTTCAATAAATTGTTTCCATAAAAGTCGACCACCCAGGACCCAGTCTACAGATTTGCTACTTTGCTTTGATGAAAATTATAATATTCTGGTTCACAGAAGTTCAGAGTTACGATTATTTTACCGTTTTGAGCAAAAAATCTCAGTATTGATTGTGACGGATTTGATGAGATGATGTCCATCAGTTGTCGATCAGAGCCAAAAAGTACAAATATTTATTTATATCATCCAAAAATTAATTCTTATTGAGCTAAAGAAAAAGCCTAATTTCCACAAGGCCTACTAGTGGTAATCATGTAGAAAATTGCCCAGGCTATACAAGTACATGTCCCTAAATATAATATATGAGCATATTAAAATTGTTGACATTAAGATGTTATAGTTGATATTTTATATCGTAATAAATTCTGTCAAGGTGAATAATGGTTCAACGTTTAAAATTTCATGTTCGTATATCAACTTTGAAACTAAGTGATGTATTAATATCCTTCGGTATAGAAGCAGTCTACTTAAAAGATTTTAATAATAGCCCTTGGGTTATAGAATTTAGAAAAGGGATACGTGCAAGAAAAGTTATTTTGTGTGTCGTAAGATGTTCTCGTGCTAGTTCTAGGATGTACTTCATAGATATAACAAACAGACATTATGAGGTATTTTGATCAACGTATATGTTCTTACATGGAAGTAAGATAATATATGTCAAGCAAAGATTCATCTACCTGGTTGCTGATTGAATTCAATTTTAGTCCACAATATAGTGAGTGGAGAACAAATAAAGTCAGTTCTCATGTATAACTCCAATCTTTTAACTCTGAACGATCCACAAGATGATCACTTGTATGGTATTTTATTGAATTATAGCATTATAAACAATTAGCATATTTCAACTTCTGAAGATGAAGGAAGTTGGTGAGATGTGTAATTGGGTTAGCTAAGGTAGGGTCTAACTAATTATAGGGGAAAGTAGGGGAACAAATATATTTATGAAGAAACTATGTTAACTATGTGGCCTTGTATATAATAGACCTTTACTTATCTACCATGCTTCTTTTGGTGAGAACGGTATGCCGAACCAACCCTTTTAAGTAAGTATGCTGACAATAGCTTCTCTTAAAGGGACAGATGCCCCATTGTTTTGGACCAATCATACTTTAGTCTCAAAAACGTCTTTTAGCTAAGCCAATCAGTAATAGTGTTCACAGCTCAACGTCAACATTTGAGCCTTCAAAGACTCGTCATTTTAAGATACTTTATGATATATAGACATATATAGAAATAGTAAAATTCCTAGTTTGAGATATTTTTCAAGGAATTATGCTCTTTTCGTACACTACTAGTACTTCTAAAGACTATTTACAATTTTTTTCTACAAGACTAATCAACCCCCCAAAATGGTGCATCCGCAGGTTAAGGAGACTTAAACCGATCTTTCGACTTACAAAACTTTCTGTAAGCAAATACTATAGCATTAGAAAGAAAGCTAGATTTAGTTCATCTGAGCGCACAAAAGGCTTTGTCAAATCTCAATTGCCGCCAGTTGCCCATGTTCAAAATTTAAATCTGGTGGTCACCCCGAGCGTTCGAAATTGACAATCCGACATACGACATATAATCACCGTTTTTAGCGATCTGTAAATTTTGTCTTTCTATTATTGCTCCGGTGAGATGCGATGAATCATCATTCTCAAGCTCTTAGCCTCAATGGATAATATAAACAAAAAAGATTGTAGCTTTATTCAAATCCAGAAGAGAATACGTGGACAAGAAATAATATAAAGTAAGAAGGGCAATGGGCACAGCTAGTTGGCCGTTGTCAATTTGTCACTATCCCTAAAAAATGTTTTACGTTTTAATCCATTATATTACACGATAACTTTACATATTTCATTCATACGTAGAATAATTATGGACACACTTATAACATTAGATCTTTAAGGTTTGGGTCCAGGTATCAACTTCACCATCCTCACCTTTTAACTGACTCGTTGTTCTCTATAATTTCAGATTCAAACAGAATGTAGTTGTTAAACATTATGCAGAATGGTAAAACCACCAACGCAGAATACCAGATGGTGGATAATAGTGTGGATCCTGTTGTTCCAGAAATACACATGTGAACCGGAAGTGACATGTCCTCATGGATGTAAGTGTGATGTTGATGTTGTGAACTGTCTTCACAGTAACTTGACGTCAGTTCCTGTGGGATTATCAAATGGTGATCGCTTGCAAGAACTTAAGTTAGGCCGTAACAAAATTACAGAAATCAAGTTAGAATTATTGGAATATAAAGAGTTACGTCTCTTGGATCTTATTAGTAACAATATATCAACAATAGATGGCAGTGCCTTCAGAACACTTTATAAATTAGAAACCCTATTTCTATCGAGAAATTTCATAACAAAGACTGACAAAAACACGTTTAGAAATCTAACAAGTTTGAGGTTTCTCGATTTAAGTTACAATAATTTGAGATGTTTGAAAATAGGGAACTTCGAGGATTTGCAGTCTTTGGTGAACCTGGATTTAAGTCGTAACCAAATATCTTTAATAGAAGCAGAATCGTTTCGCTGTCTGGAGAATTTAGAAATATTAAAACTTCCCAGAAATCAACTTGATCAGTTTCCATGGAAAATCTTTCAAAACCTGACGTCATTAAAGATGTTAGTTCTTGACGATAATCTACTCACGTCACTTCCTATTTCTGCTTTCTCAAATCTCATTAACCTGGAATATCTGAGTTTGACGGGAAATCGTCTGCATGAGCTATTACCATCAAGTTTTATGATGTCAGACGAAGGAGCTATTTCTTTGGAGCAACTTTATTTACGAGGAACGGATCTTGACACGATTCCTGTTAAACTCTTTGCTAAGCTAAAAAAGTTAACAGTATTAGATTTGAGCAAAACGCAAATTGTGTCTGTGAAAAACGAAAACCTCAATGGATTATCGTCCTTGGAATCATTTATCATGACGTCATCAAATAATTTGACCTACATTGAAAAAGGTGTGTTTCAGGACTTGCATTCGTTAAGAAAAATAGATATAAGTGGAAATACACTTCTCTCAGAAATACAATTCACAACATCATCCCTGCGCAATTTATCACTATTTGATCTAAGTGCAAATTCCCTGACGTCATTTTCTCGCAGTGTAGTGAATTGGAGCTCTGACGTCATTGTAGATTTAAAGGGAAATAAGTTTCAGTGTGACTGTGATTTGGACTGGATACCACAAGTATTACCCATCATTCATAATAATCAAACAAAATCAAACATAAAACAATTAATGTGTGATTCGCCATTGAAATACCAAGGACGACAAATAGTTTCACTGTTAACCTCTGAACAAATTTGCGGAAACACTAAAGAGCTCCGACATGACGTCATTACACGTGCTAAAGTTGCGGCTATCGCTGCTGGTATTGCTAGTATAGTTTTAGTGACGTTAGCAATGCTGATTAAATTTAGAAAACGATGGTGTAGTATTTTAAGGAGACAATATAGATACAGTTCTTACAGAAATAAAAATGGCGTTTTTACAGTCGATAGTAATACTAATGATATAAATCGACATGATGACGTCATGCCAATGGAAGAAATGCAAGTGTTTTCTGATGACGTTGGTTCAGAACCTGACGTGGTGCTTAAATAAACAATCAAAATAGGACTAATATTCATTCTGTCATTTCCGATAGTTTTATAGTATCATGATTTCATTTAAATTATTTATCACTCTTGATAGCTATCTTTGCCGAATTATTTGATAGTATTGATCATTGACATCATCTTCATTTAATTACTAAGTGTAAAATGCAGAAAATATATCACACGGAAGGGCCGGAAGAGACAATACAATACAATACAATAAATCATTAATCACCTCAGAGCTGAAACAGTTCTATTATATATTTAAGATAACCTATTTATAGATATGTTAATATTGTAACTACCAACCTTCGTTCGAAATATATGTATTATTATTGTACAAGTTACTTCCCTTGAATTATAGAATTTGCTCAGTCATTCTGACTCCGCTTATATCGATTAGCTGCTCCCTCAGAAATGTACACCCACTTCATTTCTTAGAAATTTCAAAATAGTTTATTCCCAAATATAAATGTCATGTCACTACGAAAATCAATTATATTTTCAAAAAATTTCTAGGTGGGACAATCCCAATCCAAAAGAAACTTCAGCCTATGCCATTTTCACATTGCTCCTGCATTTGAAGTCTCAAATTCACATTTGTACCGTCGCTTGTTGTTAATCTCCACTGTAAAGCCTATTAACTTGGATTAGTAAAAGCAATTTGTGGAATTTCCGGAATCCAACTGTCCAGTAATCTATGATTTCTAGACCAAGAAGAGGTATTCAAAAGCCTATAAGTAAGAGAATTATCCAATCCCAAAACATAAATTTTGGTAGCCTATGTTTGTGAAAAGGGGCCGAAACTCGTCGTACCTGTAACTCTTGATAGCTCCAGCATCGAGTTACCCCTAATTAGCATTCTGAAGAACTGGTACTGAATATATAGCACGGCCCAATACAACGAATGTTGTCATTTAGTAGGACTCCTGTCAACCTACAAAATCGGAGAGCAACAGGGTTTTCATTCACTACTAGCATCGGCAACTGCTGGGAATTTAATTGGTCGACGAATGAAAGATCATTTATTTATACGGAAACTGAATGGAGATAGGGAATGGATTAGTGCATTCCGACGGCTGGTTCAATGAACATTCTGGTAACAAAAGTTTCTTAATTCAATTGTTTTATAAATCGAATTAAACTAGTCTTGTAGGACATTGAGATGAGGGTAGGAAAAATTGATTCAGAAATAACGGTTATTAGACAATACAGACTAGAAAAAAACAAAAGGCCATAATAACAGAAAAATCATCTAATAACCATCCAATCAGGGGTTAAGGGTCTCCGCAAGTTTAGGGTAAAATGAAATGAAATGAAATGAAATGAAATGAAATGGAATGCATTAAGGAGCATCAGCACCAAGCGGGCTATATAGCTCCAGAATACGTTAAAATAATAAAAAAAAACTCAAACAATAAAACACCTATCAATATCACAGTAAAAAAAAAAACCCTGATCAAAACCATATCACAGGAAAAGTAAAAAAACTACTAAAAACAATATCACAGGTAATACACCACATAGTGGTATCAAAAACAAACAAATTATTTAAAACAAACAATGACTAATGTATTTAAAATTTAAAATAAAGACCTACTTGTCTTTAAAAAGCCACAACCTTCTCATAAAGAGAAGGTTGTGCAAATAATTGACGTATATATCCAGCACGGTAGTGCTGGGATCTCAAAGGTTTGAGATGCTTGCACTCAATCAGAATGTGTTTCACTGTCAGGCGGAGCTGGCTGTGCTCACAGACTGGTTGAGGCTCTCGCTTGAGCAAATAACAGTTCGTGAGGTGAGTACGCCCAAGACGAGAGCGACACAAAACAACTTCATTTCTCCTGTTGGCACAATAGGAGGAGGGCCAGTCTCCTAGGAGAGGCTTAATGGCATGAAGCTTGTTAGTGTCTGCAGCATCCCATCTTTGCTGCCATCGATGTTGAATAAAAGACCTTATCACCGATTTTAAATCAGTGAAAGGCAAAGAAAAGGGGGAAACAGGCAGTGACAAAGCAGCCTTAGCCGCCGCATCTGCCATGTCATTCCCACGTATATCCATGTGACTGGGGAGCCAACAAAGGACAATGTCCTTTTTCGGCCCAGAGAGCTTGTATATATCCCCGATTATTGAGTGAACAAGCTGGATGTTATTAATAGCTTGTAATGAGGACAAAGAATCAGAAAATATAATACATTTTTTTAATGATGTAGAGGACTGAAAGAACTCAAGTGCCTGTAAAATGGCAATGAGTTCTGCTGTGAAAATTGAGGCTGTTGATGGAAAAGCTACAGATAGAACTTCGGATGGTGTAACTGTAGCGGCTGCTACCTTATCACCATCCTTTGATCCATCTGTATAGAAAGGTGAGTAATCCCCATATTTAGACCTTAGTTCAAGAAATTTAGACTTGAAGACAACAGAGCTTGTCTGTGACTTGTTGCTCGATAGACTGAAGTCTATTTGGAGTGGAGCAATTGACCAAGGTGGAATAGTGGTCATGTCTTATACCAGCCGCTGACATAAGGGGTTGAATGCTGACTCCAAAAGAAGAAAAAGCACGAGGCTTTGCCTCGTACAGGTGTTCAAAGTAAGGTCTAAATACGGGGCAGTAAGCAGGATGGTGTGGCAATGATGCTATCTTGATAGCGTACTGTTATGAAAGCCTGTCACGTCTGTCGTACAATGAGAGCTCAGTAGCCTCGACGTACAGACTTTCAACTGGAGTAGTACGAAACGCAACTTAACTTATTCTAAGTCCTTTAAGGACCTTTTGGTCGGCTCCCCAGTCAGTATTGGATAAGACTCTCAGTATGTTGAGAGCTTTCAGACATTTGTTCTTGAGGATTTTAACATGGGGACGAAAAGAAAGCTTGCTGTCAAAAGTGAGTCCCAAAAATTTTAATTTCCGCACAACAGGAATGACAGCACCATCCAGCTTTAGTTCTGGATCTAGGTGCAATCCTCTTTGTTTACAGAAATGCATGCAGACGGTCTTGGATTTCGAAAACCTAAATCCATTGTCAGTTGCCCATTGCTGTAAGTTGTTTAAGCAAAGCTGCAACTGACGCTCAATCGTCTGCATGTTTGTAGAGCCATAACACATCTGAAAGTCATCAACATACAGAGAGCCATCAACGCTATGGTCCGCCTGGCTTTCGCCCGTGCAATGCGGAAAGAGGCCATATTGTTATCAGTACGAGAACGTTCAAGGAGTCGTATAGCACGATTACGTTCTTTCCATGGTTTATTGAATCGTTTTGGAGTTGCCGAGGTTTTACGAATCGCCTGACCAGATACATCTTGTAAGATGGTGGTAAATAATTCCATCGGGTCTTCTGCCTCATCTAGATCATCTTGAGGAAAAGAAGAAATACAAAGAACCTCAAAGAGAGGCCAATTAGCTTTGGAGAGTTTCCATCTTTGTGGCCTGTCTACAGGTGAAGGACCATTATTCCGTACAATTACAGGATAATGATCACTGTGGCACAGATCGTCGTGGACACCCCAAGAAAAATCTTAGAACAAAGATGGAGAGCTAATTATCAGATCTAGATGAGAAAAAGTTTCGTTTTTTGAGCAGAAAAGCGTAGGCGATTCGTCATTAAAGATGCAAAGATCATTGTCATAGATGAAGTCAGCTATTAATTTTCCTCTGGTATTATCATCGGAAATCATTGAAATCTCCTAACAAAATGTAAGGAGAAGGAAGCTGGGCAACAAGGTCATCCAATTCTCTCGGGTTTAATGATAAGCTAGGTGGTAAGTTGATGGAACAAATGTTAATAGGCACGTGGAGTGTAACTCGAACGGCTATTACCTGCAGAGGAGAATTGAATGTGATCTCGGACTGGGCGACATTCCTATTGACAATAATAGAAACACCACCCGAGACCTTATCACCAGTGCCATAATGGTGGTAGGAAACAAAATGTTTAAATGGCACTAAACGCAAATCCGTTGGCTTGAGGAAAGTCTCTTGGTGGACTAGGGTAAAGGTAATATCAAATTGTTACAATAACATTAATTTGTACCAGACAACTCTATGACTTCGAGACACTTGTATGACCAATGAACGGTTGGAGTCCCCAAGCCAAGATTGAAATATTGCTTGGACCTCAATGTAATATAATAAAGTAATTTGTGACACTATTACATATGTCAGCAAATCGCAAAGGGTTAATAATTTCAATATTTGGAGGAAATTCATTTGGTTAAAAAGACAGTCAATTCAAATTATTCAAAAAGCGAATAAAAGCGTCCTCGTACAACTATCTACACATATATATTTTGAACTTACTGTACTCGTAATCTTCATTATTTTTAACCATTGAATTTGTTTATTATTATTGTTAACTGTGCTGTCCTTCCCCATCCCTAGTTTCCCTAGACTCTCAAAGTTTGTTCCAAAGTCTACATTCCATAATTCATTAGAGAATCGATTAGCTATATAGTTGAAAGTAAATATAAAAAGCCCTGAGTCATCGTTGAGTATATAAATAGTTTTTGAATTGACTTTTTACACTAACTTGAAAACGGCGACACTGTGCAGTACGGGGTAAGTTGACATTACTATTCCTTGGTCGTTTTGAGAAAATAGGGGATGAAACTTGGCACTGATATTATTGCTAACGGCAACACAGATAAAGAGCATGTTAGTTTCGTTTATCATGAAAAAGTGTTATAGAGTGATATAGCAAAAAACTAGTAGCATTGTAAATGGTAGAAACACCATGTTCTGTCTGGTGGACTTGTACCGGATTCCTTAAAATTGTGTTTCAGTTCAAAGAGATAAAGTAAGGTGAAAAACTCAATATAACTAGGTGTGAATGTAATAATTGCTCTATATATCAATATTAATAATAGTTATATTAACTTTCTGTAGGAGTAGCGATCAATTGTGCTAAAATTATCTTTATCGGATCAGTTAATAATTCAATGCTACCCATAGTAAGTCCTACTGTTCTTTCGCGGAAACGTATATTTGCATAATGCATTTTTATCAATAGCACTTTTTTTTCTGCTACACTGCATATAAGGCTGTTCTTTACCTGTTCCATACTGTATTACTGCATAATTCAATGCTACCCACAGGCTGTAATTTATCTGTTCCACAAAGTATTATTGAATAATTCAATGCTACCCACAGGCTGTAATCTATCTGTTCTACAAAGTATCATTGAATAATTCAATGCTACCCACAGGCTGTAATTTATCTGTTCCACAAAGTATTATTGAATAATTCAATGCTACCCACAGGCTGTAATTTATCTGTTCCACAAAGTATTATTGAATAATTCAATGCTACCCATAGGCTGTAATTTATCTGTTCCATAATGTATTACTGCATAATTCAATGCTACCCACAGGCTGTAATTTATCTGTTCCATAATGTATTATTGAATAATTCAATGCTACCCATAGGCTGTAATTTATCTGTTCCATAATGTATTAGTGCATAATTCAATGCTTCCCACAGGCTGTAATTTATCTGTTCCACAAAGTATTATTGAATAATTCAATGCTACCCATAGGCTGTAATTTATCTGTTCCATAATGTATTACTGCATAATTCAATGCTACCCACAGGCTGTAATTTATCTGTTCCACAAAGTATTATTGAATAATTCAATGCTACCCATAGGCTGTAATTTATCTGTTCCATAATGTAATACTGCATAATTCAATGTTACCCACAGGCTGTAATTTATCTGTTCCACAAAGTATTATTGAATAATTCAATGCTACCCATAGGCTGTAATTTATCTGTTCCATAATGTATTACTGCATAATTCAATGTTACCCACAGGCTGTAATTTATCTGTTCCACAAAGTATTATTGAATAATTCAATGCTACCCATAGGCTGTAATTTATCTGTTCCATAATGTATTACTGCATAATTCAATGCTACCCACAGGCTGTAATTTATCTGTTCCACAAAGTATTATTGAATAATTCAATGCTACCCATAGGCTGTAATTTATCTGTTCCATAATGTATTACTGCATAATTCAATGCTACCCACAGGCTGTAATTTATCTGTTCCACAAAGTATTATTGAATAATTCAATGCTACCCACAGGCTGTAATTTATCTATTCCACAAAGTATTATTGAATAATTCAATGCTACCCATAGGCTGTAATTTATCTGTTCCACAAAGTATTATTGAATAATTCAATGCTACCCATAGGCTGTAATTTATCTGTTCCACAAAGTATTATTGAATAATTCAATGCTACCCACAGGCTGTAATTTATCTGTTCCACAAAGTATTAATGAATAATTCAATGCTACCCATAGGCTGTAATTTATCTGTTCCACAAAGTATTATTGAATAATTCAATGCTACCAACAGGCTGTAATTTATCTGTTCCACAAAGTATTATTGAATAATTCAATGCTACCCACAGGCTGTAATTTATCTGTTCCACAAAGTATTATTGAATAATTCAATGCTACCCATAGGCTGTAATTTATCTGTTCCACAAAGTATTATTGAATAATTCAATGCTACCCACAGGCTGTAATTTATCTGTTCCACAAAGTATTATTGAATAATTCAATGCTACCCACAGGCTGTAATTTATCTGTTCCACAAAGTATTATTGAATAATTCAATGCTACCCACAGGCTGTAATTTATCTGTTCCACAAAGTATTATTGAATAATTCAATGCTACCCACAGGCTGTAATTTATCTGTTCCACAAAGTATTATTGAATAATTCAATGCTACCCATAGGCTGTAATTTATCTGTTCCACAAAGTATTATTGAATAATTCAATGCTACCCATAGGCTGTAATTTATCTGTTCCACAAAGTATTATTGAATAATTCAATGCTACCCACAGGCTGTAATTTATCTGTTCCACAAAGTATTATTGAATAATTCAATGCTACCCACAGGCTGTAATTTATCTGTTCCACAAAGTATTATTGAATAATTCAATGCTACCCACAGGCTGTAATTTATCTTTTCCACAAAGTATTATTGAATAATTCAATGCTACCCACAGGCTGTAATTTATCTGTTCCACAAAGTATTATTGAATAATTCAATGCTACCCACAGGCTGTAATTTATCTGTTCCACAAAGTATTATTGAATAATTCAATGCTACCCACAGGCTGTAATTTATCTGTTCCACAAAGTATTATTGAATAATTCAATGCTACCCATAGGCTGTAATTTATCTCTTCCACAAAGTATTATTGAATAATTCAATGCTACCCACAGGCTGTAATTTATCTGTTCCACAAAGTATTATTGAATAATTCAATGCTACCCACAGGCTGTAATTTATCTGTAATGTTTCTATGTTCTACAACGTATTTTGGCATTTATGCCCATAGCAATATTTATTTCTGTCGATTCCAAAAGTAATTTTTTGTTCACTTTGCATAGTTTTTCATGCCGATTCTTTTAAAATTCTAAACTGGATTCTAGGTCATGGAAGGTCAGTGGGCTATTGAATGGGGCGTGATATTTTTTAGACGAGATGTATTGAAGCGTACAGGACACTCTGGTCACGTTTACAAAAAACCTGAAGGCATTATCAATACAACCCATAGCACTGTTCTTTAAGTATTGTGTTCTGTTCTATAACATCTTTTAGCATAATTCATTGCTGCCCATAGTACTGTTATTTCTCTGTTCTACCCATAGCACTGTTTTCGCTCTGTTTTATAACGTATCTTTACAATAAATCAATGCCACCTAGCATTGTTCTTTCTCTGTTCTATAGAGTATTTTTGCATACTTCCAATAGCACGGTTCATAAAAGAAGGACTACTTTTTGTTCTTCATTCCGGACCCTTTAATGTTCTAAGCTGGATTCTAGGCCATGGGAAGTATGTGTTCAGACAAGAGGTATTGAAGCGTACAGGACTTCTCACGTTAACAAAGATCACCAATATCTGTAGAAATTAGGTCCAAGTCAGTTTTATTTGGGCTAACGCCGGGGGATGACCTTCATATATTCATATAACAATTTATCATTCTCTTATCAAATATTGGTATATTTTACAATATCAGCGAGTCTTCACGATACAAATACGCGGATAAGACATAAGATAGAAACACTACTAGTTAAGCTTGAATATAGGTCATTAGAATTATATTCTTTATAGGATTTGTTCTGAATAATTTATCATGAATAGCTAGCGTACTACATTCAAGCCGACATAAACTACGTGTATTTGCACTCACCTTTGTAACTTTGTTAGATATCAAAATACCCTCCTGTTCACTGTCGTTTCATCACACAATGTAAAAAAGTTAAAAGTTATTCTACTTTTGTTTACATAATAAAGTTAAAAATTGAAAGATGTTTTCGTATCATGCAATAAGTGGTATCAGCAAATCGTAAACAAAAACTTTCAAGGTTGCAGAAATAAGGTCATAACTAAATTGTGTTTAAGGAAAAGGAATGTCCTTTCGCTGCAAAAATCTGATTGCCCCTTTGAAAAAAAATTAATCCTGAGAGTCATTCTTTATTCTGATTGTTTTACGCTGAATTTGGACCTCAATGCAATAAGTCTTCGGTGGGTGTCACTGAGAAGAGAGGAAAGATCCCCTTCCGGAACTCCCGATGACACTCTGCAGTAGAATGTGTCCACTCTAACCACTACATAAAGCGACATGGCTATTGATATTAATAAATAATATTATTTATTATAGGCTTAGATGAGTTCTATCGTTGGTCGGTATTACAAGTTAGTCTCACCATCCCGATTAAAAGTGGTATTCCGTCATCTATCTTCAACACCAAAACCCAAAATGTCAGCAGATAAATTTATTACCTTTAATAACGGAAACAAATTCCCAAGACTTGGACTTGGAACATGGCAGGTACTTGCTAGCAAACTTTCTTCTATTAAGCAAACAATAATATTCCCACCACTCTGCGCTGTAAAAGGCAGGACTTGAGACCTTAGAGAACCAAACTATATTTCTTAATACCCCCATTTCACCAAGCTTTATTTTGGTCCTGAAGTACCCTATTACTTGTTAGGTCGATCGACTGCATTTTTGTGAAAAGATCTGGAACGTGCTAGCACCATTAAGCACTACTGTTTACCTTCGTAGAAAGGCGGGGGAGGTTGTTGGTTTGAAGATCTAGTACGATCGTCTCTGTCCTCATAGGTTCGGCTTCGAATAAAGCGATATGCTTCTTCTTGATCGGCTTCTTTGTTGTCTCAAATTGCCTTCAGTCGCCCTCCTTGGGGTATATTAGAGCACTACATTAGCAAAACTCATTTTATACTGTAAACAATCGTTTCGGAAACTGATTTCGTTATCTTGGGTGCTTGATTTGAAAATGGAAAATTCAGTAAAACTTCGGCATCGAACTGTGATTCACGTGACTTCTATACTGAGCTATAATACTGTTGTAATTATCGCTACAATGTCATTACATCTCTCATTTATAGGCTACCAAAGAACAAGTACAAGGTGCAGTTCGGGCAGCTCTAGATGCTGGATATCGCCATATTGACACAGCCTTTGCTTATGGTAATGAGGCTGACATTGGCGAAATCTTACAAGAATATATGAACAATGGAAAACTCAAAAGAGAGGATTTCTACATCACCACAAAGGTATGTTAATTCTACACGAAAATAGTCCGATGGTTGTAAATTGGTTTAAATGGTTTAAAATGTAATAGATTCCAAGTTTGAGAAGAGAATTTTGTTTTCCTTGAGAGGAGAATATTGATATCTTATTCTGGGAAAGGGACATATGAGAAATTGAACGTATAATTACTACTTATTAAAACTTATCTGTTTGCCTTTATCTCGAATACTACGATTGGGTAATAACTATGTATAATAATAGAATATTCTATGTTTAATATTTAAGCTGTGGATTACATATCATGAGCCTGAAAGAGTATTACAATGTTTAAAAAAATCACTCGCATCTTTAAAACTGGATTACGTAGATCTGTATCTCATACATACACCATGTGCTTACCAGGTAAGATATCTCATACATAATACGTGTGTTTTTGTGGTAGGATATACAATACATACACATGTACTTTTGTGGTATCATATTTATCTCATACTTACATCATTGTAACGATACATAATGTGCTTTCATGGATAAATATCTTATTCACACAACATATATTTACTGAGAAGGATATCTCATACATACACACCATGCATACGAGGTATGCCTCAAATGTGCCTTCGAGGTGGGATATCAAAAATACACCCATATAGTCACCAGGTGTTTATGAAAAGGAGATCCAATAAATCCATCATGTGCTCACCAGAAATCTGTTGTTGAAATAAAGTATAAATGATTTCATATTACTTGTTTAGGTTAAATTTATGAGGGGAAATATAATTTAGGGTTTTTAACTCCTCGTTCATTTATTTCGTTCTTCTGCTCAGGAAACTGGAGTTGGGTCGTTTTGGCCAACTACAGCCGATGGGAAACCAGCATTCAAACATATTCCAGTGGAGGACACATGGAAGGTAATTACAGCATTTATGAATATTCCAATCAATCCCTTATATTTATATTTATCACTAAGGCGTTAGCCAATTAGCCCTTACAGACTTAGATAAAATAAGTCAAAAGACATTGACATATTATTTCTGCTTTATTTCTTAAATACCTCAGACAGTTTCAGAAAGCTTTATAACAATCAATAAACGATAGTATTTATCAAAATTTGTTGTAGAGTATGGAAGAAGCAGTTAAACTAGGACTAGCTAAGAATATCGGAGTGTCTAATTTTAACAGTAAGCAGGTAGAAAGAATATGTAAATCAGGCACCATTAAACCTGTTACTAATCAGGTAAGTGTTGTAAACGGTAAAAATTATTCCTTATTACAACATCTTCAACAAATGTCCTGCAGTTAACCACAATCTAAATTAAGTAACTACAGGCTACCTTCTTTGGATAATACTAGTAGTCACGGACGATTTTAACGATAAACAGATAAAATAATGTCATTATGATTTGATAGTAACAATCGTTTCTCACTAATTGCGTTACCATAATTCTTCTAAATCTGAATTTGCCTTAAAACTTTTTCTGTTAATTACTGAAATTTGGTTTTGAACTTTTTCTGTTATTTACTGAAATTTGGTTTTGATGAAGTTTTACCTATTTTGGTCTTTATTGTAAAGTTTTCTCAAATGAGTAAGTGCTTGTTTTACAGGTAGAGTGCCACGCCTATTTGAACCAAAAGAATCTACAAGACTTCTGTAAGAAACTAGGTGTTACCATTACTTCTTACGGTAGTCTCGGATCACCTGGACGTCCAGGAAACTTGTAAGTTAAACTTGTAAATACAATAATCTCTTAAGTTGAATTAAAAGATGTATAGATATAATAAACCGTAATCTAAAAGGAACACCCATTTAAGCTGATGCCCACTCCATCCAAATACTTCAAGCCTTTCTATGTTCCATAATTCTCTGTTGCAGATTATTTAAGTTGAGCTCTATCAGCTTCTCAAGCAAACATAAAAATATAAAATCTTTTAGATCTGTGAAATTTTGCTCTTCAGGAAAAAATCAGATGAACCAGTTTTATTACAAGATCCTTTGATTGTTAAATTAGCTGAAAAATACAAGAAATCTCCTGGGCAGGTATGTTTCATGTCTCTCACATGAGTGTTCTGATAAAGATGCTTCATTTTGGACAACTTAAAGAGGCAGTATGCAACATTTCTATAATTAAAAATGTTGAAAATTATCCGTGAAAATATTAATAAAATTTGTCATGCATTTATATGTATCTACTTTATCAACTTTAATTTGTTTAAAAGTGTTAATTAAAAATCTAAATGTACTAATCATTCATCAAGAACTATAGTTTTCATTAATTTGAACACCTTTTCAAACTTCAACATAATGTGAATGAGCATGCAGCTTGTTAGAAGTTGTCACAAAAAGAAATATTCTGATTTACATCTGGAATTGCATGTGTCTTTTGACGATTTCACATAATTTGACAGGCCGAAACAGTTCAGTTCTATTGAAAAGTACTAATAATTATGACTTCTTCCTTTTTCTATGTAGATTTGTTTGAGATCTTTACTCGACAGAGATATTCTGGTTATACCGAAAAGTTCAAATCCTGATCGAATTGTACAGAATGGGCAGGTAATTAAAATTACATCTATCTAGCAGATTGATAAAAGAGTTTGATAAAAGAATGCAATGAAAGCTTAACCAATTTACCTCTGTGTTCCAATAGATTACGATTGCCATCAAATTTGTAACTGCGTTGCGCTGTTATTGCTACATGGACTACTTTCGCATTTAAACATATGCCTCGACGTGAAACATTTTCAGCCAAACTAAAATTGGTAATTATATGGTTTATCTCTAATTAGCATTTTTAATTTTCAGTTATTCGATTTCAAATTGACATCAGATGAGCTTCAACAGGTTTTGGCTTTAAACAAAGACTTTAGATATTTTAATTTTGATCAGTGAGTATTTTCATTAACAAATCCGAATATCTAAGGACATTTACACACAAGAAAGACAATAATCGCATTCAAAAGTGCATTCCCGTCGATTGTACGAAGATTCTTTTTTAAGTTCTCGGGACACCTGAAACAGCATTTATTCCTCAGAATATTGCTATATTAGAGCGTGTTTTGGTTACATAATATAAATAATGACAAGCACAATATTCAGATCATTATGATGACAAAATAAATCAACAGGCCCCACTAGCTTGTAGAATTCCTTTTGGTATTCTAGTAGTTTTCTGTAATCAGAATAACACTAACGATGTATCAATTCTTGCTTTCTATGATCACCAGCGTTACTCCCGTTACTTACTATGAAATTAGGTAAACTAATGGTAGGTGTGCATGTCTATCTCCGACAATTTTATTTTTCTGTGTTTTCAGGGGGAAAGGTCATCAAGAAGATCCGTCTCTTGAACCCTTTTAAATGTCAGATATATTATACACGAGTGACAGAACGTTTCAGTAGTATTAATATAAGGGTAGAATCTTTTATTGATGACGAAAAACATTGGAACAAAGCATATATATATTTTTTGTGTCTTGTCAATGTTATTTGAACTGTGTGTATTTGTTTTTGAACATTTGTTTGTATGATTACTGTTCTATTATCTAATATTGGAGACCTTCTATTGTTAATAAAAATTTTGTATTTAAGGCGATTTATTAGATCTTGTCCGTCAAAGTTTGTCTTTATTGTCTTGTGTTTAAATGACTTTTGACAAACTCATCGCAGATTTGAATAACATTATTCGGAAGAGTAAATTAGTACGGCTAAGTCAATATTCAGTGTACCAAAAAAACAGGCCTCAAACAATGCATGTCGATCGGAATTAGCAATATTTACCTGATACATGTAGTTAGATATTTACCAGAGAATGATCGTTGACTTTAAGTTAACCCAACTCTTCTAAATAAACCTTTACAAAATTCAGCTTTGAATGAAGATATGAATTTTAGCTACAAGTCACCGAATATATCTTCCTACATTCAAATGTTCCTCTGTAATCTACTCTTTGGTCCACTTACTTACGATTTGGCTCAAGCTGTTTCTAAATTAATTTTTTTATGCATTGGAATCTAGAATTTTTTTTCAAAATCTAATATGTAAAGTCCAAGAGATAGCTGGTACAGATCCGGTGGGTATGGCCCCCAGGGTATGTCAAAAACCCTTGTAAGAGGTTTACTTTAAAATTCAAGCTACACAGTTAATACATTGGTTATGTTACTACACATATATTCAAAACTCCAAACTGTGGGGTCAGCTGCCCCTAAAAAGTCACCCAACATGGGTCAATTTTACCCAGAAAGCTACACATGCCAAATTAATACAGTATAAGAACATTTCATGAGAAGATAAGAAACACAAAAACTGACAAAATATCTTGGTGGAAAAAGGGGGTCAGCTGGTCCCCAAAATCACCTCATTTTGTGATATGGAGTAATATACTTTTACCCCATATTCCAAATATCTGTGACTTGAAGTTCAACCAACCTGACTAATAATGGGATAAAAACTGACAAACAATTCTAGTGGAATGATGGGGTTGGATTGATGCTGGACTATTATCCAACAATTCAAGGAGATATATTCACTCGACAAAACTTGCACAAAACATAGGCGAGTCTTTATGTACAGCATTGCCAGCTAAAAAAGTACAAACCTACAGGTAAATCTGAAGACGCAAGAATAAGTTGTTTGAAAAAGATGGACCAGAAGGTCCTGTTCCAGAAAATAGAACGTGTACACCTCATTGCTAACTCGTTGAGTTTAGATGGACAATGGACACTGATAGCTACACCATTATGTGGGCAGAAGGTGGATGATGTTGATTATGTTGAAGTACTGCAGTGTCGTGAGAGATTATCCGATGAAGAAGATTTCAATAATAGTACAAAAAAGATACTAAAGCATAAATTTCTTAAAATTCAGTTGTGGTCATTACGAAGTCCGCAATACTGTCGTGGCTTATACCAGCTGCTTTGTCACAGCCTGTTTCCCTCTTTTCTTTGCCTTTCACTGATTTTAAATCGGTGATAAGGTCTTTTATTCAACATCGATGGCAGCAAAGATGGGATGCTGCAGACACTAACAAGCTTCATGCCATTAAGCCTCTCCTATTGTGCCAACAGGAGAAATGAAGTTGTTTTGTGTCGCTCTCGTCTTGGACATACTCACCTCACCAACTGTTATTTGCTCAAGCGAGAGCCTCAACCACTGAGCACTGCCAGATCTGCCTGACAGTGAAACACATTCTGATTGAGTGTAACCATCTCAAACCTATAAGATCACAGCACTACCGTGCTGTTTCTTTATTTCAGCTTTTTGCACAACCTTCTCTTTATGAGGTTGTGGCTTTTTTAAAACAAGCAGGTCTTTATTTTAAATTTTAAATATTCTGTTGGTTTTTAATACCACCATGTGGTGTATTACCTGTGATATTGTTTTTAGTGTTTTTTTTGTAGTCATTAAATGACTTTTTCTGTGATATGGTTTTTATCGTCTTTTTTGTTGTCACTATGTGACCTTTATGTGATATTGATAGGTGTTTTATTGTTTTAGTTTTTGTATTATTTTAACGTATTCTGGAGCTATATAGCCTGTTTAGTGCTGATGCTCCTTAATACATTTCATTTCATTTTGAGGAATGGACACTGATATTTGTCTGACTTCATCGAATGAAAATGTACCCGAGTTCAAATAGCGAGGGCAGTATAAGTTCTTTAGAATTTCTTTATAAATATCTGGATTCACTGACATGCTCCTCAAGTCCTCACGATCAATGTTCAGAAAATGTTCCTTGAATTGAGGATTTTGAAATATTGTTTCAACGACCTGTGAATGGGTATTTTTTTTATCAGGATTTCTTTCTGTCAAATTGAGTTTGGTCCCTGTTGATCATTTTGTCAGTTACACCTTTAGATCTCTTGTTATCAGGTCTTTAGGCACAGACAAAAGTTCTATATCAGGGATGTCATCGGTTTTTAGTCTAACTAAAGACATTGACTCTGCATGTTTCTTGATTAAGTACGTACCAATATTGGTTGTGTAAAAGTTTAAGATTGAATTCGGCAAAACCTTGTGTTTAATACTATACACATTTCATAACTGTATTATCTTCCTCTGTTGACAGCCCTCCGCGTTTCAATACCATAGTTGAACCTCGCAGGAGATATTCTTAATCCTTATGATTCAGTGTTAATCCCATAAGTTTATCTTGTGATACTAACATTTCTTTATTATTGTTCTGTCTTTTATGCTGCTCTCGTGGATTTCATTTAAGGAATCTTCCAAGGACATCCTTGGAAGAACAGATAGCATCGTGGAACCAGACCGAAAGCTTTTAAGAACATTTGTGTGGTCCATCTATCTCTGGGTATCGAGTCCAAAATTCTTCTGACTGTCTTTGTGTGGTGTCGTATAAAATACTCTTTTAAATCGTTGATAGACTTGTAATGTTGATTGAGCAATTGGGTTTAAAAAGATGCATAAGCTGAGACACCATTTTAATATACCAACTCTAATGAAGATTTTACCGAGGATAAAAGTAGTTGCTAACCTTCTCTACCACCCAAACGTACTGAAAATGTAAGGGCAACAAGTTCATCACAATGCTGCATCATTTCCCAATGCAGTAAAAACGTTGCATTACTTTCCTTCCTTTCAGCTAAAATACTCTTGATAAAAAATGCTTCTGTTTGACATTCCTTCATTGACAAATCAACAAATCTCAGAAGAAATGCTGTGTGCAATGCCATTGCTATTCTGCGTATGTACCTGCTGGCTTTCTCAATGCACCTTTTAATCCCTCGTGTATTTGAATATTTCTTTACGCCATCACCCTTTTTAGCTGTAAATAATAGAGTTAATCTTGGAATTTCGAAGATGTAAAATAGGAAATTCCAAAGTGACGATCATCATTAATCAGTTTTAGCAGATTTTAACAAATTTGTTATCTGGTGCAAAAAGGATTTTGAGTTTATTGCTGTGTTTAAACGACCAGTTTTGATTAAAATATCTACAAGTATTCCTTTCAATATAGTCATAACGCCCTTTGGCAGGTTTGGGGTGTCTTCTAAGGTAAGCAGGAGGTGTATGTTGGATAAATCCATAGTTTGCTGCAATACCATTCCTTTCTAGTTCTTCACAGATTCATTATCGACAGTTGATAAACTCACACAATCTGCCACTGTGGCATAGACTTTCGTTTAGAAAAATATCACTAAAGATAACATCAGCATTCTCTCCATCTCTTTATCTTCTGCACAAATGTTGATTTCAGCACAGTCATCAAATTTGTCAAAATTTGCTGTTGCTTTGTCATTAGCAAAACATACTTCACAACTGTCTATATATGACTGCAAAAGATAAAATTATAATATTATATTGTGTTATGGTACAATTTCTTTCGCACTGTCTAACATATTTTGGCAGCTTTATTTTATATATATA